CATTCACAATTCCAGCTGAGGTTGGCTCTGTGTCTGCACAGCATCTTCCATGCTCAGTCCGGCAATGATCTTTCACTCTTTTGTTTTTGAAAATTTCCTTTGCTAGCTTGCAAGATAGCTCTCTTTAGCCAAGGAGGCGTGACACATTGTGGTCAGTTTTCCCTGTCAAAGGAGTTATGTCTGCATTCCCAGCACAAATAGTAGATTCAGCTCACCCACTGCTCATGTCTTTTCATTGCTTTTGATGTGGTATCTTCTTGAAAATTGGTCTTGATCTGTTCACTTCATGCTTGTTTCTCAATAAAGTCTACTCTATGCAATGAAATATTTGTCTCCTAACAATTTCCTTGTTATAAAATTCAATACCAACAGAGTCCACCAAGTCTGCAAAATAGATTAATGAAGGGTTGGAAAATCTGTCAACCTCCAGGTGTTACTGGACTACAATTCCTATCATCTCTGAGCATTGACTATGCTGACAGGGGCTGATGAGAGATGGAGCCCAGCAAAAGAACAATAGAGATAACTTCCTTATGCTGAATCAGACCATTGGTTTATGTGTTAGCTATATATGCACAAGGGCAAGTAGGTATTAGGTATCTCAGGGGAGATACCCAGCAGTGGAAGTTGCTCCCAGTACCAGTCACCACATGGAAGCGGGGACGGGTTTACTGTTTCAGAAAGTAAGGCTCAGTAAAACAGTTCTGGACACAGATGCATACAGCTTTTAGGCTTTTGCAGATATAGAATCATAGAATCATAGAATCCTAGAGTTGGAAGAGACCACAAGGGCCATCGAGTCCAACCCCCTGCCAAGCAGGAAACACCATCAGAGCACTCCTGACATATGGTTGTCAAGCCTCTGCTTAAAGACCTCCAAAGAAGGAGACTCCACCACACTCCTTGGCAGCAAATTCCACTGTCGAACAGCTCTTACTGTCAGGAAGTTCTTCCTAATGTTTAGGTGGAATCTTCTTTCTTGTAGTTTGGATCCATTGCTCCGTGTCCGCTTCTCTGGAGCAGCAGAAAACAACCTTTCTCCCTCCTCTATGTGACATCCTTTTATATATTTGAACATGGCTATCATATCACCCCTTAACCTCCTCTTCTCCAGGCTAAACATGCCCAGCTCCCTTAGCCGTTCCTCATAAGGCATCGTTTCCAGGCCTTTGACCATTTTGGTTGCCCTCCTCTGGACACATTCCAGTTTGTCAATGTCCTTCTTGAACTGTGGTGCCCAGAACTGGACACAGTACTCCAGGTGAGGTCTGACCAGAGCAGAATACAGTGGCACTATTACTTCCCTTGATCTAGATGCTATACTCCTATTGATGCAGCCCAGGATTGCATTGGCTTTTTTAGCTGCCGCGTCACACTGTTGGCTCATGTCAAGTTTGTGGTCAACCAAGACTCCTAGATCCTTTTCACATGTACTGCTCTCACGCCAGGTGTCACCCATCTTGTATTTGTGCCTCTCATTTTTTTTGCCCAAGTGCAAAATATATAGATATATGCAGATACATACAAGCACAATGCATCTCTGTTACTCTAAATAAGTCCAGCAATTCAAGATGTGGCACTAGACAAGTACCACTGCAGACTAACAGACAAACTATTGAGATGGCATGCATTAATCACAGATACAGTTTGGGCACTAGGCTGTTACCACAGCAGCCGGCTTGGCTGACTTTAAACCTGTAATTAGCTAATCCATGGGCTGATTTACGCTCATGAAGGAAATTAATGCCTTCTCATGTCCAGTTACTCCAACACTATCCTGATGGCTAGATGGTGACTTCCTGTTTTGCAGCAAACATGGCATGGTGCCAGGTAGGGGTGCCAGGTAGGGGTCCCAGACAGCAAAAATGTGTGTGTGGGTGTGTATGTAAGGGGCAAGCCCCCTGTAACTCTTTGAGGGTATCAAAGGGGCACAACCTATGGTCATCCATTAATGCCTTTTTTGATTGTGTGTGTGTGGGGGGGTGGAAATCCCCGCCTCCCAGATGAGAAGGTGAGGGCGCTGGGTCAATTACCTGATCCAAGGGCAGCCTCAGTGAGCTACCATGCTGAGCAGTGGAATACTTTTGAATCTGGACGTAATTGCCAAGCAAAGAGGCATCCCCTGATCAGACCCTGATTTATGCAGCAGGAGAAAATATTGTTCGTTTGGAAAGAAGGAAAGACGCCGGTTTTTGCTTTGCTTGAACAGTGGAAGGAAGGTAGGGTAGGCAATATTCTTGAGATCTGCCTAGCTACCCTCGCCCAAAGCAATGGAGTGTAAAGTTTTCGGGAAGAGTGGGCTTTAGATACCTCTCTGTGGCTGATTTATTTTATAACTAAGGATACTCCCCTCACTGGTCCTGCTTTGCCGCTTCCTGGAGTGTTTTTGCCTGGCTGGATTGTGTCCTTGAATATTACTTCCTTGGCTAGGAGGGCTTGGCAGATCCTAACACACAAAAGCATGCTTAGCCTCTTCCAGCAGAGCGGTGCCCCTTTGTGGAGCCAGTGTGGTGTAGTGGTTAAGAACGGTAGCCTCGTAATCTGGGGAACCGGGTTCGCGTCTCCGCTCCTCCACATGCAGCTGCTGGGTGACCTTGGGCCAGTCACACTTCTCTGAAGTCTCTCAGCCCCACTCACCTCACAGAGGGTTTGTTGTGGGGGAGGAAGGGAAAGGAGACTGTTAGCCGCTTTGAGACTCCTTCGGGTAGTGATAAAGCGGGATATCAAATCCAAACTCTTCTTCTTCTTCTTGACACATTTTCCTACAACACTTTTTAAAACTCCATTTCAGGGTCCCTGTCATGGTCCACTGAAGAAATAAAAGGGCCTTAGCTCTGCATGAGAAAGTCTCCTTTGCCTTTTCTTTCTTCCCTGCACTGCCTATTACCCTATATCCTGAATTTCCCCTATCTCTAGTTTTGTACTTGTATCCAAGTATTTTTTTGTAATTGTATCCAGGTAATTTTAAATTGTATCTAGTTTTCTTTCTTTCTTGTAATTGTTTCTTCACTACTTGTAAATGTGAATCCCTAAGGCAGGAGTCAGCAAACTTTTTCAGCAGTCCACTGTCCCTCAGACCTTGTGGGGGGCTGGACTATATTTTGGAAAAAAGAAGAAGAAGAAGAAGAAGAACGAATTCCTGTGCCCCACAATAACCCAGAGATGCATTTTAAATGAAAGGATACATTCTACTCATGTGAAAACACGCTGATTCCCAGACCATCTGCAGGCCAGACTGAGAAGGCGATTGGGCTGGATCCGGACCCCAGACCTTAGTTTGCCTACCCATGTCTTAAGGCGACCCTTATGCAATGGTTACATTTGGCGTCTTTAAAATGGAATTGACCCCCTTGTATCCTGGTGCCTTATCAGTGTTTGTTCAACTTTTCAGTGAATGCAACTACTTTCAGGAAAATAAGAAGTACCTATGTAAAAGCTGTAAAAAGTGGCAGAGTGAGTCAGAGACTGAGCTGGGTGAGTGTTTTGTGCCCCTCTTGGCCCCCTTCTTAGAAACAGAAGGTGTTGGCTGTCTGTCTAGTTGTGCTATAAATATCAACTGGGGTCCAAATTATCTTTCTTTGAACATCAAAGAGCCAAGGTGTGAAAATGCAGGCCAGGAAACACCAAGAAAGTTTGTGCCTAATTTTAACTATATCTGATCACACCTTGTCACCTTCTGCTGGTCTTTTGTGCTGCGTGAGAATGTCCATTTTAGATATTACTTCTCAAAGCTGAAAAATATTGGCTTGGCTCTCACATAAAGTCTCTCAGTTTCAGTTTATATTATGGCTGTGACATCAGGCCAGTTTGAACCAAGTGTGAATTGGGTCTATGCAGCTACAAAAAGAGTCCCAACAATTCACATTGATCAGGAGTGATTTGGACTATTCTGGAGGTCAAAACTCTCAGAAAGCCAGACAGCCAGTCTCCAAAGTGTTGGAAATTTTCCAAATGGCACCTTATAAGGAGAACACAAGGATGCAGAGAGGGCAGCTGCACATGGCTCTCTCTGAATGTTAGGAAGTTTGATGGAATTTGGTCAGCTCATCTTTTGTTTATCCAGACCAATAACCAGCCTTTCTTGTTACAGGTAGGTATCTGAAGAAGTGTGCATGCACACGAAAGCTCATACCAATAACAAACTTAGTTGGTCTCTAAGGTGCTACTGGCAGGATTTTTTTTATTTTGTTTCAGCCTTTCTTATACGTCTGTTTGCTTCCTAATCCTTTCCCATCATAACCCATTCAAGCTCAGTTGCATCTAGTTCTGTAGGCTGTGTCACTTCACTTATACTCCCCCCTACACATTTTGATCCTCTTTTTTGTGTTTCATTTACAGCTGTGCCTGTATTTCTTAGTATTTTGTCACCTCTGTGTGTGGGGTGGGGCTTATCTGCACTGTCTCAAAAATTGGCTTGAAGGTTGCCTGTTTCTTTATTTTTGTGGTATGGGTTTTCCATGTCCAGATGACATATCAGTTTCCCTAGAGATAAAAACAAAACACTTTTGACCTAACTGATAGTCGTACAATGAGTTGAAGAAAATGTTCCAATTAACATTTGTAAAAAAAGCCTGAAGCTTTCTTGTTGGGGATTGTAGGAAAAGACCTGCCAAGGAAACTAAAAAACATTTTTATGTATGTGACAATGGCAGCAAGAGTCTTAATAGCACAAGGATGGAAGAACGAGGAAATCCCGACTAAAGGACTGTGGCAAGAGAAACTGGTGGACTATGCAGAATTTGCAAAACTGACACATAAACTACATGACAAGGATAACTGTGGCTTTAAAGAAGAATGGGAACCTTTTATGAAGTAATTAAAGAAACAACAAAATGAACTGGACTCCTTGGCAGGTTTTGAATAAACATTCACAAACTCTTTATTGGTAATATACAGATAGATAAACTGAGGATCTTTACAATTTTAAACATGCAGAAAATAACATGTGCTGAGAAACCAGAGAGAGGAGCTGGGGGAAGTTGGGGGGGGAGTTGGAGGGAGGATTTTTCTTTTATGGGGGGAGGGGGGAAATGGGGGGGAGGAAATGAGGATGATGTATTTTTGATAAATTGTTATGTTGAAATTCCTAATAAAAATAATTTTTTTAAAGGTTTTCTTTTTTAGATTAGGTCTGCATTTTATTTAAAACTGTTTCCTGTGTCTTTACTAATAGTTTGTTGTGTGTGGATGTGTGTGTGTAAGAGACGGAGAGTCTTTTGAGTACATTGTACACAGTGTACACAGTCCGAAGCATCACACAGAGTGTATAAAGTATAAAGTTTAATTTAAAAAACTTAATGGAACAGGCGAAACAGGAGCATGTGGACTGACATGAATGAGCACTAAAACCTTTCTTTCTTTCTTTCTTTCTTTCTTTCTTTCTTTCTTTTTGCAAACTTTAAAGTTGGCTTGCACAAACCCTATTTGAAATTTGACGGGGTTAACCACCTCTTGAGGGGATACAAGGTCTTCAAATTTCATGCACCTACGTCCAGCGACGCAAGGGTGTGTGTGTGTGGCTGTTTTGGTTTCCCGGTGCAAATGAATGCACTGGAATTGAGTTGAATTGGGTGCAAATTGATCCAAAGCAAATCAGGGACAGATCCAAATCAGGATCTGAACCAATTTGGGGTGGTCTGGGTTTCCACACCCCTAAGTTATATCTGTTGCTCATGTATATTTAATACAATTAACCACATTTCCAAATCAGTTTGTGGATATTTTTAAGACTTCGTGACAATTCACTAGCATTTTAGAGTGCATTTTTCCTAATTTACCGTTTTTTTGCATGTATACAGTGGTACCTCAGGTTAATTACTTAATTTGTTCCAGAGGTCTGTTCTTAACCTGAAACTGTTCTTAACCTGAAGCACCACTTTAGCTAATGGGGCCTCCTGCTGCTGCCACGCTGCTGCTGCACAATTTCTGTTCTCATCCTGAAGCAAAGTTCTTAACCTGAAGCACTATTTCTGGGTTAGCGGAGTCTGTAACCTGAAGCGTATGTAACCCGAGGTACCACTGTATGTGGTTTTACAGTTGTTGTTTTTTACTTTGTTCTGAGCTTTTGAATTTTGTAAGTGGTGTTATTTGTTTTGAAACTGGTAATAAAATGACTTGACATGCAATTTTCTTAAATATTGACATTTTTGCAAGCAATTTTCCCAAATAAAATGCATTGTTAATGTTGTCCTCCTGTTGTTGGAGCACAACTCTTAGCTTCCCTGGTTTAGTGAAGAAGATCACCCTGCTTTATTTTATTGATTTGTTTCATTCATGCATCACTTCCCATGAAACATCAACAATAAAAACAGATATAAAATCAATTTCAAAGTCAGGTGGGTATAAAAATATCCCCCCTCAAAAGGCTCACTAAAAAGTTCATCAACAAGTCCTGAAAGGACCATAGAGACCTCCTGATGAGATGGGCTCTCCAGAAGGCAGAAAAACCATCACAATTTGTTTATTCCACCTCCTTCCCAAACAATATATTCCCAAAATATACCTTTAGAAATGAGAAGAGTTCTCTCATCAGAATTTTGAAGGCTGCAGGAAGGGACTAACAAGTGCAAATCAAAGATGTCAGACAAATAGATTTTGAAAAGGGAATATTGTGGGATTCACATGGGTCTCCCTCAAAGGACATCAGCAGATTCAGTGCTATTCTTTTCTTCCAAATATGTACACCAGGGTGAGAATTGTGATCTGCACCAAGAGTCCTAGAAGAATGAAGGTAACTCTCAGGCTTACCCAAGACATAGGGATGTTTTCTCCTGTAGGGAAAGAGAAGACATTGAAGGAGAGAGCCATCAGAAAATATCTGGGGATGTCCTACTCCTGATGAGAGCCTCTGAATACCTCCCCCCAAAAGCTATGAACGTAAGAACATAAAAGAGCCCTGCTGGGTCAGGCTAATGTTGTGGGCCTTCCCTGGCTGCCCCAGTGGTAAACATTGGGGCTGAGCACCCTTCCTTCATGGTCCTGAAATGGAGAATGTGTGCTCCAGATGGCTTCTGAGAGACCCAAATGTGCTCTGACATCTTGCAACCTTCGATAGCAGAGCTCTGGTTGGTTTGCAAAGTTCCCAGACCTGTGAATGTTCAGGCACTGGGCTGTCATTTCAGAATGTGAGACTCCGCTCAGAGAAAATCCAGGGGGGAAGATCTGCATTAAAAGAAGATTTTGCTATGCCTCTCCACAATTTGCAGACGGTGAACCCCAATAAATATTTTACTTCCCTGGCCCAGTTTTCTTCTTTTAAAAACATATTTGAGTTAAAGACTTGTTTGTTTATTTATTATTTTATTTATTAAAATTATATACTGCCCTTCATCAAGAGATATCTTATCTTTAAAAGACATCTGAAGGCAGCTCTGTTTAGGGAAGTTTTTAATATTGTTTTTAACACTCGATTGGGAGCCACCCAGAGTGGCTGGGGAAACTCAGCCAGATGGGCGGGGTATAAATAATAAATTATTATTGTTATTATTATATCTCAGGACAGTTCGCAGAATAAAACACAAGATGAAACACAAGCAGTGTTGCCAGCGTTGTTCTGGGAAAATACAGAATGGGGTGTGGAGGGGCAGGGCAGTTGGGGGGCGATTTTTCTTTTCATCTGGTGCTGAAATGACTTCAGAGCAATCCATTACCATCTATTGCAGCCTAACAGCGTGGCTCCTCTGGAATTTATCACACACGTACACACGCATTCGTAAATCTGTCTGTGCTTGGCTACCCAGAGTATGAATACATGACCAATTCATGACCTTTCACACATCCTTTCAAACACGTGCATTTGGAGAGGATCCCTAACTCAGCAGAGAGAGAGAGGACCTAGAATACAGGATAAAACTGTATCAATACAGGACGTAGCATTTTATATTGAAATACGGAACTCCTGTATAATACATGGCAGATGGCAAACCTAAACACAAGCACAGTGGTACCCCGGTTTAAGAACAGTCCGGTTTAAGAACGATTTGGTTTACAAAGTCCACAAACCCGGAAATTGTGTCTTGGTCTGAAAACTTTACCTCGGTCTCAGAACCGAATCCGAAAGGTGAAGGGCACCGGCAGCGGGAGGCCTCATTAGGGAAAGCATGGCTCAGTTTAAGAACAGTTTTGGTTTAAGAACGGTCTTCCAGAACAGATTAAGCTTATAAACTGAGGTACCATTGTAAATATTTAAACCAAAGCAGACCCCTTTATCACATACACAGCCCAACAAGACAATGACAAAAATCCACCAACAGCACACAAATCAATACAGTGGTACCTCGGGTTACATACAGTTCAGGTTACAGACGCTTCAGGTTACAGACTCCGCTAACCCAGAAATAATACCTTGGGTTAAGAACTTTGCTTCAGGATGAGAAGAGAAATCGCGCGGCGGCAGCGGGAGGCCCCATTAGCTAAAGTGGTGCTTCAGGTTAAGAACAGTTTCAGGTTAAGAACAGACCTCCGGAACAAATTAAGTACATAATGAGAGGTACCACTGTATGGCTAACCTGATCCAAAACACCTACCCACCCCACTCACACATGAAAACAAAGACCACCACAGCCAACCACAAATGAACAGCCACACCCCAGGCCAACTCCAACCTCCTTACCACCAAAGGAACACAAGCAAATAGCACAAAACCTGCACCAGGGACGCTGACACAAAACCCCACATATATTAAGTATAATAGAAACATTGCCACCTGACCCCACCCAGGTGAGCCCAGCCTTGGCTGGGGAGGGCGGAGTATAAATTATTATTATTATTATTATTATTATTATTATTATTATTATTATCTCTCCCCCCTTTCCCCTTCTTCTTCTTAATGTCTCAGCAAATGAAACTGATCTGTAAAAAATGTTACTTGGAGGGGAGAGAGAGAGAGAGAGAGAGAGAGAGAGAGAGAGAGAGATTGCACATACTTTTGTAAACTAAGAAAATCTTTAAGAAAAATACATTAAAAAACAACAACAGTAACCCCTCCAATTCACCCACAAGTTTGCAGCCAACTCACCCCTAGTCTGGCAAATATTGAGCACACTGAAGGAGATGTTCTTCTGATCGTCTGGACTGGTGACCAGGCAGGTGAAATTGGGCTCTGAGGAGTTGAGCCACCAGGACAAGTGGAGGTCCTTGCCATTGTTAGAGAGCTGGAGCCAGTCCGATCCAACTTCTATGTCCCTGACGGGGTTCCCTCTTCTCCAGGAGATGTTAAATTCTCCCGTTCCGGACACCTGACATTGCAAGGTCACATTGCAGCCATATGGAGTATTGGACACATTTTGGGGGAGAATCTTCGGCTCTGGGACCGGCTCTGTGGGGAAATGTAGGGAAAGTTTGTGCTATCGGTGCCACTGACAGGTGTCAGTAACAGCCCAGTAAAAAGACAGCAGGGGATGGGAAGGGCTGGGTCCTTTTCCAGGCTCGGTTAAGCAACAAACACAAGTGAGAAAACAACCACTTACCGTATACAGTGAGGAGGAATGTTTGATCTTGAAAGTGTTGTGTGGCAAAGCTCACGCGAGCCCTGTATGCTCCACTGTCCTCCATCTGCAGATCTTTGATCCTCAGTGTGGTCTCATTGACCATTTCTAGCCGCTGCCCAAATCTGTCTCTTGGGTGAGGCCTCTCCAGCTTTCTACCCCTGGATTCAGCAAACCAGAGTTCCAAACCAGTTTTAAGCTTGAAATCCCATTCAATTTTGTCTACGGTTTCTTCTGAGGACACGTTCACGTGCAGCAAGACTGATCCTCCTACGGTCCAGCTTACCTGATACTGGGGAGGAATCTCTTCTGGATTACTTAGAGGCCCTATTTATAAAAGAGAAAGGTGAGGGAGAATGTTTATGACCCAATAAAAATGAAATCGGTATGCTGTTCACAGTCCTTGAAATTTCCATCTGCATTCAGTCGTTACGTTCACCTTTCACACAAAATACCTCCTCACCCAAACAGCCCTTGCTTCACTTAACCCTTAAAATCTAGCATTGGTATCTTTATTAACACTGGGAAGGATCACCCATGCAAAACAAGGAAATCAGCCTCTGGACACATGGAAGGAGGACCCCAAGTCATCCTGGGTCCCATTTAGCCGCAGATGTCCTGCCAGGTGTCCCGTCTCACCTGCAGATTGGATAGTCCAAAGCAACAGAATTAGCCAAGTGGTTTGGGACTCCATCTTCTTTGCCACTGTCCCGTTTCAGAGCTGGAATGGGCTCCACTGTGCATGGCTAAGCCCCTCCTGCTTTGACCACAGCCCCCCAACCGCAGCAGTTTCCGCTTTTTCTTTTGGCCCCTTATCTTCTCTGCGACATCTCACTTCCTTTTCAGGATACAGTATCATAGAAACAATTTACCACCACAATGCCTCCTTTTCTGCACTAGCCTCATGTTGTTGATGGAAGATATTTTGCTGACCAAAACAAGGCCTTTGGCTGATTAAGCTACCTATGGCCTTTTAAATAATAATATTATTATTATTTATACCCCACTCATCTGGCTGGGTTTCCCCAGCCACTCTGGGTAGTTCACAGCATATATCAGATCATACTGAAACATCAAACATTAAAACTTTCCAGATACAGGGCTGCCTTCAGATATTTTCTAAAATCATTTTTAATCACCTTGGCATCTTACAGGAGGGCATTCCACAAGGCAGGCACCACCACCGAGAAGGCCCTCTGCCTGGATCTCTGTAACCTCACTTCTCGCAGCAAGGGAACCGCCAGAAGACCCTCGGCGCTGGACCTCAATGTCTGGGCTGTATGATGAGGGAGGAGATGCTCCTTCAGGTATACTGGGCCAGGGCCATTTAGGGCTTGAAAGGTTTTGTTTGTTACTATGTGCTTTGTTGTTTTTATATTCCATACCACCCTGAGATCCTCAGGTGAAACCAGTCCTTTACTCAGAACCAGGAGGACAGGAATTCTGCCTTTTGCAGGATATGGGCCGTCAGTTTCCTCAGGCTGGGCACTTTATTTCATTTCATAGAATCATAGAATTATAGAATCATAGAGTTGGAAGAGACCACAAGGGCCATCGAGTCCAACCCCCTGCCAAGCAGGAAACACCATCAGAGCACTCCTGACATATGGTTGTCAAGCCTCTGCTTAAAGACCTCCAAAGAAGGAGACTCCACCACACTCCTTGGCAGCAAATTCCACTGTCGAACAGCTCTTACTGTCAGGAAGTTCTTCCTAATGTTTAGGTGGAATCTTCTTTCTTGTAGTTTGGATCCATTGCTCCGTGTCCGCTTCTCTGGAGCAGCAGAAAACAACCTTTCTCCCTCCTCTGTGTGACATCCTTTTATATATTTGAACATGGCTATCATATTACCCCTTAACAAGATTTGAATACTGCTTAGTACAAAAGCAAACGAGGCCCTAGGTCCAGTCTCCAGCATCTCAAGGTAAGAAGTGGTAATGACCCCCTGTCTCAAGCCTCTGAAGTGGGGTTCTGAAGTGAATTTTATGTGTGGAACAGTCAGGGCTTAATTTATAAAGTGAGAGGTATCTGGGCCTAACATACCTGCACTTCACACTACCTGTCTTCTGCCTAAGCCAGGGATGGGGGACCTCAGGCTCAGGGGCCAAGTGCCTCTTGGTCTGACCTTTAATGTCAGGGATGTGGATGAATCGAGTGCTGGTGAAGAGTCAGAGTCAGGTGATGAAAGATGATGAAAGATTGCCAGTACAAAGAGAGACAGAGTCTGACTCTCGAGACGAAAGATGGCAGACAAAGCAGGAGGGGATGGGCTCCACCCCACTTTCCCAAGAGTTCCCTGACTCAGATAGCGCAGACAAGCACAACTTGCAAGAAGGGGGAGAGATAGACGGCAGTGGGAGGGTTGCTAGACAACCAGCAGAGAGACAGCAGACCAGAGAGTGATTCTCTTGAAAGTGGGAGGGAATTACTCCCTCCTTCTCCCCAATCTCGGAGAACTGAAAAGGTCAGAATGCAACAGAAGCCCCATCCTGCATTATCAATCACATGACGTGGCACACACATACTGTTTGAATGGCAATACCCATCAAAGGGGGATGGGGGGGTGGCCCCCTCAAATATTTTATTGGGGGTGGCAGCGAAGGGACCTTGACTCCTATGTCTTCAACCTGTGCCCATGGCACAACATCCACAAAAGAGACTTTCTTTCTGAGACATCTTTTCCGTGTGTGTGTGTGTGTGTGTGTGTGTGTATAATTTGTATTAAATTTTCTGTTTTACAATTTAGAGTATTCATTTAAACAACCTTAAAATATCAATGGTAAGGGACGCGGGTGGTTTACCACAGAGCCTAGGACTTGCAGATCAGAAGGTCGGCGATTCGAATCCCCGCGATGGTGTGAGCTCCCATTGCTCGATCCCTGCTCCTGCCAACCTAGCAGTTTGAAAGCACAGCAAAGTGCAAGTAGATAAATAAGTACCACTCTGGCGGGAAGGTAAACGGCGTTTCCGTGCACTGCTCTGGTTTGCCAGAAGCGGCTTAGAAGCTGGCCATATGACCCGGAAGCTGTTCGCCGGTTCCCTTGGCCAATAAAGCGAGATGAGCGCCTCAACCCCAGAGTCGGTTACGACTGGACCTAATGGTCAGGGGTCCCTTTACCTTTACCTAAAATATCAATGACTTCCCTTCTTCTCTTTCCATGGTTCATTTTGCATAGCATACATCCCTGCATATTTTATATCAACTAAACCGATCAGTATTCCATTATTACCTCCATCAAAACTTATTTACAGTGTTGAATTTACCTTAATGCTGCCAGCATTTTCAGGTGTACACAATCTCCACCCCCCCATATATTCAATAAACGTTTTCCAATCTTCTCTAAACATATGTTCTTCTTGTTCTCTTATTGTATATGTTAAGTCTGCAAGCTGCGCATATTCTGTCAGCTTCAGTTGCTGTTTTTCTTTGGTTGGGAATCTCGCTCGATTTCCATTTTGGGGCTAACAAAACGAGACATCTTTTCCTTACCAGGAAGGCTGCCAGCTGCTGGCTAAGTAATAGCAGTAATAACAACTGATGCAGTTGCTTAGTAGGCATCCGCAACAGTGCCATGAAGTCTCCTGCACGGTATCCACAAGCAGTGACTTCCAAAGAGAGGGCGCCCTCTACTGGCCTCTCTCTCTCTCTCTCTCTCTCTCTCTCTCTCTCTCTCTCTCTGTGTGTGTGTGTGTGTGTGTGTGTGTCTGCCTGTCTGTCTGTCTGTCTGTCTCTGTCTCTGCGCCTCCGCTCCCCACACTGAATGATTGAAGTCTCTGGCGAGGGTGGCGCTGCAGAGAAAAGCCGTCGAAACGTCCGGAAACATTTCTGGCGTTAATAGGGGAAAGTTGATCAGAAGAGCGGGGTCGAGATGCAGGATCCAGTTCACACTGCCCTGCCATAGCTGTCGACGTTTCCATTTTTTTAAGGGAAATTCCCTCATTCCGAAGGGAAGAATGAGGGAAGAAAGAAAAGAGAAAAGTTTCCTTTCCTCGCAAGAAAAGGGAAAAGTTGACAGCTATGTGCCCTGCTCTTGGCACACTTTTGCTGCTTTTTTTGGAAAGGTCGTTCTCGGAATGGGGTGCCCCAGTGGTGGAGAATGCCCCGTCCCTCGCCGTTAAAACCAAGAGGAAGAGACGCCCCTCGCTGGCATTTCCTGTTGCAAGGAGCCGGGAGAGGGAGGAAAGCCACGCAGCCACGCGGGCAACTCGCTTCTGCAGCTCCGCTCGGCCGCCCGGCCGGGAACATTCTCCGATGGAAAGAGCCTTCCTGTTGCAGCTGTTGCTCTTGTTTTGGCAAGCCCTACGATGGAAGCGGGGACTCAGTGCTTGTGGGGGACAGAGACTCCTCTCGCAATTTAATTTCTTAACATTATTCATTCCTGAGCATAAGACTTTTCTTAACAGCCAGTCTTTGCAAAGAGAGCAATTCTTCTCCTCTCCCACAAACCACATTCAACGATACACTTCCGTAGAGAAGCAAATATCACTTTTTCTTGCGGACTTTTCCTCTTCAGAGTGTTTCTGTACTTTCCTCTGTGTAAATCGCACACTGTTTGTCCTGTAGAGCAAGAAGACCTGCGCAAGCAGTTGGTGTTTCCAAAGGCTGGGGAAGAGACTAAGCATCATTGTATCTCCCCGACATTTGCCTCTTGCAGCTGCCAGACTCCTCTGGAGAAGGATTTTGGAGCCAGCTGTATGCCATCTTCCCCTCCCCTCTGAACTGTATTTAAGGCAGGCTGTTTGGAGTGTAGCAACACCCGTGCGAGAAATTTCATTCTCCGTTAATTCTTGTGTTGCTTTGTATCCATGTACTAAAGCCTCTGGGTTTGTTTGTGGTTTTTTTTTGGGGGGGGGGATAATATTAAATTTATTCTTTTTTGGCCAAATTGTTTATTTCTGTCATTTTTTAAATTTACCGTCATATTTTGTATATTGTACATTTTTATTTCCAGTGCTCTTTATTTTGCTGTTTTCAACGTTTGCTGTGAGCCACTTTGAAGCTGTCCTTCTTACAGTGGTGAAACAGATGCCACAATGACCACAGGCAGGACCTGAGCTCAACAGCAGCAGGTCTCCCCATTAGTGAGTCCCAGAAACAGCCAGTCTGGTGCATGACTGCCACTGATGCCTCCCTGCACTTCTGGAGAGATACGATGGTGGATTTTTCTCACAGAAGACCTCTTCTTCGGACTATTGCTGTACTCTTCCATGGGTAAGGACTTCTCTGCTTTCTCCCTCAAAAAACAAAACAAAAACCCCACCTAAATGCATGGAGGGGGCGCTCTGAGTTTCATTTGTAATGAAGAGGGAAATTATTGGCAATATTGGTTACTAGCACTCAGGGCCTCCTCTCTCCAGCTGGAACCCTCCAAGAACACTCTTGCTGGCTTCAAAGGAAGCTCCGCCAGAAGGCTTTTGAAAGTTTAATTCTCTGTGTGATATTTGTTACTGTGCTGAACCTGCGGGGACAATTTGTGTGTATGATGAAGGTGATCATCTCCCCTGAAGGTGTGGAGTGAAATGGGATAAAAACACTGGATATGGTGACTGCAAGTCGACCTCGTCTCTAGGGCAGAAATGTTTTCCTGCAGGCTTTTTTCCTGTGATATGCCATTCATTAACCAATACAAAATAAATGTCAGATAAGAGCAAGGGTAGGCAACCTAAGGCCCATGGGCTGGATGCGGCCCAATCACTGCCTCAGTCCGGCCCGCAGACAGTCCGGGAATCGGCGTGTTTTTACATGAGTAGAATGTGTCCTTTTATTTAAAATGCATCTCTGGGTTATTTGTGGGGCACAGGAATTCGTTCATATATTTTTTCCAAAATATAGTCCGGCCCCCCACAAGGTCTGAGGAATGGTGGACTGGCCCACGGCTGAAAAAGGTTGCTGACCCCTGGTTAAGAGCAAACAGCGAATTAGAGAAGCCAACCAATGAGCAGAAAAAGGCGACTGGGGATCTTGGTGGAACAGAATCAGTTTCTTCTCTGAACTCTGTATTAATTTAACTTGTTTTCACACAAAAATAGTGCAGAATCATTTTTTCCTAAAACACACATGCAGATTGTTTTCAGATTGCTGCTTAGAATAATTTTTCAGTGGGTTAGAGCTTTCTATGCTGAGTTTTCAACAGACGTTTTGCAAACTGCTTTGAGAATTTCTTACCACAAAGCAGTATATAAATCTTATGAACTGAAATAAACTTTTGTTCCTTGTTTGGGGAAATTCTACTACTTTTTTCAGAATTTTTCCTTGTGACAATTACACAGAGCCAGATGTCCCCCAAAATATGACCAATCGGCAGCTTTGAAAAGACTTAAGCGTTTAATCAATTGCTTTTTCCCCCCTACAGATGAAGTTCAGACATTACTGAACAACAATGATACTAATTTCAACCTTTGTTTGTATCTCCTCCCCCACCACCTGCCCCTCAATAGAAGCTTTAAGGCATCCAGTGGGGAATCCAACCCATCAGGTGAATAGGATCCTGGGAGGATCTGTCTCATTTTCTGTCAGTGTATCCCAAAGAATAACAATTGAGAAAATTGAATGGGACTTCCGCCCAAAAACTGGTGGTCTGGGCCTTTGGCTTAGTGAAGACAGACATGGGAAACTAGATCACCCAAATCCCACTGAGCGGTTGGGAGAACGGCTAGACATGGCAAACCAGAAAATGCTGAGGATTAAAGACCTGGAGTTGAATGACAGTGGGATATACACAGCTCGTGTTTGGTTTACAAAAGTGCAGTTTCAGGAACAGAGTTTCAGCCTCACTGTTTATGGTAAGCTGTTATTTTCACTGTCTTGATAAAGGAATAGGATCAACAGCATTTTCTTACGTAGGTATTGAGAGGCATGTGGGACATAGGCTTCATGTCACTTTTCATTTGTGTTCCACAGAGCCAGTGCCAACACCACAGATAGACCACCAAGTGGATTCCAAGACTCCAGGTGGATGTAATGTGACCTTGCGATGCCACACACCTGGAAGGAAAGATCTCAGTATCTCCTGGGAAACAGGGGGTCCACACAGGGCCTTAGGAAAGAGTGTGAATCAGTACCAGGTTTCTGACAATGGCCGGGAGCTCCGTGTCTCCTTCTGGAACAGTTCTTTCAACTCCAAATTCACCTGCCTGGTCAGCAATCCTGTTGGTCAAAAGAGAGCCTCGTTTGACTTGCTCAACATCTGCCAGAGTGATGAAGGTGAGCAATATATGCTTTCCTTCATTATCCAGAGGAGGTGCTTGTGGTGGTGAATACGCAGACTGGCCCTTAGCATGAGGGATTTGAGGAAATGTGTTTGTATTAATAAATGCCCCTCTTCATATGCTTGTGAGCAGGATTGGAGCAAACACAGAGCTCCTTGAAGACTGCCCTGATCCTGTGAATTGCTGCTGCTGCCCCCATCTCCTCCTATTCCTAGCTTAAGACATTGATTCAGGGCAGGCAAGTGTGTCTGACAGGGCATTCACAGCCCAAATCATCGCAATGGAAACGGGACAGATTAGAAACACTTGCTTATCTCTTGTTATTTATTCTACTGCTCTTGGCCAGGTGTGAGCATGAGGCTCTGAATCTCGGGGTCATGGGTTCAAGCCACTCCTTGGGCCAAAGATTCCTGCAAAGCAGGGGGTTGGACTGGATGACTCTAGTTGTCCCTTCCAACTCTACAATTCTATGATTCTATGAGAGTCAGTCATTCTGTCGGTTGTTATTAGAGCATGTTTTGAGAAACTCTTATTGTTCATTGCAGGTGGAGAGCTTGGACGTTCAAGTTGGATTCTATGGCTTATCCCTTCCCTCCTAGTTCTGGTGATAATGGGGATGGGGATGGGGATGGGGATGTGCTGGAAGATCAGATTAGAAAGGAATAGAAGAGGTAGGACCATCTCTATTGATATTCCCATCTCTCCTGAGATGGGGGCTTCCTGCCAAATATACTGTGAGGGGAATCAGAGCTTACAGGGTTAAACAGCTCAGAGTCCAGCATCCTGCCTACTGAGGGGTGGAGTTCCACATCCAGGGAACTGTTCTCTGTTCTGTGTCTGGTTTCAGTTGTGACCCAGAAGGGAGAAGGGAGACATTTTGCTGATTTATTACTGCTGTAAATAAACTCTACAAGATTAGAAAGAAGCGGAGTAAAGACTCTGTTTTCTGCATTCTTGCACACACACAGCACCCACTGTGTTTACTCTGCTATGGTCCGGAGGAGCAGCGATGCAGTGGAAGCCTACCGGACCCTAATTACACCACATATACATGTACCTTTCTTTTGCTTATCCTGAGACGCAGAGACTGGTCAGTGCCATGGACTCAGTAATGTGTCTCATTTTGCACTCCACAGGTGTTCTCTCTGTGAACTCAGAAAGGAGCCACACAGAAGATGGGATGATGAGGTGAGATGATCAGTGCGCAAAGGAATGAAGGGGTGATTGGTAGATAATAACAATGAAAATATCTGATACATTTGGGAGGCATTTATGATGTTATTATTAAAGTTGCAATCTGTTATTTTTGAAGAAACAACAGCAACAGCAGGAACAAGTGGATTTCAAACAAGCCAGTGACCTGATAATGAATGGCAATCAATTTGGCACAACCCTTCCCTACGAACCATCTCTGCTCACCTGCAGGAAGCTTCTCTTAAAATTATCTTTTGCCGGCTCTGGACTCCATCACTTACAACCAAGATAAACTCTAGCATCTCTCCCTTATGCTGGAAAGGCTCATATTTCCTTGTGTGGTGGAGCTCCATGTTGTAATACTCCTATTTCCAAAATTATGCAACAATCCCTTCCACCCACATCAGCTCTTGCCTTGTTAACATTAGACTCAAATTTAAACAATAACTTTAAATGCAGAGACTTTGTATTTTTACAATGGCCAATACTGGAAACAACCTATAGATATCCCCACTGAAATCTGGGTAAATATCTGAACGCCTTACTCACCATAGGAAGTTAATTAAAGGCACTTCAAAATAGACACTTTTGGCGAGACTTTGCTTCCATTCTTTTTCCTTTATAAAATGAGACAGAGTATACTTTTATTCCACGCACAGCATAAGAATCTCTGTGGAGAGGCTACTTGAATTGATAATGCATAAATAAATGTATTGCTTGTGTACTGTGTGCTGCATATGAAACTTAATAAGAATGTACCACTGGGCAAATTACTGTATTTGTATGTTGCTCTTGTATTTACATTAAAACAATAAAAATTATTTGGATTAAAAACAACAACAGGCCAGTGACCCAAACCTCCTGATCAAAAGACCTAACAAATGGATTATGGCACAAGGGGAGGCAGGCAGCTTGTGCAAAGATCCTGTTCCCATCAGGGGAACATGCATGCTCAGTTGAAGTGAGCAGAATTGAACCCTCCCCTCTCCAGCTAGTGAACGGAGAATTCAGGCCTCTGGGCACAGGGCTCTGCTTCCCACTTCCTTGCCCCAGTGAACCCAGCAGGATTGTGCTCTCCCCAGCACAGGTGAGGATGCAGCACAGGTGAGGACCCTTCCGGCTCAAGCCCCAGCCCCGGCTCAGCTGGTTCTGGAGGCGGGGAATCCTGTGCAGGCTGGGATTCCTCAGGTTCAGCCTCCAAGTCCGAATCCCAGGCCATCACACCCTGAAGTGTGTGTCCCTTTTTTTGGATTACAACCTATTTTGGGGGGGAGGCCCCATTGGTAAAACAGCTCCTTGGGTTACAACCTGTTTTGCTTTACAACCGGACCTCCAGAACAGATTATGGTTGTAAACCAAGGTATCACTGTATATTCCTAGCCAGAAATATTCATGAATTTTGTGAGGAGGAGCCACGTGGTCCTTCTCTCCTTTGGTCCATGGATCTTCTCTTCCCTGGGTAAGAAAAACAGAATGCATAGGGTGAAAAGCTATAGGTTTGCTTTGTCATGAAGCGGAAAGTAACGGACAATGATGGGGTCAACTGGAGAATAGGCCCCCTCCCTGAAAGCTCCCCACCACCACCAGAGTCTCAAGGTCAATGTGGTTTGGCACCTGCTGGGGGCTCAAATTCCACTGACAAGAGCCCTCACCCCACCAGACTTTCTCCTCCTTTCCACCACTGCTTTCACATTCTGGCCAGAGGAGGCTGGGGACAGGGAGGAGTTGCCCATTCAGGATCCCCCAGAGGGACCGGCTAGACTGGGACAGACTCTGGGGAGCTCAGTGACCCATCCACGGGGAGGATCCTAGAAATTTCTTAGTGGGGAGGGTTCATTTTGTCCTGTCCAGGCTCCCCATCAGTCGCCCTAGTGTGCAGAACTGGCCTTGTCTTCAGAGCTGCCAGAGTCAGGCTCTGACTCAAGCACTCTGCCTATTGCCCCACTGGCTCCACCTCGGAAGCTGACAGCGGCTCCCCCAACTCTCTCAGCTGTTCTTCATAAATCTTGATTTCCATACCCTTGATCATCTTAGTTGCCCTCCGCTGCACACGTTCCAGCTTGTCAATGTCCTTCTTAAATTGTGGTGCCCAGAACTGGACATAGGACTCCTGGTGTGGTCTGAGCAAGGCAGAATAAAATGTGACTATTCTGGGATCCGTCCCTTGGAGCTCTCCGGGCCCCAAGCTGTTATCTGGCTCTGCTCAATGACCCACCCCTGCATCATGGTGTTCACCTTCTGGTGCCAAATATATTAGTCTTTATGCCTCTGTGCTTTTATGTTTGTACATACTTCATGGGCTAATAGCCGTAAATAAATAAATAAATAAATAAATGTGACTATTACTTCCCTTGATTTGGACACTAGGCTTCTGTTGATGCAGCCTAGAATAGCATTAGCTTTTGCTTTTGCTTTTGCTGCTGCAGGACATTGTTGACTCCTGTTAAGATTGTGATATACTAAGACCCCCTAGATCTCTTTCACTTGTACTAGTGGCAAGTCAGGTGTTCCCCATCTAATATTTGTGCTCCTGGTTATTCCTCCTAAATTCTCTCTGAACTGCTATATGGTGCCCCTGCACTTATGCTGCCCATTCTCAGCCACCCACATTTAAATTTTCACAAAAAATTAAAAGCTGCTCTGTAACCTTTTTCAATTAAAAAAAGGACAGTCCCGGTTCAAGTGGAGCCCATCCCTTTTGCATAGGCCCAGGTTGCCCCAAAAATGTTCCCCAGTGCAGAACAAACCCAAACCCCTCCTCCAAACACTATCCTGTCATCTGCACACTGAGACCACACAGCTCTGCTTGTCCATCTGGCCCTGCATATGGAACTGGTAGTATTTCAGAGAAGGCTACCTTAGAGGTCCTGACTTTCAGCATCCTTCCCAGCATCCTAAATTCGGCTTCCAGGACCCCTAGACTACATTTCCCCATGTCACTGGTGCCAACATGCACTGGGGCCACTGACTCCTCCCCAGCACTGTTTGCCAGGCTATCTAGGCAATGAGCAACATCCACAACCTTCGTTCACCCCTTGGTTGATCGCACTCCCAACTATCTTTGTGCTGATCTATATTCTTAAGTACCACAATCCCACCACCCACAGGAGAGGCATCTTCCCACAAGAGACAGTGATAACCACCATCCTGGATGAGATACATTTGTGGAGGAGAAGACTGTTGAGGGATTCTAGGCAGGATGGCTCTCCTCTGTCTTCTCCATTGGAGGCAGCAAATGATTCTGAATACCAGCTGCTGGAAACCACAGAAGGAGAGAGCATCCTGGTGCTCAGGTCCTGCTTGCCAGTTTCCCCACAGGCATCCGGATGGCCACTGTGAGAAGAACAGGATGCCAGGCTAGATGAGCCACTGACAGGATCTTCTTATGTTCTGACGTTCCTGATTTCCCCTCGGGAGTTAATTCCATACCTCTGGAGTTTGGGGGCCTATGAACATTCCTTTGGGGTTTATTGACATGTGAGTTTTGCTTCTTTGAACCTCTTTCAAGCAAATAAAAATCTGGGCAAGTAGAATGCTTTTTGTTGTTGTTAAATTTGTAACAGCCTCCTCAGTCTGCAAAAGCTGCCAGCTTTTTTCATTGCTTTTGCTTTTCCCAGATCTGTCACAAGACTTTTGTTATTAGCCAATCTTTGCAAACAGCAATTCTGCTCCTCCCCTACAATCCACACCCGGGGACGCACTTCTGTAGAGAAGCAAACATGACTTTGTCTTGCAAACGTTTCCTCTTCAGAATGTTTCCGTACTTTCTTCTGGGTAAGTCCCACACCATTTGTTCTGAATAGCAGTAAGATCTGCGCCAGCAGCTGGTTTGTTCAGGAGGTTGGGGAAGAGACTGACTATATCTTTGTCCTTCCTGACATTTGCCTCTTTCAGCTGCCAGACTCCTCTCTCTGGAGAAGGCTATGGGAAGGCAGTTGTAAGCCATCTTTCTCTCCCCTCTGAACTGCATTTAAGCCAGGCTGCCTGGAGTGTAGGGAGACCCGTGTCAGAAACTTTATTGTGATAAAGCCTCAGTGTGTTTTTTGGGGGAGGGTAATGTTGAATTTATTTTGTGTTTGCCAAATTGTTTATTTCTGTCTTTTAAAAAAATTACTATCATATTCTGTATTTCTTACATTTGTATTTTCAATGCTCTGTATTTTGATGTTTTGAACGTTTGCTGTGAGCCACTTTGGGCACAGCTCGTTGCGGAATAGTAGCATATAAGTAAACTCAGTCAGTTCTAAGCAAGAGCGAAGTTATTGAGACAGCTCATAAAGGTTTCTCTTTCACCACTGATTCTTGCTGGAGGGAAAGCGTGGACAGACAGCACAGACAGAGGAGGATCTGATCTGCTGGGAAGCGAGAGGAAGGAAGGAGAAGACCATTGTGTTTGAAAGTTCATGACGCTTGCAAATGACACCCTGGGCTCGGGCTACACTTATTAAATGGATGAACAGGATTATTTTAGAGCATCTATCCTGTGCAGAAGAATGAAGTTGTCCTTCTCACAGTGGTGAAACAGATGCCAGAAAGGAAGCCATCAGGAAGGACCTGAGTGCAACATCAGCAAGCTTCCCATAGTGGATTCCCAGAAACGGCCAGTTTGGGTCTTCACTGCCAATTATGGCTCTCTGCAATCCACAATCCAGGACTGTGGATTTTTCTCACAGAAGACCTTTTCTTCAGAGTATTGATGTATTCATCTTGAGTAAGGACTTCGCTGCTTTCTCCCTCAAAAAACAAAAGAAGGAGGAGGAGGAGGAGGAGGAGGAGGAGGAGGAGGAGAAACAACTCACCTAAATGCATGGAGGGCGCACTCTGAATTTGATTTGGCATGAAAAGGTAAATTATTGGCAATATTGTTTGCTTGCACTGAGGGCCTCCTTTCCCCAGGTTGAACCCTCCCAGAACACCCTTGGTGGCTTCAAAGGAATAACCAAGAGAAGGCTTAATTCTTCTTGTCATACAGTGGTGCCTCGCAAGACGAAATTAATTCGTTCCGCGAGTTTTTTCGTCTAGCGAATTTTTCGTCTTGCGAAGCACGGTTTCCCATAGGAATTCATTGAAATTCAATTAATGCGTTCCTATGGTCAAAAAAAGTCCAATCAAAGCCAAATTTGGTACAACAATAGTTTATTAAGTGCTCTTTAAAGTCACACATACTTTAAAGAGCATATCAAAAATTGAAGGAACAATAAATTAAGTTTCTAAACATGACAGAAAAACATTTAAAAATCAACGAAGTGTACTGTACATACATTTTCTAAGACTCTGGGGGACCACTCGAAGAAGGTTCCTCTTCCACTCTTTGCTTCTTGCTGAGGAACCTCTCCATGGTCTGCTGCTTCATCCACCTTTTCAGCAGCTCCCTGAGAGGCAACATGACCGTCGTATCAAAAGTGTTCGTTTGGTCATGTGCCACGTGCTTGTTAGGGTGGTGCCGCTCTGCAAAAGCCTGCACCTCCTTCCACTTCTGGCAAATGTCCCTCAGTTCTTTGGAGGACGGCCGTTCCTCAGTTGCTTCCTCCTCTTCCAGCGAGGCCTGCTCCTGCGCAACCTCTGACTGCAGTTCAACCAGCTCCTGGGTGGTCAGCTCGTGGTCGTGCTCCTCCACCAGCTCGCAGATGTCCTCCTCTGTGACCTCCAGGCCCATGGTCCTCCCCAAGGCAACAGTGTCCTGCACCACTGTTGACTCTGGTGCATCAGAGTCACTTGGTGCCACACAGTCCGGCCACAGGCTGCGCCAAGTGCAATTCAAATTTCTCTGGCTGATCCCGTTCCAGGCCGTGGTGATCATCTTCAAGCAGGTGACGATGTCGAAGTGGTCCTTCCAGAATTCCCGCAGGGTGATGGTGGTGCAATCAGTCACCTCAAAGCATCGCCTGAAAAGCTCCTTGGTGTAGAGTTTTTTGAAATTGGCAATGACCTGCTGATCCATCGGCTGGAGCAGTGGCGTGGTGTTAGGCGGCAGGAACATGATGTTGATGAAGCTGAACTCCTCCAACAAGTCCACCTCAAGGCCTTTAGGAGGAGCAGGAGCATTGTCCATCAGAAGCAAAGCCTTCAGCGGCAGGTCGTTGTCCAGCAGGTACTGTTTGACAGCAGGGCCAAAAGCAAGATTGACCCAGTCCACAAACAGCACACGTGTGACCCAAGCCTTGCTGTTGGATCGCCACATGACACTCAGCCGCTCCTTGTCGACCTTGTGTTTCTTGAAGGCCCGTGGGTTCTCCGAGTGGTACACCAGCAGGGGCTTGATCTTCACGTCGCCGCTTGCGTTGGCACAGAAGAGCAGGGTCAGGTGGTCCTTCATGGGCTTGTGGCCAGGCAACTTGGCCTCCTCCTGTGTGAGGAAAATCCTTTTGGGCATCCTCTTCCAAAACAGCCCGGTCTTGTCGCAGTTGAAGACCTGCTGTGGAACGTAGCCCTCTGTCTTCACAGCCTCCAGGTACTCCAAGGCAAAGTCTTCAGCCACAGGAACATCAGAACTGGCAGCCTCTCCATGCCTGACCATGCTGTGGATTCCAGATCTTGCCTTGAACCGGTCAAACCAGCCTCTGCTTGCCTTGAAGACTTCTGGCTCGCCTGAGGTTCCTGGCTGTTCCCGGATGAGGTCTGCGTGCAAGGCCTTGGCCTTCTCACAAATGACGGCCTCAGTCACTGTGTCCCCTGCACGCTGCTTCTCTTCTAACCAGATGAGCAGCAACTTCTCAACCTCCTCCAGAACAGCTGGGCGGTTCTTCACGATCCTGGTGACTCCCTTGGCTGCATCAGTCGCAAGGATCTTCTCCCTCATCTTCAGGATGGTCCCGATGGTCGATGGGTTCCTGCCGTACTCCCTGGCGAGGTCCGTCACACGCATTCCACCGTCGTGCTTCCGGATGATCTCCTTCTTCATTTCCAGCGTCACCTTCTCCTTCTTCCTCTCACCGGCCTCCGCAGCAGCAGCAGTCTTCTTGGGTCCCATGGCAGCACAGCTCTTACCTTCGTAAACTCAGAAAAATAAAAAGAAAATCAGCAATTCAAACCCACAACCAAGTCATTGAATTCCAAACACCCAACCCAAAATCCAAAAACCCCCAAAAAAGTTTTAAAAGTTTAACTTACGAAATGGCTGCAAATCACCAAAGTCTTCAAAATCCTCAAATGGCTGCAAAAGAAGTTTTGGGAAAGCTTTAAAAATCACCAAAGTCTTCAAAAACCTCAACTGTTCCCCCAGCCCCTCCCCAACTGTTGCAAACCCCTCCCCAACTGTTGCAAACCCCTCCCCAACTGTTGCAAACCCCTCTTCAACTGTTCCCCCATCCACCCAGCACACAGAAATTCAAACCCAGAATTTTTTTCCAAAAAAAACAACATGGCCCAATGGTCACAGAAAACCATAAAAATTCAAAAAAAACCACACAAGCTCCCAGATTCTTGCAAACCCCTCCCCAGCTGTTCCCCCAGCCACCCAGCACACAGAAATTCAAAACCCATAATTTTTTTTCAAAAAAAAACAACATGGCCCAATGGTCACAGAAAACCATAAAAATTCAAAAAAACCCCACACAAGCTCCCATATTCTTGCAAACACCTCCCCAGCTGTTCCCCCAGCCACCCAGCACACAGAAATTCAAAACCCAGAATTTTTTTTTTAAAAAAAAAACCAACATGGCCCAATGGTCACAGAAAACCATAAAAATTTAAAAAAAAAAACCACACAAGCTTCCAGATTCTTGCAAACCCCTCCCCAACTGTTGCAAACCCCTCCCCAGCTGTTCCCCCAGCCACCCAGCACACAGAAATTCAAACCCAGAATTTTTTTCAAAAAACAACAACATGGCCCAATGGTCACAGAAAACCATAAAAATTAAAAAAAAACCACACAAGCTCCCAGATTCTTGCAAAACCCTCCCCAGCTGTTCCCCCAGCCACCCAGCACACAGAAATTCAAAACCCAGAAAATTTTTTCAAAAAAAACCAACATGGCCCAATGGTCACAGAAAATCATAAAAATGCAGAAAAAACCACACAAGCTCCCAGATTCTTGCAAACCTCTCCCCAACACCAAGTCCTTGAATTCTAATCCAAAAACCCCCCAAAAAGTTTTAAAAGTTTAACTTACAAAACAGCTGCAAAAGAAGTTTTGGAAAAGCTTCAAAAATTCAGCAAACTCTTTAAAAAGCTCAAAAAGGCCACCACACCGTGTGCAATGTGTTGCTCCTCGAAGTCAAGTCGCAACTGCACCTCTTCCAGCAATGCACCCTGGGTATTAACGGTTTTACGAAAAAGGAAACAAACTTGCAAGACGTTTTCGTCTTGCGAAGCAAGCCCATAGGGAAATTCGTCTTGCGAAGCAGCTCGAAAACGAAAAAAACCTTTCGTCTTGCGAGTTTTTCGTCTTGCGAGGCGTTCGTCTTGCGGGGCACCACTGTATTTGTTACTGAGCTGAAGGGGGAGACACTGCATCTATGATGAAGGTGATCATCTCCCCTGAAGGTGTGGAATGGAATCTCTAGGGCAGAAATGTTTCCCTGAAGGATTTTTTCCTGTCATGTGTCAGTCATTCACCAATATAAAAGAAATGTCAGTTGAGAGCAAGCAGTGAATTAGAGGAGCCAACCAATGAGCAGGAAAAGGCAACTGGAGATCTTGGTGGAACAGAGTCTGTTTCTTCTTTGAACTCTGTGTTAACTTATCTCGATTTCACAAAAAATAGTGCATAATCATATTCTCCTGAAACACACATGCAGATTGTTTTTAGCTTGCTGCTTAGCATAATTTTTCACTGGGTTAGATCTTTCTGTGTTGAGTTTTCAACAGATATTTTGCACAGCTCTGATTATGTAAACTGCTTTAAGGCTTTATTAAAACCAAGACGTATAAATCTTGTGAACTGAAATAAACGAACTTTTGTTCCTCGTGAGGGGAAATTCTACTTATTTTTCAGAATTTTTCCTTGGGACAATTACACAAAGCCAGATATTCCTAAAATGTCAGCACTGCAAAGCTTTGAAAAGATTTAAGTGTTTAATCAATTGCTTTTTCAGACTTCACTAAAAAAGGATAATGATACTAATTTTCACCTTTGTTTGTATCTCCTCCCCCACCACCCACCCCTCACAAGACACGTTTAGCCGTGCGGTGGAGAACCCAACCCATCAGGTAAAGGGAATCCTGGGAGGATCAGTCTTGTTTCCTGCCAACATATCTCAAGGAATAACAGTGGAGAAAATGGAATGGGACTTTTACCCCCAAAGCGGTGGCCTGGGCTTTTGGCTGGGGGAATTCAGCCACGGTAAACTGGAGCACCCAAGTCCCACTGATCGGTTTGGACAACGATTAGACATGGTGAACGAGACAACACTGAAGGTCAAAGACCTGGAGTTGGATGACAGTGGGATCTACAATGCTCGCATCTGGTTTATGAAATCACGGTTTCAAGAACAGAGTTTCAGCCTCACAGTTTATGGTAAGTTATTCCTTTCCCTGTTTGGCTCATGGAATAGGATCAGCACCATTTACAACATAGGTACTGGGTGGGACCCAAACTTTATGTTGCTTTCAACTGTCTTCAACAGAGCCAGTGCCAACACCACAGATGCTCCATCAAGAGGTATCCAATACTCTAGAGGGATGTAATGTGACCCTGCAATGTCAGACACCTGGAAGGGAAGAACACAAGGTCTCCTGGGAAAGAGGGAATCCCTCCAGGGCCTTAGAAAGCAGCCTGGATGAGTTCCAGCTTTCTGATAGTGGAAGGCAACTCCATGTCTTCTGGAACACCATACCTTTTGACTCCACATTGACTTGCCTGGTCAGCAACCCTGTCAGTGAAAAGAGAGCCTCATTTGACTTGTCCCACATCTGCTCAAGTATTGGAGGTGAGCAATGTATCTTTATCCAGAGTTGCTGTTTGGGGTCTTATATTGCTTACACCCTATGGGGATTCAAGGAGAGACATTCATATATGCAAGCACCCCTCCTCACATGCTTGTTGACCAGTGTTAGAGAAAATTCAGTCCTGCTTGAAGATTGCCCTGACCCATCTGAATTGCTGCTTCTGCTTCTTCCTCCTCCTCCTACCCCTAGGTAAATAAATTACATTTGGAGCAGGCCAAAGTGAAGGCTGCAGCAATGTCTGACTGCACACAGGATTGTGCTGTAATTCTGGATCCAGCCTTATGGCTACACCACCCAGTAGCCAGCGTGGTGACTTGCAGAGGCTGCCAGACTCTACCCAGCAGCATAACCCCTGCCCATTGGGCCTGCTGGCTGGAGCTGATGGAAACTGGAGTCCAGCAACATCTGGAGAGCAACACATTTCCTGCCCCTGTTTCAACACCTCTTTTCATGTCTTGCCTTCATCTCACCGGCTTCTTGTATCCTAACAGAAGGTATTTTTGTTTTGGAAGTCTGTCCTGGCATTTCATTTATTCTGCTTCTCTCATGTAGGATAATCACTTTGCTTGTTGCTATTGAAGCATTTTCAAGAGTCTCTTATTGCACATTGCAGGTGAACATACTGGAACCCAGAAGATCCTGTATCTTATTTCTGGTCTCTCTGCAGCTTTTTTGTTGGGAATTGTGATTGTGGTGGCAAAATGCCAGTGGAGAAAAAGGCATCAAGGAGGTAGAACCATCTCTATTAATCTTCTTCCCATCTCACCTGGGATTGGGGCTCCCTACCAATATGCCTCTACCTTTACTGTGTTTATCATGAGAAGCAGAATTAGGTCAGTGTCATGGAATAAATATTGTTTCTCATGTTACATTCCACAGAAATTGTCCGTAGGCTTCCAGAGAAGGGGCAAAATTTTATTGCACACCAGAACTCAGAAGAGAGGCTCTCACAACTTTTCATGTAGTTGCCAATAGTGTAACCAACTCTGAAAATGATCTTTTATTTCTTCATAATCTCTTAATTTTTACAGAGGGGAATCTAAACTGAAATCAATGGAAAGTGTAAGGAGCCTTGTTATGGCTACAATATAATCAGTGACATGAAATGTTTGACATGGAAGAAATGTTTTTTTTGGACCAAAGCTCACAATTCGAAAAATAACTTATACAAAACAAAGAAAAACTTTTATCTAAAATGTACAATCTGTTATTAGATTGGGAAACAAAAGATGAGCTTGTCAAAGCTTCTATGACACATGGAGCAATAGATATAGGATACAACATAGATTTTAATCTTTGGAAAAAACTTTGGAAGAACGATCTGAAGTTTTCAGCATGTTATTCTTTGAAGGATAATTATTTGAAAATGATTTGCAGATGGTATTTAGCTCCAAGTAGACTTGCTAAGATGTATAAGACTGAATCAGATAAGTGATTATCTGCACTGGAGATGCAATGAGGTTGGGGGAACGTTCTTTCATATGTGGTGGACCTGTAAAAGGGTAAAAGAGTATTGGGAAATGATCCATAATGAATTGAAAAAAATGTTCAAAAGTACCTTTCAAAAAAACCCCCACTGTCAGGGGTTCAGGGACAGAGGCACAGGGTAGGGAGGAGATGGAGAGCGATGGGGGTGAATCCCAGGACAGTGAGGAAGAGGATGACAATGACTCAAGAGATTCCATGAGTCTTTCCAGCGAATCAGAGGATTCCCAGAAGGGGGCGCCAGTGGTCAAGGCCAGGGTAGCCCCAGGGGGACGTGTCAGGAACAGGGGCCAGCGGGGGATCCCAAAGTGGCAGCTGGGCGTCAGGACCAGCCTCCCCACCAGAGTGCAGCGAAGGGGGTGGAGGTTCCAGTGTATCAGGGGAAGCAGCTCCGGCAGCAGAGAAGGGAGGGAGGTCGGAGCAAGCCATCCTCCCGGAAGGGGAGGGGAGTAGTGAAGGGAGTAGTGTAACTGTCAAAAGGAAAGTTAGAGGTTGGGCGCGTGCGCCAAGTTCAAATGTAGAGGCGCGCGGAAGTACAGGGAGCCCGGAGGAGGGGCCAGGTCCCAAAGCCCGCAGGAGGGGGGAAGAGCAGTCGGGGGATAGCGCGTCAGGGGAATCCAGGAGGGGCGAAACCGCAGCGGGCAGAAAGACCCTGAGGAAAAGGAAAGAGAGAAAGAGGTGGAGCAGCGCAAGGCTCTTAAACTGGTGCAGGGGAGGGACTGACTCAGAGGGGACTTCAACGGTCTAAGCGTACAGACGTGAGGCTGCGCGCCTCGGATATGAAGCAAACAATGAACTGCAATAAACACTTTTGTATGTAAGAAGAGATTGGCGTTGGTCTTTTGTGAGCTGAGACTTGAGGCAGCCTTGACACCCACCAGAGTCCTTTTTGTTGGGGATAGATAGTTCAGATGGAAATTCCCAGGTGTCAAAATGTTGCGTTCGCAAAGTAAAGGAAGGATTGAACTCTGATTAATAAGAATACACACAGAGGCTTGAACCAGCAAGACTCTGGGAAGGGTGGGTATAATCGTGTCTCTCTGTTCCTGTCCATGTACGGCCCCTGGCCCAGGCCGTTTTTATTCACAAAAGAACTTTTTACAGAGTGTTCGTAAGAACCAATCAGATTTCTTCTGAGCATTCCACAAACCCAGGTGGGGACAAATTAAACTACTAAAACTAATTAAGCACAGGGTAAACAAAGAACAGAACTACAAAGAAGAGCATCTGGCAACCCCGGAGGTGATAAACAAGCAATACACATGATAAGAAGGATGGCCAGGAGGACAGTGACCATTATCACCTTAATGTGAAATCTGTTTCCTGGCCCTAAGATTAACATCCTAAGATAAATATATAAGAAAGGCCTTCAAAGAAACTTGCCCACTATCTTTATGGCCCAGGATGCCTGCCTGGCGAAGCAAGAAGCAACTGGGCTGTGTACGCGACTTATGAAGCAAGAGAGAAATGGGCAGTAGAGGCAAAAGGGCATGAAAAGGGCACAAATGTAGAATAATAATAATAATAATAATAATAATAATAATAAATTTTATTTATATCCCGCCCCCCCCAGCCAAAGCCAGGCTCAGGGCAGCTAACAACAAACAAATAATCAAACAATCAAATAATCCAACATTCTAAAACATTTCATTATAAAAATTAATTAAAATCAAATTAATGGCAACCGTTAAGCAAAGTTCTGTGCAGGTTGCCAGAGGAGGAGTCAGGCTGGGCCCTGACCAAAGGCCTGGTGGAACAACTCTGTCTTGCAGGCCTTGCGGAAAGATGTCAGGTCCCACAGGGCCCTAGTCTCTTGTGACAGAGCGTTCCACCAGATTGGAGCCGCAGCCGAGAAAGCCCTGGCTCTAGTTGAGGCCAGCCTAACCTCTCTGAGGCCTGGGACCTTCAGGATGTTTTTATTTGTAGACCGTAGGTTCCTCTGTGGGGCATACCAGGAGAGGCGGTCCCGTAGGTACGAGGGTCCTAGGCCATATAGGGCTTTAAAGGTTAAAACCAGCACCTTAAACCTGATCCTGTACTCCACTGGGAGCCAGTGCAGCTGGTATAGCACTGGGTGAATGTGATCCCGCAGTTAGGACCCCATAAGGAGTCTCGCCGCGGCATTCTGCACCCGCTGGAGTTTCTGGGTCAGTCTCAAGGGCAGCCCCACGTAGAGCGAGTTACAATAATCCAGTCTGGAGGTGACCGTCACGTGGATCACAGTGGCTAGGTCAGGGCGAGAGAGATAAGGGATTTAATCTTATGGGATTTAATCAGAAACTATCGTCAATATATCAAACCCAGTCAACACAATGCTTTCATCGTGGACACGATGGCTTGATGTATATTTTATAATTTCTCATGGTAATCCCATCTGATCCCTACATCAAAAAGGGCTATTTATGTTTGCCACTACTGCTGCCTATGTTTTGTTAGCCCAGAAATGGAAAATGAGATAGATACCAACTAAAGAATAATGGCAACTTAAACTGATAGAATATGCGCAGCTTGAAGACCTAACAAATAGAATAAGAGAACAAGAAGAACATACATTTAAAGAAGATTGGAAAATACTTATTGAATATATGGGGGGCGGGAATTGTGTACACTTGAAAACTTTGGCAGCATTATGGTAAATTCAACAGTGTAAATAAGTTTGGATGGATGTATTAATGGAATACTGAATGGTTTGGTTTATGTATTGTAAATTATACAGGGATTAGATAGATAATTTATTACGGTCGGAGACCAGCTTATAAAACACACTTGTGCGTACAATCCCAGAAGGAAAAAAATACACATTTAAAACAATGTACAACAATAAATTTAAAATTTATAAATGCGATAACCGTATAGACACTTAAAACTTTAAGATAAGTTACTGCAGAGAGATGACCCAGAGTCACCCATGGAACCGAGTTTGGGGATTTTCTTAACAAACTAGTTTGGGTCAGGGGATGGTCTGTGCCTACAGATCTGTACACAGAAACTGGCGACCATCCAGGTCATCTTATGTACAGGGATTTATGGTATGCAAATTGAACCATGAAAAGAGAAGAAGGGAAGTCATTGATGTTTTAAACTGTAAAATTGAAAACTTAAAAATTACACAGACACAAACAAAGAAATCAGGCATGGCTCTCACTCTCTGGCTTCTGCCACCAGCCTGTTTTTAGTCCAGCTCTCACACACTCAACTCTTTCTCACTGCCAGCCAGGTGAGGGAGGGGGCCGACCCATTTGCCCTCTGGCATAAGCAGCTTCCTTTGTTATACTAATGACCTTAATTAATATACTTAGTTGGCAGCTTTGACCCTTGTCCAGTTAATTGAACAATGGAATCCAGGCGCCGTTGCCGGCACTGTTTTGTGTTGGGGTATGTATGGTTCCGCCAGTACTGATGGCCAGGAGGGGTCTTTGGTGGTTCTCTCCCCTGATGGTCCCTTAATGGGATCTCTAGCACCGTCTTCAAGAGGGGTGCCTTCTCCTCCAGGTCCTTGGCTTCATTCCCTGAAGATTCTGGGTCTGATACAGAGTCAGAACAGACAGAAGGACAGGATTTCCAGGGTGGTGGGGAACTCGTTGAAACTTCCGTTCTGTCCCAGAAAACCTGCAGGAGCAGAGAGAACCAGAATCAGCTATAGAACATGACAGGAGAGATTCAGATGCAGCTACTTTAAAATGTCACTGAGGATTTGTACCCACCTAAATAAACTTGGGGAAGAAAGGGGTTCTGGCAAAGCCCAATGGTGCCCTAAGAAAGATCACAGACACCTTCTCTATACAATATTTCCACTCATTTTGGGTTAGCATTTGGTTGTACAGGTTCCTGGATCACTCACGCTAAGTTGGGGTGTAGTTGTCCATTTTTAGCAGACAAAAGGAGGCAGTTTGCATCTGCTGGCAGTGACATTTTTAAAGTCAAGGTCCATGTCTCACTTGTTGTTTCATATTCCAGTTGGAATTGATGATACAATTAGCATTTTAGAAGGCACCCAGAGTAGCTGCTGAGTGGAGACTGCAATCCTGTTGGAAACTGTTCTATATGCACCTTTCGCTGTGAAGAAGCAGAATCCTGCAGCCAGAAGGATCAAATGCTCTGCTCATCAGTGGGCGAGAGAAGGGTTTAATCCTGCTCAGTTTGACTGTGCATGCATGTTCCCCTGATGGGAACTGGCTCTTTTCAGAGGCTGCCTCCCTCTCCTTCATGAATTATATGAACTGGATTCTTGTTCACAAAAACCTATGCCATAATACAGGTGAAATGTCATTATAATGCCTTACGCCAGGGGTCAGCAACCTTTTTCAGCCATGGGCCAGTCCACCGTCCCTCAGAGCATGTGGGGGACCGGACTATATTTTGAAGAAAAAAATGAACGGATTCCTATGCCCTATAAATAACCCAGAGATGCATTTTAAATAAAAGCACACATTCTACTCATGTAAAAACATGCTGATTCCCGGACCGTCTGCGGGCCGGATTGAGAAGGCGATTGGGCCAGATCCGGTCCCTGGGCCTTAGGTTGCCTACCCCTGCCTTATGCCATAATAAATTTCCCATTTCCCCCTGGCCTAGGGAATGGGGCCCAGACTCACCTTGAACAGCTAAAAGAGGGTCCTGGGAGGCCACTGGGACATTGCTGGAACAATTCTTGGATTGGGGCAACTGGCTAAAATGTTCTAAAATGTTCTAAACGGTTCTAATTTTGGTTCCTCTGTTTCATTTGTGTTGGGTTGGTGTTGGTTAAATGTTTAGTTGGAGGTGGCAGTTACTTTAATTTGGGTATACAGTGGTACCTCGGGTTAAGAACTTAATTCATTCTGGAGGTCCGCTCTTAACCTGAAAGTATTCTTAACCTGAGGTACCACTTTAGCTAATGGGGCCTCCCGCTGCCACCGCCATGTGATTTCTGTTCTCATCCTGAAGCAAAGTTCTTAACCCGAGGTACTATTTCTGGGTTAGTGGAGTCTGTAACCTGAAGCGTATGTAACCTGAAGCATCTGTAGCCCGAGGTACCACTGTAACTGCAAACTGTTGGTTATTATTGTTGTTGGTGGTGGTTTCTATTGATTTATTGGTTTGTTGGTTGCTTGTATAGGATTTCCCCCCAATATTTGATGCTTTGTTGGGTTTTTGTATATGTTGTAAGTCACCCAGAGTGGCTGAGGAAACCCAGCCAGATGGGCAGGATATAAATTTAAATCAATCAATCAGTCAACCAACCAACCAACCAACCAACCAACCAACCAACCAACCTGTTGATCAGTGAGTTGGGTAATGGAGAGCGGTAGCTGTGGCTTAGTCTTCTTGCCTGCTGGTAATCTGTTTTGTGTGTATAATTATTAGATTGAACCATCATCCCTTCACCACTTCACGAGCTCATCTCACCTGATTATCACCATCTTGTTGTGGATTTCTTGCTGAGTTCCGGTGTGCAGAAGAGCTCTCTAAGTCCTCTAGTATCAATGAGTGAATATCTGAAGAGACATATTATTTATTCCATGGCATGGACCCACTTCTGCCTCTCAAAATAAGCAAAAGTAAAGTAAAGGTGTATTTGACAAGCAGCCTCCATCCCAGGTGAGGCAGGAACCAGACTGAAAGAGATGGCCCTACCTCTTTCCTTCTTTTTGGATTTACGCTTCCTCCTCATCCACATCCACTTCACTGGCACCACCATGATGATCAGCAACATGACAACTGCAGTGAAGATAATGTGATGTCTCTGGCGTCCGACCTGTGCACCTGCAATGTGTAAAGAGAGTCTCTTGAAATATTCTCGAATAACAACCACCAAAGTGACCTTCCTGCATGACTTGGAAGGCTAAGCAAATGTGCCAGTCTGTTCCATTTGTATTGACTTTATTGGATTTCTTTGTCACAGAGTTTAGGTCCATCATTTCGGTTTGCATTTCATTTCCCCCTATCGTTTTATTTTTATTTTTCATTTACAAACTGTATTGCAACCAACAATTGCCCAATTCGTTTATGATAAAATAAGGTAAAACACAGAGATTCAGAAGATCACATACCCAGGAAGCAAAACGCAACTCAACCATTTCTACAAATCACAGAATTGTAGAGGTGGAGGGGACTACGAGGGTCGTTTAGTCCCACCCCCTGCAATGCAGGAAGCTTTGGTCCAACATGGGGCTCAAAGCTACAACCCTGAGATTAAGAGTCTCATGCTCTACCAGCTGAACTATCCCACTTAAAAGCAGCTATTCCTCCATACACTGACTAGGTCACACTTGCTCACCATCATCACCTGGGCAAATTTTGAGCAAGTCAAAGGAGGCATTCTTTTGGTCAACTGAATTAGTAAGCAGGCAGGTGAATGCCGAGTCCGAAGAGTCTTTTCGCCAGGAAACACGGAGATTCCTTCCATTGTCAGAAAGCTGATACTCATACACGCTGTTTCCTAATGCCCTGGGCGGATTCCCTCTTTCCATGAGATACTGAACTCTTCCTTTCCAGGTGCCTGGCACTGCAGGGTCACATTGCATCCCTCCGAAGTCTGGGAGACTTCCTGAAAGTGTATCTGTGGTGCTGGCACTGGCTCTGTGAAACACAAATGAAATCAGCACAAGGGTTTTGTCCCACCCCTCCCAGTACCTTTGTAGGGAAATGGTGCTGATCCCATTCCATGAGCCAAACGGTGAAAGCAAATGGGATCCTCCTAATTGAGGGTCCTGGTTGTGCACGGGCACTCAAGGCACACCAAGGGTTAATTTAGTTGGAGAGGTGTAACCCAAGCCCTAGCCATAGCCCTGGGATCATGCCAGGCTGACTGGGCCAATCGCCTGGAGGTGGCATGATCCCAGGGGCTGTTAAGAATGACAGCATGATGTAATTGGGGGCACTTGCTTTGCGTTTCCGAACACCCGCCCTCGCTCCCTTGTGTTAGGCAGTGTCACTTTGGCCTTGCTTTGGTTTGGGTCACCTGTTTTGGAACAGGGGTTGGGTAGGAATTTTTCCATTTGGCACATTGGCTATAGCCACTTGGTTTTCGCCTACCCCCTCAGCAATCGTCACAACTTGCAAGGCGGCGGTTAGGCATTGGCTCATTGAAATGTGGGGAGGGGAGGTGCGGCCATCACCTGCCCCTCCAGGAACAGGGTATTTGGATCCTGTCCAAAGTCTGCTTGGGGGGCTAGGGCCATGCCAGGACCCCAGGAACCCTGGGGTGAGCTTCAGTTGCTCTTCATCGATGTCGCTCCCTCGTTTGGTTTACCCTTTTAGACTACCAATCAGAAAGGTGGAGTCAGCTATAGTTTGGAGCCAATGCCTAAGCCAATACCGCTCACATGGTTGAATTGAATAAAGTTGCGGCCAAAATTTGCCCAAAAGCTAAAATAAGTGTCAGTGTGAAGTTATTTCAAGGGGGTGGGATCCTGGGGGCCTTGAAGTGCAATAACGTACCATAAACTGTGAGGCTGAAACTCTGTTCTTGAAACTGTGACTTAGTAAACCAGACGCGAGCATTGTAGATCCCACTGTCATCCAACTCCAGGTCTTTGATCCTCAGTGTTGTCTCGTCCACCATGTCTAGCCGTTGTCCAAACCGGTCGGAGGGACTTTGTTGCTCCAGTTTCCCATGACTGAATTCCCCCAGCCAAAAGCCCAGGCTACCACTTTGGGGGTAAAAGTCCCATTCCATTTTCTCCACTGTTATTCCTTGAGATACATTGGCAGGAAACAAGACTGATCCTCCCAGCATTCCCTTCAGCTGATGGTTTGGACTCCCCACTACATGCCTTAAAGTTTCTAGTGAGGGGAGGGTGGTAGGGGAGGAGATACAAACAAAGGGGGAAATTAGTATCATTATTGTTTTGAGCTCCTTATCCATCTTCCATCATGAGGTCCCAGAGGAGGTGACAACAATTTAAAATGCAGCATTAAAACGTAATAGGAAGGGGCCTAAAAATGATATTGCAGGTGTCAGTGGTATGGTGAAAGGGTGAATCTTCCACATATAATGGAAACTCTGCAATGAAGGTGCAGGAGCATCTCTGTGGAGAGGGACATCTGCAGGTTAGCCGCCTGCCACAAAGAAGGTCCTCTCCTGGGCTGACTCTCCTCCCAAATGTTTGAGGAAGGTGAAACTAGTCTCTCAGGTATTTGGGACCTAAATAAAAGAAAGTTTACAATATCCAATATTAATTGTAACTGTTGCTGAATTGTACATTGAGGCACTGGAAATACCCAACTCACTAGTAAAACATTTACTACATTCTCTTAGCTGTCCCAACAACTTGGTCCTTTACTGTAAGAGAAGGACATTGTTACAAGTGCAAAGTTACATTCCAAAAATCAAGTGCTCTGTGTTCTCCAGCAATAGGCATCTATCTGGTGTCCAGGAACTGGGATGAAGAAAAACTCAGAGAGAAGATTGGTCTGGGTGATTAAAATAAAATAACGTGAGGTCTGAACTTCATCTGTAAATAAAGCAATCCATTAAACACTTAAATCTTTTCAAAGCTGTCCCTTTGTCATATTTTGGGGAACATTGGGCTCTGTGTAATTGTCACAAGGAAAAATTCTGAAAAGAAGTAGAATTTCCCTACACAAGGAACAAAAGTTCATTTATTTCAGTTAACAAGATTTGTATACTGCTTGGTTGTAATAAAGTCTCAAGGCAGAATCAGAGATGTGCAAAATGTCTGTTGAAAACTCAACACAGAAAGCTCTAACCCAGTGAAAAATTATTCTAAGCAGCAATATAAAATCCACATGCATGTGTGTTTCAGGAAAAAATAATTATGCACAATTTTTCGTGAAACCGAGATAAGTTTATACAGAGTTCAGAGAAGCAACTGACTCTGTTCCACCAAGATCCCCAGTCGCCTTTTCCTGCTCATTGGTTGGCTCCTCTAATTCACTGCTTGCTCTTAACTGACCTTTATTTTGTATTAGTTAATGACTGACAAAATCCTGCAGGAAAACATTTCTGCCCTAGAGACGAGGTCGACTTGCAGTCATCATATCCTGTGCTTTTATTTCGCTCCACTGCACACCTTCATCATACACGCAGATTGTCCCCCTCAAGTTCAGCTCAGTAACAAATAATACACACACGATTAAACTCTCAAAAGCGTTCTGTTGGAGCTTCCTTTGAAGCCAGGGGGAGGTTCCAGCAGGGGAGAGGAGACCCTGAGTGCTAGTAACCAATATTGTCAATAATTTTCCCCTTCATGACAAATCAAACTCACAGTGCCCCTCCATGCATTTAGGTGGGGTTTCTTTATTTTTGTTTTTGTTTTGTTTTTGAGAGAGAAAGCAGTGAAGTCCTTACCCAAGGAAGAGTACAGCAATAGTCTGAAGAAGAGGTCTTCTGCGAGAAAAGTCCACCATTGTATCTCTCCAGAGGTGCAGAGAGCCATGAGAGACAGTGAGGCACCAGACTGTTTCTGGGACTCACAGATGGGGAGACTTGCTGCTGTTGAGCTCAGGTCCTGCCTGTGGATTTCCCATTGAGGCATCTGTTTCACCACCATGAGGAGAACAACTTCATTTTTCTGCACAGGATAGATGCTCTAAAATAAGCCTGATCATCCATCTTATAAGCATTGCCCTACTACAGAGTTTTATCAGCAAGAGTCATGAACTTGCGAACACAACGGTCGGCTACTTCCTTCCTCTCGCTTCCCAGCAAATCAGATCCTCCTCTTCAAACCAGCAAGGCTGTCTGTGCTCGCTCTCCCTCCCCTTCTCATCCAGGCAAAACTGTGCTTCTCCTCCTTTTTTCTGACTCCTCCTTTCCCTGCTCTTTCGTCCTCCCCTTATAAACCAGGAAGGATCAGCGGAGGAGGAGAAAGAGTGTGTGAGCTCAGGGTGAGAGCTTCTTTGTTGTTAAACACCTTCCTGTGTGCCTGTTAAATGTTTATGTTTAGAACAGGTGTTTGATTCTCACCCACATCTGGAGACCACCAATCTTTCAGAGTCTTGAAAAACCCTTGCAAAGGAGAGAAACAGTTGCAAATGTGCAGCAGCAACTACAACAGCAGCAGTAGAGACTGTTCCCTAAGGATGAGTGGGGCACTGCCTTTGCCAGCTTCAGCCCGTCCTTAGCCTAAAGTTACCAGGGTTTTTTTGTAAGAATCTAGGGACACTTTTTTTTCTTGAAAAGAGAAAAAAAAAGTGATATTTTTTTTTTTTTTTTAAAGTAATACCTTCTCTTCTGTGGTCTCCTCTGTTGTGCGGTGTTCCTCTGGGCCCTGGCCTGCTCTCTTGGAGCGCTAGCCGCCATGGAGTCGGCTCAGGTCAGACCTGTGCTCAGCCATGTGTCCTTGCCCTCCCAGTGCTCTCCTATCTCTCCTCCCTAGTGGCGGCGGCAGTAGCGGTGCAGCAAGGTCAGGGCTCCCCTCTTTTTTTCCTCCTTCCTCTTCCTCTCTCTTCCTTCTTCTACTCTCCTCCTTCTCCCTGCATCGGCTCTGGGTTTTTCCTGGCCCCAGAGCACCGCTGGGTAGTTGGCTGGGTGGCCAGGCACTCTCGCTCCTGGCTCAATTTGGGTTGTAGGGTGTGTGTGCATGTCAGTTGTTCTCCCAGTTGATCCACCGGTGATCCCTGATTCCCCCTCGGAGGTGGTGGCAGTCTCAGCAGCCCAGAGCCAGCCTGGTAGCGCAGTTGGCTCTGGCTGGCTTCAGGAGCTCCTCGCTGCTGTGGCGCCCGCCATTTTGCCTTGCCAGAAGTCCCCATATGCTTTGTCTTGTGCCATTGAATCAATCACCCAACATTCATTCCCTACGAATAAATCTACAACAATTAAAATATAAATCCATTAAATGAAATCTGGGGACATTCTGGGGACAGATTTTGTCCGGGGAAAGATTTGTAATTCAGGGGGCTGTTTCTGGGAAATGGGGACGTCTGGTAACCATACCTTAGCCAGTCCCCACCTGTCTTCTTTTTCACTTTCAACGAGCCCTGGCACTGCCTCCTCCTTAGTACCTTTTACTCTTGTACCTTTCAGTCAGGCAGATTGTCCTACAAACTGAGCTCAGTAACAAAGATTTCTGTCATTGCCCCACCCTCTCCAGGAACTGGGTGCTGGTAACCAAGATCAGCTGTTTCAGTTACTGTCCTCTTGATTGGTATTGATTGAGTTTATTTACATGCATCTGTTCCTCAATGAGCTGTGCCCAAAGTGGCTGACAGCAAACATTCAAATCATAAAAACAACAATAGAACACTGGAAATACAAATGTACAAAATACAGAATATGACAGCAAATTTTAAAAACATGACAGAAATAAACAATTTGGCAAACACAGAATAAAATCAATATTACTGCCCCCACCCCACAAAAAAATGGAGGATTAAGTACATGGATACAAAACAATACAAGAATTAACGGACAATGAAGTTTCTGGCACTGGTATGGCTACTCTCCAAGCAGCCTGACTTAAATACAGTTCAGAGAGGAGGGGAAGATGGCATACAGCTGGCTCCCATATCCTTCTCCAGAGGAGTCTGGCAACTGCAGTAGGCAAATGTTGAGGAGGACAGCAATGCTCAGTCTCTTCCACAGCTGCTGTGCCACAGGTCTTATTGCTCCTCAGGACAAACAGAGGGCGACTTACCCAGGGCAAAGTACAGCAACATTCTGAAGAGGAAACGACTGCACAAAAGCGTTTGCTTCTCTGCGGAAGTGTGTTTCTGGATGTGGAATGTGGGGGAGGAGGAGAATTGCAGTTTCTCCCCAAAGCTCCCTCTAAGAGGGAAATAGTGCGAAGTAATTGATAGTCATGCAGGCCAAGAAAACTGTGAGCTAAAAATGAGAAATGCGCACCAGGTGCCCACACAGAAATTTGGAAATTTCGGTTGCAGGTCTTCTCTTTTACGCTATGACAACATGAGGCATTACTAGTTCTGTATCTGTGTTCAGTAACCCCTGATTCTTTTAGCATATTGTTTGACTCATAGAATGGTAGAGTTGGAAGGGCTCCCAAGGGCATCTAGTCCAACCCCCTTCAATGTAGGAATCTTAGCTAAACCATTCATGGCAGATGAAATCCACACTGGTCTGAATTTTGCTTTGCTGTTCGCCAGTGATTAATATGTACAAACATGCATGTACTGGGAAAACGTGTGCACATCAGTGCATGAATGTTTTGTATGCATCAATCATAAAGTGCACAAAGCAATGCAAACATTAGTGAAAATAAAACAAAATCTCTCTCCTTTTGAAACATGACACCTGGAGAACGTCTCTGCTTTAAGACAAAATACACGTTCAAGCTTCTCACAAACTCTCCCTCTCCTCCCTCATCGGAGACCACAACCACATCCTACAGTCAGATAATGGGTAAGGAGAAGAAGCAAAGAAAGAACAAAACAAAGATGGAACCAAAGAGCAAGAAGAACTGGCTCATGTATAAATGTCACAATGTTTGCTTTGCACTTCCAAGGGATCAATCTTTCAGTGTTGGCAGCACTACTCTTTGGAACTCCCTGCTTATTGACACCAGACAAGCACCCTCACTCTGCTGCTGTTAAATATTTGCCTCGCTCCTTTTTAGTCTCCCTGGTAGGGAAAATATGTCTCCTTCCCAAAAGAAAATCTCTTTGTTTTGCCAGGGAGTAGAGTGAAAACAACCTTTTCTGGAAAAGATTATTTAAACGTTTTTTCGATACAAACAACAACGCAAAAGACACATGCAACAAAAAACATATTAACAATAATAACACAATCTGACAATCAGATTTGAATACAAAGATATACCTATGACTACACATTTTTAACATTATTTTCCCACCTCCCTCTCCTCCCTCCACTTCCCACTGCTATCTGACTTATTGCTTAATTCGTTCGTATGTAGCTAATCTGTCCACATTATCAATCCATGTGCTCAATGGAATCTTTTTGCGGTTCTTCCGATTCATCAAAACAAGTTATTTTGCTTCTAATATAGCACGGTACATCAATTTTTTTTAACCCCTTGAATTCTTCCACGTTTCCGGAATATAATTTAGAATTAAATGCAATTCCCCTAAATAACTATTTCTTTTTATTACTCTTACTATAAATATCCTCACGTCACCCAAAATGAGTGAAAACAACCTTGTGCTCCAGTCCAATGTATTGTTGCAAAAGTCCAGTACCCAGTTGAGGCAAGAGTACATGGGATCCCAGGCACCCAAAGAGGGTCTGTGTTCCTTTGGAGAATGGAAGACACAGCAGAGGCTGCTGTAGCTTTAAGAAATAGGGTTTATTCACCCATTTACACCTTCAGTCTACATGGAAGGAGTCCAAGCTCAGTAGGAAAAGAGAGGGAAGGCAAGGCAAGGCACCTAGGTTGAAGAAGCCAGAGACCTGTGCTGTTTCCAGCAACAGTAAAGCTCAAGAGGATTGTCTTATATACTCTGTTTGCGACTGGTGATGAAGGCATTTCTGGGACTCCTTGCATTCAAGGAGACCCCAACTATAGTCGCAGGATAAGTTTTGGTATGTTGCTCTTTGTCCTGGTCACAAGACCTTTGGGGCCAGTGTTGAAGGCTGCTGGGTAGGCTGTAGTTCTGGCTCAACTGGCAGCATTGAGAGATCAGCAATGGGTCTTTCTCCTGAGGGACCCTCAGTGAATTCCTCAGCAGGGGCTCCTGGAGATGTGCCTGACCTCTCATGCAATCTTCAATCTCTGAGGGCTCTGTTTCTGAGACTGTACAAGAAGTGAGAGAAGGAAAGCATTTTCTGGATAGCGTGGAACAGCTTGAGAATTCCTCCTTCTCTGAGTCAACCTGCAGGGTTGGTCTGTGGGATTCAGTGTTCAATCTGCATTGGAGAGAAAATATGTCAGGAGGAACTCTGGGGATGCAACTTCTAAAAGAATTTCTGGGCATTTGGGCCCACCTGAACCCTGAAGAAAATTAAAGTCCTGTCCAAGTCCAGAGTTCTCCAAGAAGGGATACCAATTTGCCTAAAAGCATCTTCCCTGCACCTCTGTTCCAGCTTTAGGGCTAGCTTTCTAGTTCCACGGCCTCCTGGAGAACTTGCCATAACTAAGTCCATAAGGGAGCGGGTGTAATTGCCCATTTTGAATTGACAAAAGTATGTCATTTCCACTCTCCAGCACTCAGTTATTATCAATGATAAAATTAGTATTTTGGGAAGAGTCCAGAACAGCTGGTGAGGGAAGAGCGCAATCCTGTTGGGTTCACTGGGGGAAGGATGTGGGCAGCAGAGCCCTGCAGCCAGAGGCCTGAATTCTTCATTCACTATTAGGAGAGCGGTGGGTTCAATTCTGTTCACTTTAACCGGGCATGGATGTTCCACTGATGGGAACAGGCTCTTGGCACAAGCTGCCTGCCTCCCCTTGTGCCATAATCAATTGGTTAAGTCTTTTTGGGTCACTGGCCTGTTTTTGTTTTTTTCAATCCAAATAACAATTATTGGTCTCAATGAAAATGTCAGGGACATTCCCATTTTGAAAGACAGCGAGGATCTGAAGAGGAGGGAGGAGAAGCTGAGAGGAGTAGAAATGGGAGTCTTACACACAGTGAGAGGGAGATAAGCCTCTCTCGCTCTGGCGTGCTGCCTCAGGGCCGTCTTAAGCATATCAGGCGCCGTGGTGCAAAGATCCCTCTGTCACCCCCCCTGGCAACTCCAAAACAAGGGAGGGGGCGGTGGAAAATATCCTCTGTCTCCCCCACCGCCCTGATCCCTGGCATGCTGGCAGCGATCAAGCAGCAAAACGTGCTGGTGGACATGCACTCCAGTGTTGGGGCACCCAGGAAGGCAGCCTGGAAAGTCTGCACACTGCCTTTTGCCAGGAAGCAGGAGGACAACAACTGGGATCAGGGCCGTCTTTAGCAGATGCAAAGGCTTGGGAGCTCTGTGAGGATCGCTCTCCTCCTGCAGAGGCTTGGGAAGGAAGCTGAATGCCCGCCATATAGTTGGCGGGGCGCAGCTGGTGGGCATGCAGGGAAAGAAGAGGCCTCCCAAATGTTATAAATGCCTCCCAAATGTATCAGATGATTTCATTGGTAGATAAAAACAATCACCCCATCATTACTTTGCACACCAATCATCGCACCTCATCATCACCGACAATATTCTGTGGCACCTGAGCTCTGGATACTCTTCTCTTTCTCTCGCATCAGAGTGAATATCTGTGGAGTGCGAAATGAGACACATTATTGAGTCCATGGCACTGACCAGTCTCTGCCTCTCAGGATAAGCAGAAGAAAGGTAGAGGTATATTTGGCAGGAAGTCCCCATCTCAGGAGAGATGGGAAGATCAATAGAGATGGTCCTACCTCTTCTATGCCTTTCCAATCCGATCTTCCAGTGCATCCAATTCACCTTCACCATCACCATCAGCATCACCATCACCATAAGAAATATGAGGGAAGGGAGAAGCCATGGTCTCCAACTCGAGGGTCCAAACTGTCCACCTACAATGTGTGGGAATGTTTATATTATTTAGCAGAGTATAAAGGATCCCTTGTCTGAGTTTATGCAGGTTGCTAACTTGTTTGAGTCCTATCAATAATTATACCTTCCTGGTTGCTAATCCCTTTCTGTCCCTCTTAAAGAAAACACACATGAATCTGAATCATATTAACATAGACTACTTTACTTTCAGATTCATTCAGGTATACAGAGTTGTTCCTGAAGGCAGGCTTAGGTTACATAACAGATAAACTATATACTAGATTGGAGTGAGCCATGAGAAGACTGCATCCAAGCAGTTACCAGTTAACACTCCTAGCAGCAACTGACCAACCAAGTGACAAAACTGCCTGCCACCCAGAGGCAGTTAGGACTCTTGGAATGTTGGCCTTGACTGACAGCTTTATATCCCACACAATGAACAATAAGAGTTTCTCAAAACATACTCTAATAACAATTGCCAGAATGCGTCTCACAGAATCATAGAATTGTAGAGTTGGAAGGGACAACTAGAGTCATCTAGTCCATCCCTCTGCGTTGCAGGAATCTTTGGCCCAAGATGTGGCTTGATCCCATGATCCCAAGACTCAGAGCCTCATGCTCACACCTGGCTGAGAGCAGTAGAATAAATAGCAAGAGATAAGCAAGTGTTTCTAATCTTTCCCCTTTGTATTGCAATGATTTGGGCTGTGAATGCCTGTCGGAAACACTTTCCTGCTCTGAATCCATTTCTTAAGGCAGGAAAAGGTGAAGATGGGGGCAGCAGCAGCAATTCACAGGATCAGATCAGTCTTCAAGGAGCTCTGTGTATGCTCCATTTCTGCTCACAAGCACTCAAAAAGCAGCATTTATTAATACAAACACATCTCCCCAAACCCCTCATGTTAAGGGCTAGCCTGCCTTTTCGCCACCACAAAGACCTCCTCTGCATAATGAAGGAAAGGATATATTGCTCACCTTCATCACTCTGGCAGATGTTGAGCAAGTCAAAGGAGGCTCTCTTTTGATCAACAGGATTTGTAACCAGACAGGTGAATTTGGAGTCCAAAGAACTGTTCCAGAAGGAGATATGGAGCTCTTGGCCATTTTCAGAAACCTGGTACTGATTCACACTCTTTCCTAAGGCCCTGTGTGGACCCCCTGTTTCCCAGGAGATACTGAGATCTACCCTTCCAGGTGTGTGGCATCGCAAGGTCACATTGCATCCACCTGGAGTCTTGGATTCCACTTGATGGTCTATCTGTGGTGTTGGCACTGGCTCTGTGGAACACAAATGAAAACAGCATAAATTTTGGGTCCCACCTCTCCCAGTGCTAATGTTGCAAAATGGTGCTGATCCTATTCCATGAGCCAAACAGTGAAAGCAATAACTTACCATAAACAGTGAGGCTGAAACGCTTTTCTTGAAAATGTGCCTTAGTAAACCAGATGCGAGTATTGTAGATTCCAGTATCATCCAACTCCAGGTTTTTGAGCTTTAAGGTTGCCTCGCCCACCATGTCTAGTCGTTGTCCAAACCGGCCAGTGGGACTTTGGTGCTCCAGTTTCCCATGACTGAATTGCCCCAGCCAATAGCCCAGGCCACGCCTTTGTGGGCGGAAGTCCCATTCCATTTTCTCCACTGTTAATCCTTGAGATACATTGGCAGAAAACAAGACTGATCCTCCCTGTATTCCCTTCACTTGATGTGTTGGATTCCCCACTGCATGGGTTAAAGTTTCTAGTGAGGGGAAGGTGGTGGGGGAGGAGATACAAACAAAGGGGGAAATTAGTATCATTATCGTTTGAGAGGGAGGGTCCAAAAATCATATTGTAGGTGTCAGTGGTATGGTGAAAGGGTGAATCTTCAACATATAATGGAAACTCTGCAATGAAGGTGCCGGGAGCATCTCTGTGGGGAGAGACATCTGCAGTTTAGCAGCCTGCCACAAAGAAGGTCCTCTCCTGGGCTGGATCTCCTCCCAAATGTTTGAGGAAGGTGAAACTAGTCTCTCAGGTATTTGGGACCTAAATAAAAGAAAGTTTACAATATCCAATATTAATTGTAACTGTTGCTGAATTGTACATTGAGGCACTGGAAATACCCAACTCACTAGTAAAACATTTACTACATTCTCTTAGCTGTCCAAACAACTTGCTCCTTTACTGTAAGAGAAGGACATTGTTACAAGTCCAAAGTTACATTCCAAAAATCAAGTGCTCTTTGTTCTCCAGCAATAGGCATCTATCTGGTGTCCAGGAACTGGGATGAAGAAAAACTCAGAGAGAAGATTGGTCTGGGTGATTAAAATAAAATAACGTGAGGTCTGAACTTCATCTGTAAATAAAGCAATCCATTAAACACTTAAATCTTTTCAAAGCTGTCCCTTTGTCATATTTGGGGAACATCGGGCTCTGTGTAATTGTCACAAGGAAAAATTGTGAAAAGAAGTAGAATTTCCCTACACAAGGAACAAAAGTTCATTTATTTCAGTTAACAAGATTTGTATACTGCTTGGTTGTAATAAAGTCTCAAGGCAGAATCAGAGCTGTGCAAAATGTCTGTTGAAAACTCAACACAGAAAGCTCTAACCCAGTGAAAAATTATTCTAAGCAGCAATATAAAAACCACGTGCATGTGTGTTTCAGGAAAAAATAATTATGCACAATTTTTCGTGAAACCAAGATAAGTTTATACAGAGTTCAGAGAAGCAACTGACTCTGTTCCACCAAGATCCCCAGTCGCCTTTTCCTGCTCATTGGTTGGCTCCTCTAATTCACTGCTTGCTCTTAACTGACATTTATTTTGTATTAGTTAATGACTGACAAAATCCTGCAGGAAAACATTTCTGCCCTAGAGACGAGGTCGACTTGCAGTCATCATATCCTGTGCTTTTATTTCGCTCCACTGCACACCTTCATCATCATACACGCAGATTGTCCCCCCCAAGTTCAGCTCAGTAACAAATAATACACACACAATAAAACTCTCAAAAGCATTCTGTTGGAGCTTCCTTTGAAGCCAGGGGGAGGTTCCAGCAGGGGAGAGGAGACCCTGAGTGCTAGTAACCAATATTGCCAATAATTTTCCCCTTCATGACAAATCAAACTCACAGTGCCCCTCCATGCATTTAGGTGGGGTTTCTTTATTTTTGTTTTTGTTTTGTTTTTGAGAGAGAAAGCAGTGAAGTCCTTACCCAAGGAAGAGTACAGCAATAGTCTGAAGAAGAGGTCTTCTGCGAGAAAAGTCCACCATCGTATCTCTCCAGAGGTGCAGAGAGCCATGAGCGACAGTGAGGCACCAGACTGTTTCTGGGACTCACAGATGGGGAGACTTGCTGCTGTTGAGCTCAGGTCCTGCCTGTGGATTTCCCATTGAGGCATCTGTTTCACCACCATGAGGAGAACAACTTCATTTTTCTGCACAGGATAGATGCTCTAAAATAAGCCTGATCATCCATCTTATAAGCATTGCCCTACTACAGAGTTTTATCAGCAAGAGTCATGAACTTTCGAACACAACGGTCGGCTCCTTCCTTCCTCTCGCTTCCCAGCAAATCAGATCCTCCTCTTCAAACCAGCAAGGCTGTCTGTGCTCGCTCTCCCTCCCCTTCTCATCCAGGCAAAACTGTGCTTCTCCTCCTTTTTTCTGACTCCTCCTTTCACTGCTCTTTCATCCTCCCCTTATAAACCAGGAAGGATCAGCGGAGGAGGAGAAAGAGTGTGTGAGCTCAGGGTGAGAGCTTCTTTGTTGTTAAACACCTTCCTGTGTGCCTGTTAAATGTTTATGTTTAGAACAGGTGTTTGATTCTCACCCACATCTGGAGACCACCAATCTTTCAGAGTCTTGAAAAACCCTTGCAAAGGAGAGAAACAGTTGCAAATGTGCAGCAGCAACTACAACAGCAGCAGTAGAGACTGTTCCCTAAGGATGAGTGGGGCACTGCCTTTGCCAGCTTTAGCCCGTCCTTAGCCTAAAGTTACCAGGTTTTTTTTTGGTAAGAATCTAGGGACACTTTTTTTTCTTGAAAAGAGAAAAAAAAAGTGATAATTTTTTTTAATTTTTTTTTAAGTAATACCTTCTCTTCTGTGGTCTCCTCTGTTGTGCGGCGTTCCTCTGGACCCTGGCCTGCTCTCTTGGAGTGCTAGCCGCCATGGAGTCGGCTCAGGTCAGACCTGGGCTCAGCCACGTGTCCTTGCCCTCCCAGGGCTCTCCTACCTCTCCTCCCTAGTGGCGGCGGCAGTAGCGGTGCAGCAAGGTCAGGGCTCCCCTCTTTTTTTTCCTCCTTCCTCTTCCTCTCTCTTCCTTCTTCTACTCTCCTCCTTCTCCCTGCATCGGCTCTGGGTTTTTCCTGGCCCCAGAGCACCGCTGGGTAGTTGGCTAGGGGGCCGGGCACTCTTTCTGGCTCAATTTGGGTTGTAGGGTGTGTGTGCATGTCAGTTGTTCTCCCAGTTGATCCACCGGTGATCCCTGATTCCCCCTCGGAGGTGGTGGCAGTCTCAGCAGCCCAGAGCCAGCCTGGTAGCGCAGTTGGCTCTGGCTGGCTTCAGGAGCTCCTCGCTGCTGTGGCGCCCGCCATTTTGCCTTGCCAGAAGTCCCCATATGCTTTGTCTTGTGCCATTGAATCAATCACCCAACATTCATTCCCTACGAATAAATCTACAACAATTAAAATATAAATCCAGGGACATTAAATGAAATCTGGGGACATTCTGGGGACAGATTTTGTCCGGGGAAAGATTTGTAAATCAGGGGGCTGTTTCTGGGAAATGGGGACGTCTGGTAACCATACCTTAGCCAGTCCCCACCTGTCTTCTTTTTCACTTTCAACGAGCCCTGGCACTGCCTCCTCCTTAGTACCTTTTACTCTTGTACCTTTCAGTCGGACAGATTGTCCTACAAACTGAGCTCAGTAACAAAGATTTCTGTCATTGCCCCACCCTCTCCAGGAACTGGGTGCTGGTAACCAAGATCAGCTGTTTCAGTTACTGTCCTCTTGATTGGTATTGATTGAGTTTATTTACATGCATCTGATCCTCAATGAGCTGTGCCCAAAGTGGCTCACAGCAAACATTCAAATCATAAAAACAACAACAGAACACTGGAAATACAAATGTACAAAATACAGAATATGACAGCAAATTTTTAAAAATGACAGAAATAAACAATTTGGCAAACACAGAATAAAATCAATATTACTGCCCCCACCCCACAAAAAAATGGAGGCTTAAGTACATGGATACAAAGCAACACAAGAGTTAACTGACAATGACGTTTCTGGGACTGGTATTGCTACACTCCAAGCAGCCTGACTTAAATACAGTTCAGAGAGGAGGGGAAGATGGCATACAGCTGGCTCCCATATCCTTCTCCAGAGGAGTCTGGCAGCTGCAGGAGGCAAATGTTGGACAACAATGGTCAGTCTCTTCCCCAGCCTCTGGAAACACCAGCTGTTTGCACAAGTCTTATTGCTCTTCAGGACAAACAGTGTAGGACCAACCCAGAGGAAAGTACAGCAACATTCTGAAGAGGAAACGACTGCACAAAAGAGTTTGCTTCTCTGCGCAAGTGTGTTTCTGGATGTGGAATGTGGGGGAGGAGGAGAATTGCTGTTTGCAAAGACTGGCTATTAACAAAAGTCTTCTGACAGATCTGGGCAGAGCCAAAGCAATGAAAAACGCTGGCAGCTTTTGCAGACTGTAACAAATTTAACAACATGGAAAAGCATTGCAATTGCCCAGATTTTTATCTCCTTGAAGAAAGTTCAAAGAAGCAAAATTCATATGTCAATGAGCCCCAAAGGAATATTCATATGCCCTGAACCCCAATTAACTCCAGAGGCAGATCAGGAAAATCACAACATAAGAAGATCCTGTCAACGGCTCCTCTAGTCTGGCATCCTGTTCTTCTCACAATGGCCAGCTGGATGCCTGTGGGAAAATTCATGAATATTTCTGGCCAGGAATATAGGGAGCCTCAGGTGTGGCTGCTGCTGGTGGAGAGTTGATTTCTCCTCATTGGTACAGCAACAGGCTCCTGCTTTTATTCCCAGGAATAAGAAAAGCTGCAGTGCACAGCCCCAAAGCTCCCTCTAAGAGGGAAATAGTGCCAAGTAATTGATAAGCTTGTCCACAGTCATGCAGGCCAAGAAAACTGTGAGCTAAAAATGAGAAATGCGCACCAGGTGCCCACACAGGAATTCGGAAATTTTGGTTGCAGGTCTTCTCTTTTACGCTACAACGACATGAGGCATTACTATTTCTGTATCTGTGTTCAGTAACCCCTGATTCTTTTAGCATATTGTTTGACTCATAGAATGGTAGAGTTGGAAGGGCTCCCAAGGGCATCTAGTCCAACCTCCTTCAATGTAGGAATCTTAGCTAAACCATTCATGGCAGATGAAATCCACACTGGTCTGAATTTTGCTTTGCTGTTCGCCAGTGATTAATATGTACAAACATGCATGTACTGGGACAGTGTGTGCACCTCAGTGCCTGAATGTTTTGTATGCATCAATCATAAAGTGCACCAAGCAATGCAAACATTAGTGAAAATAAAACAAAATCTCTCTCCTTTTGAAACATGACACCTGGAGAACGTCTCTGCTTTAAGACAAAATACACGTTCAAGCTTCTCACAAACTCTCCCTCTCCTCCCTCATCGGAGACCACAACCACATCCTACAGTCAGATAATGGGTAAGGAGAAGAAGCAAAGAAAGAACAAAACAAAGATGGAACCAAAGAGCAAGAAGAACTGGCTCATGTATAAATGTCACAATGTTTGCTTTGCACTTCCAAGGGATCAATCTTTCAGTGTTGGCAGCACTACTCTTTGGAACTCCCTGCTTATTGACACCAGACAAGCACCCTCACTCTGCTGCTGTTAAATATTTGCCTCGCTCCTTTTTAGTCTCCCTGGTAGGGAAAATATGTCTCCTTCCCAAAAGAAAATCTCTTTGTTTTGCCAGGGAGTAGAGTGAAAACAACCTTTTCTGGAAAAGATTATTTAAACATTTTTTCGATACAAACAACAACCGCAAAAGACACATGCAACAAAAAACATAATAACAATAATAACCCAATCTGACAATCAGATTTGAATACAAAGATATACCTATGACTACACATTTTTAACATTATTTTCCCACCTCCCTCTCCTCCCTCCACTTCCCACTGCTATCTGACTTATTGCTTAATTCGTTCGTATGTAGCTAATCTGTCCACATTATCAATCCATGTGCTCAATGGAATCTTTTTGCAGTTCTTCCGATTCATCAAAACAAGTTATTTTGCTTCTAATATAGCACGGTACATCAATTTTTTTTAACCCCTTGAATTCTTCCACGTTTCCGGAATATAATTTAGAATTAAATGCAATTCCCCTAAATAACTATTTCTTTTTATTACTCTTGCTATAAATATCCTCACCTCACCCAAATTGAGGGAAAACAACCTTGTGCTCCAGTCCAATGTATTGTTGCAAAAGTCCAGTACCCAGTTGAGGCAAGAGTACATGGGATCCCAGGCACCCGAAGAGGGTCTGTGTTCCTTTGGAGAATGGAAGACACAGCAGAGGCTGCTGTAGCTTTAAGAAATAGGGTTTATTCACCCATTTACACCTTCAGTCTACATGGAAGGAGTCCAAGCTCAGTAGGAAAAGAGAGGGAAGGCAAGGCAAGGCAAGGCGCCTGGGTTGAAGAAGCCAGAGACCTGTGCTGTTTCCAGCAACAGTAAAGCTCAGGAGGATTGTCTTATATACTCTGTTTGCGACTGGTGATGGAGGCATTTCTGGGACTCCTTGCATTCAAGGAGACCCCAACTACAGTCGCAGGATAAGTTTTGGTATGTTGCTGTTTGTCCTGGTCACAAGACCTTTGGGGCCAGTGTTGAAGGCTGCTGGGTAGGCTGTAGTTCTGGCTCAACTGGCAGCATTGAGAGATCAGCAATGGGTCTTTCTCCTGAGGGACCCTCAGTGAATTCCTCAGCAGGGGCTCCTGGAGATGTGCCTGACCTCTCATGCAATCTTCAATCTCTGAGGGCTCTGTTTCTGAGACTGTACAAGAAGTGAGAGAAGGAAAGCATTTTCTGGATAGCGTGGAACAGCTTGAGAATTCCTCCTTCTCTGAGTCAGCCTGCAGGTTTGTTCTGTGGGATTCAGTGTTCAATCTGCTTTGGAGACAAAATATGTCAGGAGGAACTCTGGGGATGCAACTCCTAAAAAGAATTTCTGGGCATTTGGGCCCACCTGAACCCTGAAGAAAATTAAAGTCCTGTCCAAGTCCAGAGTTCTCCAAGAAGGGATACCAATTTGCCTAAAAGCATCTTCCCTGCACCTCTGTTCCAGCCTTTATGGGTACCTTTTTCATTCCACAGGCTCCTGGAGAACTTGCCATAACTAAGTCCATAAGGGAGCGGGTGTAATTGCCCATTTTGAATTGACAAAAGTATGTCATTTCCACTCTCCAGCACTCAGTTATTATCAATGATAAAATTAGTATTTTGGGAAGAGTCCAGAACAGCTGGTGAGGGAAGAGCGCAATCCTGCTGGGTTCACTGGGGGAAGGATGTGGGCAGCAGAGCCCTGAATTCTTCATTCACTATTAGGAGAGCGGTGGGTTCAATTCTGTTCACTTTAACCGGGCATGGATGTTCCACTGATGGGAACAGGCTCTTGGCACAAGCTGCCTGCCTCCCCTTGTGCCATAATCAATTGGTTAAGTCTTTTTGGGTCACTGGCCTGTTTTTGTTTTTTCAATCCAAATAACAATTATTGGTCTCAATGAAAATGTCAGGGACATTCCCATTCTGAAAGACAGCGAGGATCTGAAGAGGAGGGAGGAGAAGCTGAGAGGAGTAGAAATGGGAGTCTTACACACAGTGAGAGGGAGATAAGCCTCCATTGCTCTGGCATGCTGCCTCAGGGCCGTCTTAAGCATATCAGGCGCCGTGGTGCAAAGATCCCTCCGTCACCCCCCCTGGCAACTCCAAAACAAGGGAGGGGGCAGTGGAAAATATCCTCTGCCTCCCCCACTTCCCCGATCCCTGGCGTGGTGCCAGCGATCAAGCAGGAAAACGTGCTGGTGGACATGCACTCCAGTGTTGGGGCACCCAGGAAGGCAGCCTGGGAAGTCTGCACGCCGCCTTTTGCCAGGAAGCAGGAGGACAACAACTGGGATCAGGGCCGTCTTTAGCAGATGCAGAGGCTTGGGAGCTCTGTGAGGATCACTCTCCTCCTGCAGAGGCTTGGGAAGGAAGCTGAATGCCCGCCATATAGTTGGCGGGGCGCAGCTGGTGGGCATGCAGGGAAAGAAGAGGCCTCCCAAATGTTATAAATGCCTCCCAAATTTATCAGATGATTTCATTGGTAGATAAAAACAATCACCCCATCATTACTTTGCACACCAATCATCACACCTCATCATCTCCCACCATATTCTGTGTGGCTCCTGAGCTCTGGATACTCTTCTCTTTCTTTCGCATCAGAGTGAATATCTGTGGAGTGCGAAATGAGACACATTATTGAGTCCATGGCACTCGCCAGTCTCTGCCTCTCAGGATAAGCAGAAGAAAGGTAGAGGTATATTTGGCAGGAAGTCCCCATTTTGGAGAGATTGGAAGAAGTTAATAGAGATGGTCCTACCTCTTCTATGCCTTTCTAATCTGATCTTCCAGCGCATCCAATTCACCTTCACCTTCACCATCACCATCAGCATCACCATCACCATAAGAAATATGAGGGAAGGTAGAAGCCATGGACTCCAACTCAAGGGTCCAAACTGTCCACCTACAATGTGTGGGAATGTTTATATTATTTAGCAGAGTATAAAGGATCCCTTGTCTGAGTTTATGCAGGTTGCTAACTTGTTTGAGTCCTATCAATAATTATACCTTCCTGGTTGATAATCCCTTTCCATCCCTCTTAAAGAAAACACACATGAATCTGAATCATATTAACATATACTACTTTACTTTCAGATTCATTCAGGTATACAGAGTTGTTCCTGAAGGCAGGCTTAGGTTACATAACAGATAAACTATATACTAGATTGGAGTGAGTCATGAGAAGACTGCATCCAAGCAGTTACCAGTTAACACTCCTAGCAGCAACTGACCAACCAAGTGACAAAACTGCCTGCCACCCAGAGGCAGTTAGTCCTCTCGGAATATTGGCCTTGACTGACAGCTTTATATCCCACACAATGAACAATAAGAGTTTCTCAAAACATACTCTAATAACAATTGCCAGAATGCGTCTCACAGAATCATAGAATTGTAGAGTTGGAAGGGACAACTAGAGTCATCTAGTCCATCCCTCTGCATTGCAGGAATCTTTGGCCCAAGATGTGGCTTGCTCCCATGATCCCAAGACTCAGAGCCTCATGCTCACACCTGGCTGAGAGCAGTAGAATAAATAACAAGAGATAAGCAAGTGTTTCTAATCTTTCCCCTTTGTATTGCAATGATTTGGGCTGTGAATGCCTGTCGGAAACACTTGCCTGCCCTGAATCAACGTCTTAAGCTAGGAATAGGAGGAGATGGGGGCAGCAGCAGCAATTCACAGGATCAGATCAGTCTTCGAGGAGCTCTGTGTTTGCTCCAATCCTGCCCTCAAGCACTCAAAAAGCAGCATTTATTAATACAAACACATCTCCCCAAACCCCTCATGTTAAGGGCTAGCCTGCCTTTTCGCCACCACAAAGACCTCCTCTGCATAATGAAGGAAATGATATATTGCTCACCTTCATCACTCTGGCAGATGTTGAGCAAGTCAAAGGAGGCTCCCTTTTGGTCAACAGGATTTGTAACCAGACAGGTGAATTTGGAGTCCAAAGAACTGCTCCTGTAGAAGACGCGGAGCTCCCGGCCATTGTCGGAAACCTGGTACTGATTCACACTCTTTTCTAAGGCCTTGTGTGGACCCCCTGTTTCCCAGGAGACCTTGAGCTCTTCCCTTCCAGGTGTGAGGCATCGCAAGGTCACATTACATCCACCTGGAGTCTTGGATTCCACTTGGTGGTGTATTTGTGGTGTTGGCACTGGCTCTGTGGAACACAAATGAAAGCAACATAAAATTTGTGTCCCACTACTCTCAATAACTGCATATGAAAAATGACACCAATCAGAAACCTTGTTCAGAACAGTGAAATGGTTGCTTGTCATAGAAGGTTAGATCGAAACCATTGGTCTGTGGAAAACAAATGTAATCAGCATGAGGTTTGCACCCCACCCCTCCCAGTACCTATGTAGAGAAATGGTGCTGATCCTATTCCATGAGCCAAACATTGAAAGCAATCACTAACCATAAACAGTGAGGCTGAAACTCTGTTCTTGAAACTGTGCCTTAGTAAACCAGATGCGAGCATTGTAGATCCCACTGTCATCCAACTCCAGGTCTTTGATCCTCAGTGTTGTCTCGTCCACCATGTCTAGCCGTTGTCCAAACCGGTCGGTGGGACTTTGTTGCTCCAGTTTCCCATGACTGAATTCCCCCAGCCAAAAGCCCAGGCCACCTCTTTGGGGTAGAAAGTCCCATTCCATTTTTTCCACTCTTATTCCTTCAGATCCATTGGCAAAAAACAAGACTGATCCTCCCAGGATTCCCTTCACTTGATGTGTTGGATTCCCCACTGCATGGGTTAAAGTTTCTAGTGAGGGGAGGGTGGTGGGGGAGGAGATACAAACAAAGGGGGAAATTAGTATCATTATCGTTTTTAGCTCCTTCTCCATCTTCCATCATGAGGTCCCAGAGGAGGTGACAACAATTTAAAATGCAGCATTAAAACGTGAGAGGGAGGGTCCAAAAATGATATTGTAGGTGTGAATGGTAGGGAGAAGAGGTGACTCTTCAGAATATAATGGAAACTCTACACTAAAGGTGCCGGGTGCAACTCTGTAGGGAGGGACTTCTACAGTTTAGCAGCCTGTCACAAAGAAGGTCCTCTCCTGGGCTGGCACTCCCCCAACTGTTTGAGGGAGGTGAAACTACCAAGAGCCCCTAGTTTTAACAGCTGAGATGGACTATGGGGAAGAAAGCAGTCTCTCAGGTATTTGGAACCAAAATCCAAGAAAGTTTACAATGTCCAAGATTAATCTTAGCTGTTGCTGAATTGTACATTGACCCACTTGGAACTGCCCAACTCTCTCTAGTTAAACATTTACTGCATTCTCTTAGCTGTCTTAGCAACGTGGCCCTTTAGTATAAGAGAAGGAAGTTTTTACAAGCCCAAAGTTACATTCCAAGTCCTGGTGTCCAGGAACTGGGATCCAGAAAAACTCAGACAGAAGATTGGCCCAGAATATATATTTTTTTTAAAAGTATAAAGTTTAGAAATAAAATAGTGTGAGGTCATAGAATCATAGAATCATAGAGTTGGAAGACACCACAAGGGCCATCGAGTCCAACCCCCTGCCAAGCAGGAAACACCATCAGAGCACTCCTGACATATGGTTGTCAAGCCTCTGCTTAAAGACCTCCAAAGAAGGAGACTCCACCACACTCCTTGGCAGCAAATTCCACTGTCGAACTGCTCTTACTGTCAGGAAGTTCTTCCTAATGTTTAGGTGGAATCTTCTTTCTTGTAGTTTGGATCCATTGCTCCGTGTCCGCTTCTCTGGAGCAGCAGAAAACAACCTTTCTCCCTCCTCTATGTGACATCCTTTTATATATTGGAACATGGCTATCATATCACCCCTTAACCTCCTCTTCTCCAGGCTAAACATGCCCAGCTCCCTTAGCCGTTCCTCATAAGGCATCGTTTCCAGGCCTTTGACCAGTTTGGTTGCCCTCCTCTGGACACGTTCCAGTTTGTCAGTGTCCTTCTTGAACTGTGGTGCCCAGAACTGGACACAGTACTCCAGGTGAGGTCTGACCAGAGCTGAATACAGTGGCACTATTACTTCCCTTGATCTAGATGCTATACTCCTATTGATGAGGCCCAGAATTGCATTGGCTTTTTTAGCTGCCGCGTCACACTGTTGGCTCATGGCTCAGGTCTGAACGTCATCTGTATCTAAAGCAATCAATTAAACACTTAAATCTTTTCAAAGCTGCCCATTGGTCAAATTTTGGGGAACATCTGTTTTGCGGATCATCTGCCCATTGGTTAAATTTTGGGAAAACTGACTCTGTTCCACCAAGATCCCCAGTTGCCTTTTCCTGCTCATTGGTTGGCTCCTCTAATTCACTGTTGGCTCTAAACTGATATTTATTTTGTACTGGTGAATAACTGACACATCATAGGAAAATATCCCACAGGAAAACATTTCTGCCCTACAAATGAGGGTGACTTGCTGCCAGCATGTCATTTATTCTGTTCCACTCCACACCTTCAGGGGAGATGATCACCTTCATCATACACACAAATTGTCCCACCCCAATTTCAGCTCAGTAACAAATATCACACAGAGAATTAAACTCTCAAAAGTCTTCCTTTGGAGCTTCCTTTGAAGCCAGCCTGGGTGTTCTGGGAGGAGTCCAGATGGGAAGAGGAGACCCTGAGTGCTAGTAACCAATATTGCCAAAAAATTATCTATTCATAACAATGCATATAGGTGGGTTACCTGTGGTTTCTGAGTGAGTGAGAGAGAAAGCAGTGAAGTCCTTACCCAGGGAAGAGTAGAGCAATAGTCTGAAGAAGAGGTCTTCTGTGAGAAAAATCCACCATCGTATCTCTCCAGAGGTGCAGAGAGCCATGAGCGGAAGTGGGGCACCAGAATGCCCCTTTCTTGGACTCACCAATGGGGAGACTTGTGCCTGTTGAGCTCAGGTCCTGCTTATGGGCATTGAGGCATCTGTTTCACCACCCTGAGAAGGACAGCTTCATTTGTCTGCACAGGATAGTTGCTCTAAAATAAGCCGGTTCATCCACTTTATAGGCGTAGCCTGAGTACAGAGTTTTTCGCAAGAGTTGTGAACTTTGGAACACAATCATCATCCCATCCGTCTTCTCGCTTCTGAGCAGATCAGATCCTCCACCTATTTACACCAGCAAGGCTGTTTGTGCTCTTTGTTCCTCCCCTAATAAACCAGGAAGCATCAGAGAAGGACATTGTAGAAGTACAAAGGTAATTCCAAGCAAGGATCGGTGGAGGAGGAGAAAGAGGTGCAAGCTCAGGGTGTTTCTCTCTGTGTTATACACCTGCCTGTTAAAGGTTTCTGTTAAGAAAAGGTGTTTGATTCTCACTCACATCTGGAGACCACCAACCTTTCAGAGTCCTGAAGCTAAACCCTTGCAAAGAAGAGAAAAGGTTGCAATGTGCAGCAACACATCACAGCAGTGGAGACTGTTCCCTCCCTTAGGACAGCGTCCGCCTGTCCTTAACCATTCCCCACCTGTTTTCCTTTTTTACTTTCTACTCCCACTTGACCCTTCCTCCTTAGTATCTGTGTTCCTCTTGTAGTTCTCAGTAGGGCAGGCAGTGAGAGAACTAGAATTAGTTGGCTCTACCCAGTGCTTTTTAAAAAATATTTGTTTAGGGGTACTCTCATTTTGACTCAAAATAATCACCATTTTATAGTTCAAATCAGGAAAAATAAATACAGTAAATGGACAAAAGTACAAAGATTCACAAAATGTTTAGGGGTATGCGTACCCTTGCATCCCCCGCAGGAAAAAAAAAGCACTGGCTCAACCTATCATTGGCTCTGGACCAACCTACAGTTGGGCTCTCTATCTTCCGCCTTCGTCTGATGCGCAGTTTGTTCTATGAAATGAGATCAAATAACAAAGATCACTGTTGCATTGCCCCACCCTCACCAGGAACTGGATGCTAGTAAGCAACATCAGCTGTCTCAGATACTTCCCTCTTGACTGGGATTGATTGAGTTTATCTGTATGCGTCCCTTCCACAATGGGCTCTGCCCAAGCTGCCTCACAGCAAACATTCAAAACGTCAAAAGGCAGAGCATTGGAAGTACAAATGTACAGAATATGGAATATGAAAGTAAATATCCCCCCTCCCACAAAAAATCCAGGCTTAAGTACATAAATACAAAGCAACGCAAGAGTTAACTGAGTATAACTGGCTTCAATACTGTTCAGAGGGGAGGGGAAGATGGCATACAGCTGGCTCCCATATCCTTCTCCAGACCTTTCTAGGATCCTCCCTCTGGCTGGCTCATTGAGCTCCCAGTCTAGCCAGGCCCTCTGGGGTGTCTCCTCCATGTCACCACCCTCATCTGGCCAGCGCCCCCAAACCCCCTGGGCCCATGACACCCACCATTACTGTTTGGGCCAGAATGAGAAAGCTGTGGTGGAAAGGAGAAGGTCTGGTGGGGTGGGGGCTCTTGCCAGTGGAATGTGAGCCCACAGCAGGTGCCCAAACACATTGACCCTGAGATGGGGCGGGGAGCTTTCAGGGAGGGGGCCTATTCTTTAGATGAGCTCAGCGTTGTCAGTTTCTTTCCCCTTTATGACCAAGCAAACCTATAGATTGTCACCATATGCCAGGCTTCCCCAAACTGGGCCTTCCAGATGTTTTGGGACTACAACTCCCATCATCCCTGACCAGTGGTCCTGTTAGCTAGGGATGGTGGGAGTTGTAGTCCCAAAACATCTGGAGGGCCCAGTTTGGGGAAGCCTGCCCTATGCATTCAGCTTTTTCTACCCAGGGACTTACCCAGGGAAGAGAAGATCCATGGGCCAAAGGAGAGAAGGATCATGTGGCTCCTGCTTTTATTCTCAGGCATAAGAAAAGCTGCAGCCCCAAAGCTCCCTCTAAGAGGGAAATTGTGTGAAGTAACTGACAAGCTTGTCCACAGTCATCCCGGCTAAGAAAGCTGCGAGCTAAAACAGGAAATGCGCACCAGGTGCCCACACAGAAATTCAATACAAGTTGCAGTTCTTTTATTTTACACTATGACGACTTGAGGCATTACCTTTTCTGTGTATATGTTTAGTAACCCCCTGTTGATTTTAACATTTAGTTTGAATCATAGAATTGTGGATTTCGAATGACTTCCAAGGGTCCATCTAGTCCAACCCCCTTCAATGAAGGAATATTAGCTAAACCATCCATGACAGATGAAATCCACACTTGTCTGAATTTTGCTTTGCTGTTTAGCAGTCGATTAATATGTACAAACATGCATGTACTTGGAAAATGTGTGCACATCAGTGCACGAATGTTTTGTATGCATTAATCATAAGGTGTACCAAGCAATACAAGCATTAGTGAAAAGAAAACATAATGTGTTAAATTAAGTAAAATTGCTTTGCTAAAATGGAGGGGAGGGGAGATGGGTCCCTGTGGACACCAGGGAAGGTCTCTGTGGGTAAATGTGCCTCCAGGATCTCTAGCCCAGCTTATTTTGAGAGGTTCAGGGGGAGAGCAAGCCACTCTGGGGTGGATATGGGTGGTGCTGAAGCTGGGATCCTGCCCCACTTGTTGAACTTCTCTCTCTCTCTCTCTCTCCTTTTGAAACATGACACCTGGAGATCTTCTGCCCCTTGAGACTAAATACAAGTTCAAGCTTCTCAAAAACTTTCCACCTCATCCCACAGTATGATGAAGGCTGAGGAGAAGAAATAACAAAACGAAGATGGAACCAAAAAGTAAGAACTGGCTCGTGTACAAATGCCATAATGTTTGCTTTGCACTTCCAAGGGATCGATCTTTCAGGGTTGGCAGCACTACTCTTTGGAGAGATCCAAGATGGCCACCGATCTGTGAGGCAGGGTGAAGCAGCTGCTCTCACCACTTTACAGTTTTATGGTTCTTTTATTATTCTACTTTATTGTTTTATTGCCCTATTTTATCATCTCATGGTTTTACCTCCTTGTTATCTCGGACGCCTTCCCACTGGGCTAGGAGGGTGACACAGCCAGAAAGGCTGACGCCACTGCGGCCTCCACCACCACGGCAAAGGAGCTCAGCAAATTGGTCTCAATTACCTGCCTACCTTGGAAGTAGTCCCGTGGAGAACCCTCCTGCAACATCCGACGGAGCTAATGAACCGAGGTGAGATTTTTACCAACTTGACCTTCACAAGATAAATAATGGTGACGACCAGGATTGGCTGTAGAACACCAGGCTTTTATCGGAGTGATCTAAGACCTCTCTCTAAAAGAGCTACCCTAAAGGGAGCTCAAACAAAAAGCACTCGGCCCTTTAAGAATAGGGGTGAAGTCAAGCCGAGTGAGATTCAGCAGGAAACTGAAACTTCTCCCTCCTGCACTGAAGGGTCGGCTGTGCAGAGAGAGGATTGTGTAGAAGAATGCCACAACAAAGGGCCAATAAAGCCCAAAGTAAATCCAAACACAATTGGTACAGTCACCGAACTACTCCCAAAACAGAGACTTAAATCCCAAGCTTCTCCTGAACCATCCCGAGTCTGAGAAGTGGAAGAACTAATGTTAAAACAAATTGCAGAGATGTCTTCGGGAAACCCTAAAACATCAAGAGACTCCTGCTTCCAACTTGAGACAAATGAGGATGAGGATTTATCAGTTATCAAATGGCTTGTGCTTCTAACTGAGGATATCGAAAATATAAAATCCCATCTGGCCACCTGTACAAAAATCCTCACTATAATGATGGATACTTGCAAAACTCTCTGTAGGGAATCCAGCGGGGTGACTGTAGAATTGGAAAGTAATAACAACTTCCTTCCTACCACCTGCAAAAACAGACCACCAAGGAATGCCAAGAGATCTTGTAGGGCTACTGCCTTGAAAAAGAGGCCCATAAGGGTAAAAAAGAGCAGAAATGTTAAAAACTTTAAGGCAGTGCGTTACAAAAAAATGGATTTTAAAAAGCTTTTTAATCTTCTCAAGAGTATCCCAATAACCGAGAACAGTGGGAACACTGAGAAACTTCTAACCAGGAAATCTTCTAAGCAAGAACGCTCTATAAACCCTTGCCCTGACGCTGCGATGGATTGCTTGGAACTCTTAACACTTACCCCAACACCTAACTCCAAGCAAGACATTTTGATCCAAGATCCATGGTCTTACATTCTATCTGTAGATGAAACCAATCCTTCTAAGAAGAGAAATCAGACAAATCTAACAAATAAAAACTGGAATCTGGTGCTGTACCGAAACAAACTCGTTTTATCAAATTATCCTAAACCCCCCAGGACTCCTGTCACAAGAAGAGCGTAAAGCCCATCTATTGAACCTTTTAAAGATCTATATGCCAGGTATACTTAATAACCCTACTGATTTGGCCCAAGTGGAATATCTATACTTCAACGGATTCCTTGCCAGAGCGGTGGTTTCATTCTACGAGGGGAGACTGGCAAAACTAGTGTACAAACGTAGAGAACACCTGGAGACGAGTGGTACTCAAGTTACTTTAAGAATGAAGCACCTCCAATTCCACTTATCCCCCATATTGTAAATTTGCCAAAAACTCAACATGAGATTGATCAACATGTTCTAATTGATATAAACTCTGCGGAGGACATCTCCAAACATCCTACTGGTCTGGTTACCAAGGACTCTCAGAGGTTGGACTTCCTTGGGCCCAGGTATGCGGAGAATCAGGGAATCGACCTCGATAGCTTTGATAATAACTTACTCCATTCTTATAGTGTTCTCCCGCAAGAAGTCCAGAAAGAAATACTCCATAAAATTGATTCCCTTTATTTCTGCCTGACAAAAGTGACGGAGGAACAGCTGAGATTACCTAAACAAAATATGCTTGATAGAGACTGTGGTTCAGATTCTGTCCCACGCTTATACCACCAAGAACTGGACCTGTGGGTTGGGAAGGCACCCACCCCTACCAGCCAACTGGTTGTTGCGGAGATGAATCCACTCTCCCATACTCTGGAGGTGGAAACCCCATCACCAGACCCATCTATTATGCACCCCATCTCTAAGGCAAATATGACTACAACATCTGCTTGGGACAAAATGAGGGAACTTAACGAATCTGAATTAGGTTCTCCATGTAAAGTGTCCCATATGGGTCCACTTACTTGTAATTTTATTAACCCACTTTCTTCTAATGTGTGCAAGTTGAATAAATCCATAGATACCATCGAACCGGTAACAGAACCAGCTGAACCAGACCAACAAATGAGAGATGACTCCATTTTATTTTTAGTCCCGAAGAATGATCTGGTTGAAGACCCGACAGGTCGTATTAACAAAATTATCCAAACAACTAATGATCACTCAACTAGTGGCACGATACCTGCTGACTTAATTTCGCTCTCTCTAAGTAATACCCCCCTAATTCTACCATCTGGCTCTGAAAAGTCGACTATCTTAGGCCAAACATCTGCCTTTAGCGAGATGAGCGGCACGACTTTACAGCCAAACCACCCCAATAAATTCAAACAGTTGGGATGTATAGCACGATTGCCACCTTCTCAAAGGAAAATTACTGATTTTTTTGAAGCTGAAGCTCCCCCAAAGTTAGAATCCCATTCCCACATGATCTGACTACCTAACGACCAACCCAACCACTCCTTGATGTCATTTTTATGCTGGAATATTGCGGGATGGAGGGGGAAGAAATCTGATCCAGACTTCTTAAAATTTGATAATTTATTTCAAGTAATTCTCCTACAAGAAACTTGGGAAGAGGAGGCGATTGACATAAATGGATACGATACCATTTGGCTTCCAGCTAGCCCCTCTCTTAAAGGTGGATGCCCTAGGGGAGGTTTGGTAATAGCCATTTCCCTCAAATTGCAAGCAAAACTTTCACTTGTTAAATCTTCCTCTCCTTACGCGATTACAGGACTGATTTCAGGAGGGAAATTTGAATTACTGGTAACAAATGTCTATTTCCCCCCCGGGGGCAGGTAGTGGACCTCCATTCCAAATGGGAAACACTTGAAGAACACCTAGCTTTTTGTTATACTAAGTTCCCAAATATCTCAGCAGTCATGGGAGGTGATTTTAATGCTCGTACAGCTGCAAACTGGGAAGCGCTAGGCAAGGCCAAAAGGTGGGTCATACCTGATCACCAGAACTCAGATCTCTCCCCCCATATACAGAGAAAATTGAAAGATAATAGGGTTAACGAAGCGGGAACCCTTCTTTATCAGCTGATTTTACGTTTGAATTTGATAATTTTAAACGGAAATTGTCCCCCGGATATTCCGGGTGAGTTTACTCATTTGAGCACACTTACAAATAGTGTTCTCGACTATTTTATTGTTTCGAGAGATTTATTCCCAAATTTTTCTTATTTTAAAATAGAAAACGTCCAAATGAGCGACCATCTCCCCTTGAGTGCCAAGCTTTCCCTAGACTGGCAGTCTATCAAGCCTAGACACCCCATAAATATGGGAATAAATACTGCAGAACAAGTGAGAGGAATAAAATGGTCAGTAACTCAAGCCCAAAAATATATGGAATTCTTCCAACAAGAGAAAATTCAAACTCATGTTGTTTTAGATTTAGATCTGTATGGGCATGAACGAATTATTAATTCATTCTCTTTGCTTACAGAAGATCTTATGTCCTTTTTTGCAGTACCAGCCATCCAAGTAAATCGGGCCCATTTTAAGACCGGTGCCCCTGGTTTAATTTAAAATGCAAACAAGCTAGACGACATCTCTGTGCCATTTACAATGAATATAAATCATCTGGTGCCTTAGTATTACCTAGGAATTACCAGCAAGCAAAAACAGCATATAAGCAAGCCCAGAGAATGGCTAAGCAAGAGTGGCAACATAATCGCTGGCAGGCGCTAATAGTCGCCTCTAGTTCATGTAACTCACGGCAATTTTAGCAACTGGTTAATAGAAGATCAAGGAGATATCCCTTAACAGTAATTCCTGCCCCAGTCTGGGAATCCTTTTTAAGGAAATATTTTGCGTCACCAGATTCCAATACCAACGCTCTTGATGATGTATTTGACCATCTCCCTATCTGGCCTCCTACAGACCCCGATGAAATCTTGAATTTATTCTCTAAACTTAAAATCGGCAAAGCCCCTGGGCCAGATTTGGTCCCGGCGGAAGCCATAAAACTACATTCCGACTGGTGGGCAAAAATGCTGGCTGTTACTTTCGATGCTATTAATACAACTGGAAGGGTGCCAAAAATATGGAAGGACGCTATTATAATTCCAATATATAAAAAGGCTCCCCAGACGATCCGGAGAATTATAGGAATATTAGTTTACTGTCAATAGTTGGAAAGATATACGCATGCTTTCTGCTGAATAGACTTATCCAATGGACTGAAGAAAAGAAACTGATAGGCCCCGAGCAAGCAGGATTCAGACCGAACCAGTCAACTACGGACCATGTTTTAGTCTTGCACCATCTAGCCCGGAAATATTCCTCTTCAAACCGAGGCCAACTTTGTGCAGCTTTTATCGACCTTAAGGCTGCATTTGACAGCATCCCCAGAAGGTTGCTCTGGGAAAAGTTGACCCGATGGGGAATTGATAGAAGACTTTTATGGTTAATAATCCAGCTGCATGAGGGGTCGGCTGCTAGGGTGAGAATAACCCCAGCCGGCGATCTCACAAACTCTGTGCCCATCAACAGAGGAGTCCGGCAAGGATGTATCCTAGCTCCTTTTCTTTTCAATTTATTCATTAGTGACATGAGGATACCATTGGCTGAATCTCAGGAAATCACCCATGCCCCCCGCCTCGCAAACTATCGTTGCCCACTATTGTTCTATGCTGATGATGCTGTGATTTTATCCTTCTCAAGAATTGGCCTCAGGAGAGCATTAAAATTCTTTGTTTCATATTGTAAAACAAATTCCCTCACTATAAATCAATCTAAATCAAAAGTATTAATCTTCTCAAAAAGTCGGAAATCCTATAAGTGGCAATTAGACGGAAAACCTATTGAACAGGTCTATAAATTTCAATACCTGGGAGTCTTTTTTCAATATAATCTGGGTTGGAAGTCCCATATTGCACATATTTTAAACAAGGCCAAGGCCCGATCCTTTGCGCTGTTGCGCTTTTTTTCCGGACGGGGCTCTTCATGTTCCATCTGCCCTGAAAGTATTCAAAGCTAAAGTAATTGCAACATTGGCATATGCTGTTCCTTTATGGGGGACCGCAGTAAACTTGATGCCCTTGGAGGTAATTCAAAATCAATTTCTAAGACGACTGCTAAAACTTCCCCAGTGCGTTAGTAACGCAGCTATTCGCTTAGAATTAAAAACTACATCTTTAGAAAATACTCTTTGGAGGCGCAGCCTTTGTTACTGGTTTTCCTTAAGGCATAGGCTCCCGAATCTGTATTTGATCCAATGCCTCTGGAGAGATAATTTTCCTGTCCTAGGGGCAAAAGAGATTCATTCTAAAGTAGTGACCTATGGATTGTCTCCATCAGAATTATTGGAATTGGACCTAGCCACAGCAAAAAAAACCCTCACTCAAAAACTTGAGGAGATTGACCTACAACAAAACACCATTTTGGGTAGTGGCACTTGCTCACCATTAAATCTTGGCATAGTGCCCTCACAGCAGATACCATCTTATTTGACCTCTTTGTCTGTAGCGGCCCACAGATATGCCTTTATTAAGGCAAGATTTAATGTCTTTCCTTCCAATGTCTTGAATAATAGATTTTCCAGTGGTCGGATCTCAGCGGTGTGTGTATGTGATAATAGATCTATAGAATCTTTACAACATATACTATTCTGTTGTTCACTACATTCAGTTTCTCAGATCAGATTTTTGTCCCCTTTATTATTGGAAATCTCAGGTGACTCCTTGGAAACACAGCTAATTCATTTATTGCAAGATTCAGATCCGAGTAGGTCCCTTTCTGTTGCCAGATTTCTGATAACAGTATTAGCCTATAAAAGGAAAAATGGATTACTCTATGATTATTGATTTTGCCTAAAAAATATTGATTTATACTGATAATTTGATATTTTAAGTGCTATATTATTCTTATTTTAATGGAATTTGGAAACTTACGGTCTGAGATGTACTTGATTTAAACGTAATTTAATTGATTAATTTTATCTTGTTATACCTATGTTGCTGTATGATGTATTGAATATGGGCCTATGGCCGTAATAAACGAAAAAACAACAACAACAAAGCAACGCAAGAGTTAACTGAGAACAACTGGCTTCAATACTGTTCAGAGGGGAGGGGAAGATGGCATACAGCTGGCTCCCATATCCTTCTCCAGACCTTTCTAGGATCCTCCCTCTGGCTGGCTCATTGAGCTCCCAGTCTAGCCAGGCCCTCTGGGGTGTCTCCTCCATGTCACCAGCCTCATCTGGCCAGCGCCCCCAAACCCCTGGGCCCATGACACCCACCATTACTGTTTGGGCCAGAATGAGAAAGCTGTGGTGGAAAGGAGAAGGTCTGGTGGGGTGGGGGCTCTTGTCAGTGGAATGTGAGCCCACAGCAGGTGCCCAAACACATTGACCCTGAGATGGGGCGGGGAGCTTTCAGGGAGGGGGCCTATTCTTTAGATGAGCTCAGCGTTGTCAGTTTCTTTCCCCTTTATGACCAAGCAAACCTATAGGCTTTCCCCATATGCCAGGCTTCCCCAAACTGGGCCTTCCAGATGTTTTGGGACTACAACTCCCATCATCCCTGACCAGTGGTCCTGTTAGCTAGGGATGGTGGGAGTTGTAGTCCCAAAACATCTGGAGGGCCCAGTTGGGGAAGCCTGCCCTATGCATTCAGCTTTTTCTACCCAGGGACTTACCCAGGGAAGAGAAGATCCATGGGCCAAAGGAGAGAAGGATCACGTGGCTCCTGCTTTTATTCTCAGGCATAAGAAAAGCTACAGCCCCAAAGCTCCCTCTAAGAGGGAAATTGTGTGAAGTAACTGACAAGCTTGTCCACAGTCATCCAGGCTAAGAAAGCTGTGAGCTAAAACAGGAAATGCGCACCAGGTGCCCACACAGAAATTCAATACAAGTTGCAGTTCTTTTATTTTACACTATGACGACTTGAGGCATTACCTTTTCTGTGTATATGTTTAGTAACCCCCCTGTTGATTTTAACATTTAGTTTGAATCATAGAATTGTGGATTTCGAATGACTTCCAAGGGTCCATCTAGTCCAACCCCCTTCAATGAAGGAATATTAGCTAAACCATCCATGACAGATGAAATCCACACTTGTCTGAATTTTGCTTTGCTGTTTAGCAGTCGATTAATATGTACAAACATGCATGTACTGGGAAAATGTGTGCACATCAGTGCATGAATGTTTTGTATGCATTAATCATAAGGTGTACCAAGCAATACAAGCATTAGTGAAAATAAAACATAATGTGTTAAATTAAGTAAAATTGCTTTGCTAACATGGAGGGGAGGGGAGATGGGACCCTGTGGACACCAGGGAAGGTCTCTGTGGGTAAATGTGCCTCCAGGATCTCTAGCCCAGCTTATTTTGAGAGGTTCAGGGGAGAGCAAGCCACTCTGGGGTGGATATGGGTGGTGCTGAAGCTGGGATCCTGCCCCACTTGTTGAACTTCTCTCTCTCTCTCCTTTTGAAACATGACACCTGGAGATCTTCTGCCCCTTGAGACTAAATACAAGTTCAAGCTTCTCAAAAACTTTCCACCTCATCCCACAGTATGATGAAGGCTGAGGAGAAGAAATAACAAAACAAAGATGGAACCAAAAAGTAAGAACTGGCTCGTGTACAAATGCCATAATGTTTGCTTTGCACTTCCAAGGGATCAATCTTTCAGGGTTGGCAGCACTACTCTTTGGAACTCCCTGCTTATTGACACCAGACAAGCACCGTCACTCTGCTGCTGTTAATTATTTGCCTCCCTTCCTTTTAGTCTCCATGTTAGGGAAAACATGTCTCCTTCCCAAAAGAAAATCTCTTTTGCGGATATTTTGCAAGGGAGAAGAGTGAAAACAACCTTGTGCTCCAGTCCAGTGTATTGTTGCAAAAGTCGGGTGCCTGCCCCCCTCTTTGCCCAGCGGTGGAAAGAGCCCATGGGACCCCAGGCACCCAAAGAGGATCTGTTTCCCTTTGGAGAATGGAAGACACGACAGAGACTGTTGTAGCTTTAAGAAATAGGGTTTATTCGCCCATTTACACCTTCAGTCTACATGGAAGGAGTCCAAGCTCAATAGGAAAAGAGAGGCAAGGAAAGGAAAGGAAAGGAAAGGATAGGCGCCTGGGTTGAAGAAGTCCGAGACCTGTGCTGTTTCCAGCCACACGGAAGCTCCAGAGGATTGTCTTATGTACCCTGTTTGCAGCTGGTGATGAAGGCATTTCTGGGACTTCTGGCTCTCAAGGAGACCCCTTCCATAATCACTTGGTATGTTGCTTTTTGGCCTGCTCACAAGACCTTTGGGGCCAGTGTTGAAGGCTGCTGGGTAGGCTGTAGCTCAATGAATTCCTTCACAGTGGCTACAGGAGATGTGCCTGATCTCCCATATTGGGCTGTGGGATTCAGTGTTCAATCAGTCTCCAAGGGCTCTGTTTCTGAGACTGCATAAGAACCGAGAGAAGGAAAGGTTTCCCTGGGTTGTATGGGGCAGCTTGAGAATTCCTCTTTGTCTGAGTCAACCTGCAAGGTTGGTGTATGGGATGCAGAGTTCAATCAGCATTGAGGCCAGCTCTTGCATCTCCTTGGCAATGTTGGCCTGCAATGTTGCCTCTGCAGGGACCTCTTGGCAAATAGGAGGTGCTGCTCCCATGCTTCTTCCTGATGTAGATCTTTATGCACTTCTTGATTCATTGCAGAGTTTTATCTCTCCGCCTCCCCGGTTCCTGATGTGTATCTTCACTCATCCAATCTTTCCTGTGCTGTTTCCATCAACAGGGAGGCTGAAGAGGAGTGCCTTAGACGCTTTCGGCTGGTGCTGGTGATGAAGGCATTTATGGGACTCCTTGCTCTTAAGGAGACCCCTTCCATAATCACTGGATAAGTCTTTGTATGTTGCTCTCTGTCCTGGTCACATGACTTTGGGGGGCAGTGTTTAAGGCTGCTAGGGAGGCTGTAGCTCCGGCTCAACTGGCAGCATTGAGAGATCAGCAATGGGTCTTTCTCCTGAGGGACCCTCAGTGAATTCCTCAGCAGGGGCTCCTGGAGATGTGCCTGACCTCTCATGCAATGTTCAATCTCTGAGGGCTCTGTTTCTGAGACTGTACAAGAAGAGAGAGAAGGAAAGCGTTTTCTGGGTAGTGTGGAACTTCTTGAGAATTCCTCCTTCTCTGAGTCAACCTGCAGGGTTGGTCTGTGGGATTCAGTGTTCAATCTGCATTGGAGAGAAAACATGACAGGAGGAACTCTGGGGATGCAACTTCTAAAAGAATTTCTGGGCATTTGGGCCCACCTGAACCCTGAAGAAAATTAAAGTCCTGTCCAAGTCCAGCGTTCTCCAAGAAGATATACCAATTTGCCTAAAAGCAGGCATCTTCCCTGCACCTCAGTTCCACTCCTTGGGGCTAGCTTTTTAGTTCCATGGGAGAACTTGCCATAACTAAGTCCTTAAGAGAATGGGTGGAATTGCCAGTTTTGAATTGACAAAAATATGTCATTTCCATTATCCAGCACTCGGTTATTATCAATGATAAATAATCAAGGATAAAAGGAGTATTTGGGGAAGACTCCAGAAGAGCTGGTGAGGGGAGAGAGCAATCCTGTTGGGTTCACTGGGGGAAGGATGTGGGAAGTGGAGCCCTGCGGCCAGAGGGCTGGATTCTCTGTTCACTAGCTGGTGAGGGTTCAATTCTGTTCGCTTTAACTGGGCATGGATGTTCTCCTGATGGGAACAGGATCTTTGCGCAAGCTGCCTGCCTCCCCTTCTGCCATAATCCATTTGTTAGGTCTTTTGATCAGGAGGTTTGGGTCATTGGCCTGTTTTTGGTTTTTTAAACTCAATTAATCATTATTGGTTTTAATGTACAGTAAATACAAGAGCAACATATAACTACAGTAACTTGTCCAGTGGTACAGTCTTATTAAGTTTCATATGTACCAGACAGTACACAAGCAATACATTTATTTATGTATTGACAATTCAAGTAGCCTCTCCACAGAGATTCTTAGGTTGTGGGTGGAATAAAAGTATATTGTGTCTCATTTTATGAAGGAAAAGAGTGGAAGCCAAGTCTTGCCAAAAGTGTCTATCTTTGAAGTGCCTTTAAGTACCCTTCTGTGGTGATTTCTATAGTTGTTTCCAGTATTGGCCGATTCCTAATTGGGCTGCTGATAATAGTAAAAATACAAAGTCTCTGTATTTAAGGTTATTGTTTAAATTTGAGTCTAATGATAACAAGGCAAGAGCTGATGTGGGTGGAGTGGATTGCTGCGTAATTTTGGAAATAATGTGAAACACCTTTTCCCAAAAGGAGTATTACAACATGGAGCTCCACCATACATGGACATATGAGCCTTTCCAGCATAAGGGAGAGATGCCAGAGTTTATTTTGGCTCGATGTGATGGAGTCCAGTGCCACCGATAGACAATGTTAAGAGACGAACAGAGATGGTTTGTAGTGACAGGTTGTGCCACATTGATTGCCGTTTATTATCGGGTCACTGGCCTGTTTGAAATCTGCTTGTTGTTGTTTTTGTTTCTTTAAATATAAGAGATTGCCACTTTAATAATAATTTTGAAAGTATTAAATGCCTCCAAAATGTATCAGATGCTTTCACTGCTATTATATAACAATCACTCCATCATTACTTTGCACACTGTTCATCTCACCTCATCATCAACATCTTCTGGGTGGCTCCTGAGCTCCAGATATTCTCCCCTTTCTCTCGCATCACAGAGGGAACACCTGTGGAATGCAACATGAGACACATTATTTAGTTCATGGCACTGACCAGTCTCTCTCACTTGGAATAGGCAAAATAAAGGAAGAGATATATTTGGCAGGAAGCCCCCATCTCAGGCGAGATGGGAAGATCAATAGAGATGGTCCTACCTCTTCTATTCCTTTCTAATCTGATCTTCCAGCACATCCAATTCACCATCACCATCACCATTATCACCAGAAGAACTATGACTGAAGAGATAAGCCATGGACTCCAACTCAAGAGTTGAAGGTGTCCACCTGTAATGAGCAATAAGAGTTTCTCAAAACATTTTAATAACAGCCGCCAGAGTCTCACAAAACCATGGAATTGTAGAGTTGGAAGGGACAACTAGAGTAATCTAGTCCAACCCCCTGGGATCTTTTGCCCAAGGTGGGGCTTAAACTCATGACCCCAAGATTTGGAGTCTCATGTTCACACTCAGCTGAGAGCAGTAGAATAAATAACAAGAGATAAAAAAAGCGTTGCTAATCTATACCATTTGTATTGCAATGATTTGGGCTGTCAATGCCGTCAGACACACTTGCCTGCCCTGAATCAATGTCTTAAGCTAGGAATAGGAGGAGATGGGGGCAGCAGCAGCAATTCACAGGATCAGATCAGTCTTCAAGGGGCTCTGTGTATGGTCCGATCCTGCTCACAAGCATTTGAAGAGCAGCATTTATTAATACAAACACATCTCTTCAAATCCCTGATGTTAAGGGCCAGCCGGCGTTACACCACAACAAGCACCTCCTCTGGATAATGAAGGAAAGGATATATTGCTCACCTTCATCACTCTGGCAGATGTTGAGCAAGTCAAAGGAGGCTCTCTTTTGATCAACGGGATTTGTAACCAGACAGGTGAATTTGGAGTCCAAAGAACTGTTCCAGAAGGAGATATGGAGCTCCTGGCCATTGTCAGAAACCTGGTACTGATTCACACTCTTTCCTAAGGCCCTGTGTGGACCCCCTGTTTCCCAGGAGATACTGAGATCTTCCCTTCCAGGTGTGTGGCATCGCAAGGTCACATTACATCCACCTGGAGTCTTGGATTCCACTTGGTGGTCTATCTGTGGTGTTGGCACTGGCTCTGTGAACACAAATGAAAGCCACAGAATTTTTGTGTCCCATATGCCTCTGAATAACTATGTAGTGAAATGGTGCTGATCCTATTCCATGAGCCAAACAGTGAAAGCAATAACTTACCATAAACAGTGAGGCTGAAACACTGTTCTTGAAACTGTGCCTTAGGAAACCAGATGCGAGCATTGTAGATCCCACTGTCATTCAACTCCAGGTCTTTGACCCTCAGTGTTGTCTCGTCCACCATGTCTAGCCGTTGTCCAAACCGGTCAGTGGGACTTGGGTGCTCCAGTTTCCCATGACTGAATTCCCCCCACCAATAGCCCAGGTTATGCCTTTGCGGGCGGAAGTCCCATTCCATTTTCTCCACTGTTATTCCTAGAGATACATTGGCAGGAAACAAGATTGATCCTCCCAGGATCCCCTTCAGCTGATGGGTTGGATTCCCCACTGCATGGCTTAAAGTTTCTAGTGAGGGGAGGGTGGTAGGGGAGGAGATACAAACAAAGGTGAAAATTATAATCATTATTGTTTTTAGCTCCGTCATGAGGTCCCAGAGTAGGTTACTGCAATTTAAAATGCAGCCTTAAAATGTAATAAGGAGGGTCCTAAAAGTTATTCCAACTGGGGAGAGGAGTCCCTGAGTGCTAGTAACCAATATTGCCAATATGGTTACCAGATTTTTTCCAATGAATCTGGGGACACTTTTTTTTTTTTTTTTTTTTTTTTTGAAGCTGAGTAGCAACAGGGAGTCAGTAGTGGGGATGGTGAGGCAAAAGACCCTGGGCCCAAGCACACATACATATTGTACAAATGTGCAAACCCTTCTTTCACACCCTGTGGAACATAAATGCACAGAGTTTTTAAAAACTGGGCAACGGCGTGCTGCCTGCCCGTAACTCCCAAGCCTTCCCCAATCTCCTGCCCCTTCCCCCCTTTGTTTTGACAGATCAGGGGAGGCTCGGGAGTCGCGGGTGGGCAGCAGTTGCCCAGGAGGGGTGCAAGGCGCGTGGTTTCTCTGCCAGGCAAAGTGCAAAGCCCTTCTTTTGCACCTGTTTCCCCTTTGGCGGTGGCAGTTGCAGCGACAGCCACAGCAGCCTGGAGTCAGCCTGGTAGTGCAGTTGGCTCTGGCTGGCTTCAGGAGCTGCTCGCTGCCATGGTGACTGCCATTTTTTATTGGAGAAAGTTACATCAGAACTTTGTCCTCGCTGGAAGTTCCAGCAAGGGAAAATGGTGGGCGCCACAACAGCGGGCACCTCCTGAAGCCAGCCAGAGCCAACTGCACTACGAGGCTGGCTCCGGGCTGCTGAGGCTGTCACTTCCACATTTGCCAGGGACAGATTTGCAAACCTGGGGACTGTCCCCAGGAACCGGGGACATCCGGTAATCCTACAATAATTTCCCTCTTCATGATAAATCAAACTCAGAGTGTCCCCTCCATCCATGCATGCATGTAGGTGGTTACTTGTGGTTTCTGAGTGAGAGAGAGAAAGAAAGAAAGCAGTGATGAGGCAAGGAAGAAGGGCTACCCTTATGCAATTCATATAATCAGTTATCAGTAATCAATATATTCATATATGCTCACACATAATCAGGGCTTACAGTATTTTATAATCCATTTTGAATCAAAGGGAAGCTGTGCCTTAGCTAACTGCAAACTGCTTGAAACAGCAAAATTAGGAGCCGACCTTTCCCCTACAAACATCCATGTACCCTGGACAAGGGGAAGACGTGAATCAGAGATTTTGGTACAAAATCCCCTCAGATACAGGCTAAATTAATCCGCAGAACAGGAAGAGCAAAACCACAAAATCTCCAAACTCCCTGTCCTGTCATAACTAGGGGAGAGGTTAGATAGAGCGTCACTGCAAGGAGCGGAAAGCAGAACTAGAACTCCGTGCTTGACCAGGAGCTGGAAGCATGGCAAGAAGCTTGCTAATTGTCTAATTTTTGCTGACAATATCGTGACTGCCTCATGGTTGTCTCATGATCTATGATTTGCTGTGATCTGCTCAGGTATAAAGACCTCTGGATTTCTGTCAATCGGGGTCCCAGTTCCTTTTGGAAGAGATTCCAAACTGGGTCCTTATTGCCTGGCAATAAACTTCACCTATTGCTGCGTCTGCCTGATCCTTATTAACGCCAAGCAAGTACCTGCTTGCGTTCACGTGCTTCAGTGAAGTCCTTACCCAAGGAAGAGAACAGCAATAGTCCGAAGAAGAGGCCCTTTGTGAGAAAAATCCACCATCGTATCTCTCCAGAGATGCAGAGAGCCATGAGCGGCAGTGAGGCACCGGACGAACCGTTTCTGGGACTCACCGATGGGGAGACTTGCGCCTGTTGAGCTCAGGTCCTGCTGGGGCTTCCCATTGTGGCATCTGTTTCACCACCGTGAGGAGAAAAGTTTCATTTTTCTGCACAGGATAGGTGCTCTAAAATAAGCCTGTTCATCCACCTTAGAAGCGTAGCCCGAGTACAGGGTCTTATTTGCAAGTCGTGAACTTTTGGACAAAAGGTATCAGATCAGATCCTTCTCTTTGTACCAGCAAAGGCTGTCTGTGCACGCTTTCCACCCCCTTCTCATTCCCTCCTTTGTTTCCGTTTCCTCCTTTCACTGCTCTTTGTTCCTCCCCTTATAAACCAGGAAGAATCAGTGGAAGAGGAGTGTGTGAACTCAGGGTGCTTTTTTGTGTTATACACCTGCTTGTATGCCTGTCAAAGGTTTCTGTTAAGAAAAGTTGTTTGATTCTCACCAACATTTGGAAATCACCAACCTTTTGGAATCCTGCAAAACCACTGAAAAGAAGAGAAACAACTGCAAATGTTCAACACACCACAGCAGTGGAGACTGCTCCCTTAGGGTGAGTGGGGCACTGCCTGGTTCAGCCTGTCCTTAGCCAGTCCACACCTGTCTTCTTTTCCCACTTTCAGCTAGCCCTGGCACTGCCTCCTCCTTAGTATCTGTGTTAGTCTTGTAGCTCTCAGTAGGGCAGGCAGTGAAAGAACTAGAATAATTTGGTTCCACCCAGTGCTTCTTTTCTTAAAAAAAGTGTTTAGGGATACTCTCATTGTGACTATAATCACCATTTTATAGTTCAAATCAGGAAAAAATAAATACAGTAACTGAACAAAGTTTCACAAAGTGTTTAGGGGTATGCGTACCCCTGCGTCCCCCCCAGAAATAAAGCACTGGCTCTACCTATCATAGGCTATGGACCCACCTACAGTTGTGCTCTCTAACTTCCGCCTTCGTCATACACACAGATTATTCTACGAACTGAGCTCAAGAACAAAGATCACTATGGCGCTGCCCCACCCTCACCAGGAACTGGGTGCTAGTAATCAAGATCAGTTGGCTCAGATACTTCCCTCTTGATTGGGATTGATTGAGTTTATTTATATGCGTCCCTTCCACAATGGGCTCTGCCAGAAGTGGTAACAGCAAACATTCACAGCAAACATTCAAACACTCACAGCAAACACTCACAGCAAACATTCAAAACATCAAAATACAGAGCATTGGAAATGCAAATGTACGAAATATGGAATATGACAGTAAATTAAAAAATGATGGGAATGATGTTTTTTAGGAAATACAGAATAAATTCAATATTACCATCCACCCCCCACCCCCCCAAAAAAATCCAGGCTTAAGTACATAAATACAAAGCAACACAAGAGTTAACTGACAATAACTGGCTTAAATACAGTTCAGCCGGGAGGGGAAGATGGCATACAGCTGGCTCCCATATCCTTCTCCAGACCTTCCTAGGATCCTCCCTCTGGCTGGCTCATTGAGCTCCCAGTCTAGCCAGGCCCTCTGGGTCTCTCTGCACAGGCAACTCCTCCCTGTCCCCAGCCTCCTCTGGCCAGAATGAGAAAGCAGTGGTGGAAAGGAGCAGAAGGTCTGGTGGGGTGAGGGCTCTTGTCAGTGGAATGTGAGCCCCCAGCAGGTGCCAAAACACACTGACCCTGAGATGGGGGGAGCTTTCAGGGAGGAGGTCTATTCTCCAGATGAGCTCAACATTGACAGTTGCTTTCCCCTTCATGACCAAGTAAACCTATATAGATTTTCACCCTATGCATTCAGCTTTTCCTACCCAGGGACTTACCCAGGGAAGAAAAGATCCATGGACCAAAGGAGAGAAGAGTCACGGGGCTGCTGATTTTATTCCCAGGCATAAGAAAAGCTGTACCGCACAGCCTCAAAGCTCCCTCTAAGAGGGAGATAGTGCGAAGTAACTGACAAGCTTGTCCACAGCCATCCAGGCTGAGAAAGCTGTGAGCTAAAGATAAGAAATGCACACCAGATGCCCGCACAGAAATTCAATACAAGTTGCAGTTCTTATATTTTACACTATGACGACTTGAGGCATTACCCACACAGAAATTCAATTCTTCTGTAAGTCAGTTGCAGGTCTTATCTTCTACACTATGACTACATATTGAGGTATTAACTTTTCTGTAGATATGTTTAATAACACCCCCCCCCCCCCGTTGATTTTAGCATTTAGTTTGAATCATAGAATTGTAGATTTTGAATGACTCCCAAGGGTCATCTAGTCCAACCCACTCCAATGCAGGAATCTTAGATAACCATCCATGACAGATGAAATCCACACTGGTCTGAATATTGCTTTGTTGTTCAGCAGTCAATTCATATATAGAAACATGCATGTACTGGGAAAATGTGTGTGCATCAGTGCATGAATGTTTTGTATGCATTGATCATAAAGTGTACAAAGCAATACAAACATTAGTGAAAATAAAAAATTAAGTAAAATTGCTTTGCTAAAATAGAGGGGAGGAGAGATGGGACCCTGTGGACTCAAGGGAAGGTCTCTGTGGGCAAATGTGCATCCAGGGTCTCTAGCCCAGCTTATTTTGAGGGGTTCAGGGGGAGATCAAGCCACTCTGGGGTGGATATGGGGGGGCTGAAGCTGGGATCCTGCCCCACTTATTTCCCCTGTTGAACCTGTGATTCTCTCTCCATCTTTCTTCTTTTGAAATACAACACCTGGAGAACTTCTTCCTCTTGAGACAAAGTACAAGTTCAAGCTTCTCAAAAACTCTTCCCTCGTCTGAGAACACAACCACTGCCCAAGGTATGATGACCTAAACATTAGGAAGAACTTCCTGACAGTAAGAGCTGTTCGACAGTGGAATTTGCTGCCAAGGAGTGTGGTGGAGTCTCCTTCTTTGGAGGTCTTTAAGCAGAGGCTTGACAACCATATGTCAGGAGTGCTCTGATGGTGTTTCCTGCTTGGCAGGGGGTTGGACTCGATGGCCCTTGTGGTCTCTTCCAACTCTATGATTCTATGATTCTATGATTCTATGAGGGGTGAAGAGAAGAAGCTAAGAAAGAACAAAACAAAGATTGAACCAAAGAGCAAGAGGAACTGGCTCGTGTATAAATGTCATAATGTTTGTTTTGCACTTTCCAAGGGATCAATCTGTCAGGGTTGGCAGCACTACTCTTTGGAACTCCCTGCTTATTGACACCAGACAAGAACCGTCACTCTGCTGTTGCTAAACATTTGCCTCGCTCCTTTTTAGTCTCCCTGGTAGGGAAAATATGTCTCCATCCCAAAAGAAAGTCTCTTTTGTGAGTGTTTTGCCAGGGAGAGGGAAAACAGCCTTGTGCTCCAGTCAAATGTATTGATGCAAAAGTTGGGTGCCTGCCCATCTCTCTGCCCAGTGGTGGAAAGAGCCCATGGGATCCCAGGCACCACACAGGGTCTGTTTCCCTTTGGAGAAGGGAAGGCAAGACAGAGACTGTTGTAGCTTTAAGAACTATGGTTTATTCACCTATTTACACCTTCAGTCTGCATGGAGGGATTCCAGATCTTATGGCTTGGTCACTTCAAGGGGCAGCAGAGCCTGCAGCCAACATGCAGCCAACACCTGGGGCAAGCGGAAAGGAGTTCTCTTTTATTGTTAGTGTCCCTCAATTGTTTGTGGGCACACGTGCTAAACCCTGTCTGTGGTGCCTACCCCTTTCCCCAAAGAATGAGACAAGAGACCCAGAGTATGGGTTCAAATTGGCCACAATTTTATTGAGCTTCAGAAGTGGGAAACTTGACACAGGCCTTGGCAGGTAACCCTCTCAGTCCGCCTGGCTGAGGATATGCAGGCAGATGAGGTCCAGTGAGAGGGGACTTCAAAGCGCAAACTTACGAAAATATAATGAAAATTATTTATAGGTGGTACTTAACCCCCGTCAAGCTAGCAAAAATCTATCATCTGCCTGATAATAAATGTTGGAAATGTAAAGAAAATGAAGGTACTTTTTTTCACCTTTGGTGGACGTGCCCAAAGATCAAGGCCTTCTGGGAAATGATATATAATGAATTAAAAAAGGTATTGAAATACACTTTCTTGAAGAAACCAGAGGCCTTCCTCTTGGGCATGGTCGGCCAATTGGTGCGAAGGGAAGATAGAAATTTCTTTATGTATGCGACAGCAGCAGCAAGAATTCTCATTGGGAAATACTGGAAGACACAAGAATTGCCTACCCGAGAAGAATGGCAGATGAAAGTGATGGACTATATGGAACTGGCTGAGATGACCGGCAGAATTCGAGACCAGGAAGAAGGGTCGATGGAAGAAGATTGGAAAAAATTTAAAATATATCTTCAGAAATACTGCAATATAAAAGAATGTTAGAAAGAGGTTGGAAAAGAATATTGGGCCGTTTTGGCAGATATGGTATAATGGAGTAAGTAAAAATGAAGTGTAAAATGAGGATAGAGGAGGATTAAATATTATCGAATGTTAAAACAAGTAAAAGAAAAGAAGGTTAGAAGGATTTGCAGGAGATACGATCTAAACTAGAATACAAAGCAGGGAGGTGAGAGGAAGTCATGGAAATAAGTAAAAGGGAAAAAAGTTGTAAAGGTTTAATTTGATTTCTGTCATACTTTATAATGTATTTTTATTTTTTGTTGAGTTTTTCTTATTGTCTGTTTTTTGTAACATGTTTTATTTTTTTCTGTATGGTCTTTTTCTTTTTTTCTGTAACTTTAAAATTGGAATAAATATTCTTTAAAAAAAACAAACAAACAAAAAAAACAAAGCACAAACTTACACAGCATGCCCTTCCACCAACCTTGTCCCGGGAGTTTGACCTACATGCCACCGTTCTAGGGCCAGAGACTCCCAGTTTTTGCCCTTTAACGTGCCCTGCAAGAGCCGCCGCACGGGGAGGGAGCATGAATGCATCCCTGCTGACTTGATGTTAAAGGATACTTTGCCAAGGCCTAAAACCACCACCCGAGGCACCGGCAGATGGCGGTGTCGGGGAAGCCATGCCCCCCTGCCGCTGCAAAAAACAAAAAGGCCGCCCCCACAGCCTTGCTGGGTGCCTGCCCAGAAAAGAAAGGTTGCAAAATTGAAGCCTAGCCTGGCGGAGGTGCCAAGCCCCTTTCAATCAGGCCAGAACTTACTTTAATCCGACCACCAGGACACGCTCCTGATGATCCTGATCCTGGAAGGAAGAAAACCAAAAGAGGCTTGGACAAAGGGGTCAGCCTCTTTTCTTTGGCCTTTGCCCCACCCCAGGCTGGCCGGCCATCCATTGTCCTCCCTGGCCAAAGGAGGGTCAAAGGCCAGCCCAAGCAGGTGGGAGGCACCCGCCCAGGTGAGCCCCATTCAGTGCTGCAAACCCTGCCCACCTGTGGGGAAGGGAGGGTGGAAATTTCTGTTTTCAGGTAGGTAGCCGTGTTGGTCTGACACAGTCAAAATAATAATAATAATAAAAATAGTCCAGTAACACATTAGAGACCAACTAAGTTTGTTCTATGTATAAGCTTTCATGTGCATGCACACTTCTTCAGATACACACACACACACACACACACACGTATATAAAAGTGTTAACCAGAGTCCAAGCAAAGTAGGAATAGAGAGGCAAGGCAAGGCGCCTGGGTTCCAGGAGCCAGAGACCTGTGCTGTTTCCAGCAAGAGTAAAGCTCAAGAGGATTAAGAGGAGTGCCTTATATACGCTGGTTGCTGGCAGTGATGAAGGCATTTCTGGGACTCCTGGCTCTCAAGGAGACCCAACTATAGTCACTGGATAAGTCTTTGTATCTTGCTCTTTGGCCTGGTCACAGGACTTTGGGGGCCAGTGTTTAAGGCTGCTGGGGAGGCTGTTGCTCCGGCTCAACTGGCAGCATTGAGAGATCAGCAATGGGTCTTTCAACAGAGGGACCCTCGATGAATTCATTGGCAGTGGCTCCTGGAGATGTTACTGATGTCTCATGTTGGGATGCAGTGTGGAATTTCTGAGGGCTCTGTGTCTAAGACTGCATAAGAACCAAGAGAAAGAAAGGATTCCCTGGGTAGTGCGGAACTGCTCAAGAATTCCTCTCTGTCCGAGTCAGCCTGCAAGGTTGGTCTATGGGATGCAGAGTTCAATCAGCATTGAGGCCAGCTCTTCCATCTCCTTGGCAATGTTGGCCTTCAATGTTGCCTCTGCAGGGACCTCTTGGCAAACAGGAGGTGCTGCTCCCATGCTTCTTCCTGATGTAGATATTTATGCATTTCTTGATCCATTGCAGATTTTTATCTCTCTGCCTCCCCTGTTCCTGATTTATATCTGTTAGATAAATTGATTTATTGCTCAGATAAGCCTGAGGTCCGGCATGCTTCCCCATCGCGGGCCTCTGCATTCCAAAGATCCGATACTTCTGAGCATAGCAGAGTTGAGATCAACAGCGGCTAGAGGAAGCTGCAAAACACTCCAGTGCATTCTTCAGTGTGCTTAAATAAAGTCCACACAGGATCTTAGCAGCTAAAAGCAGCGTTATTTACAGCAGGCTATCCATTATCTATCACAGCGAACAGCATCGCGAAAACACGTCCTCTCTCCTCAAAAGCGAAAGTAGAGAGAGAGAACAAAGGCTTTAGCCTCTCGGAAATGACGCAGCATTTCCCCCCTCCTTTCCACAGTACGCAGAGCGTACACTCTGAGCTGTTTAACCCTGTAAGCTCAGGTTCTCCTCACAATATCTTCACTCACTCAATCTTTCCTATGCTGTTTCCATCAACAGCAAGGCTGAAGAGGAGTGCCTTAAATACTCTTGCAGGTGCTGGTGCTGGCATTCCTGAGTTTCCTTGCTCCCAGGGAGACCCCATCCACAGTCACTGGATAAGTGTTGGTATGTTGCCCTTTGGCCTGGTCACGGGACTCTTGGGATGAGTGTTTAAAGGTGCTGGGTAGGCTGTAGCTCCGACTCAACTGGCAGCTTTCAGACATCTTCAATGGGTCTTTCCCCTGAGGAACCTTCAATGAATTCCTTGGCAGTGGCTGCAGGAGATGTGCCTGATCTCCCATGTTGATCTGTGGGATGCAGTGTTCAATCTGCATTGGAGAAAAAATATGACAGGTGGGACTCTGGGGATTCAACTCCTAAAAGAATTTCTGGGCATCTGGGCTCACCTGAACCCTGGAGAAAATTAAAGTCCCGTCCAGGTCCAGAGTTCTCTAAGAAAGGATACCCATTTGCATCTTCCCTGCACCTCTGTTCCAGCCTTTAGGGCTTGCTTTCTAGTTCCACTGGAGAACATGCCATAACTAAGTCCCTAAGAGAGTGGGTGGAATTGGCCATTTGGAATTGACAAAAATATGTCATTTCCATTCTTCAGCACTCAGTTATTATCACTGATAAAAGGATAAAATTAGTATTTTGGGGAGAGTCCAGAACAGCTGGTGAGGGGAGAACGCAATCCTGTTGGGTTCACTGGGGGGAGGAAGTGGGAAGCAGAGCCCTGTGTCCAGAGGGCTGGATTCTCCATTCACTAGCTGGAGAGGGGAGGGTTCAATTCTGCTCACTTTATTCATGCTAAAGGGCATGCATGTTTCCCTGATGGGAACAGGATCTTTGCACAAGCTGCCTGCCTCCCCTTGTGCCATAATTCATTTGTTAGGTCTTTTGATCAGGAGTTTTGGGTCATTGGCCTGTTTTTGGTTTCTTTAATCCAAATAATTTTTTATTGGTTTAATGTAAATACAAGGACAACATGTAACTACAATAACTTGTCCAATGGTACATTCTTATTAAGTTTCATGTGCAGCACACAGTACACAAACAATACATTTACTTATGCATTGTCAGTTCAAGTATCCTCTCCTTAGAGATTCTTATGCTGTGTGTGGAATAAAAGTATACTCTGTCTCATTTTATAAAGGAATAGAATGGCAGCAAAGTCTCGCCAAAAGTGTCTATTAAGTGCCTTTAATTACCCTTCTATGGTGAGTAAGACGTTCAGATAGAGCCACATTCCAAATGTTATTTACCCAGATTTCAGTGGGGATTTCTATAGGTTGTTTCCAGTATTGGCCTCTTGCTATTAGGCTTCTGATAATTGTAAAAATACAAAGTCTCTGCATTTAAAGTTATTGTTTAAATTTGAGTCTAATGTTAACAAGGCAAGGAAGGAATTGCTGCGTAATTTTGGAAACGGCGTGAAACACCTTTTCCAAAAAGGAGTATTACAACATGGAGCTCCATCATAAATGGAACTATGAGCCTTTCCAGCATAAGGGAGAGATGCTAGAGTATATTTTGGCTCGATGTGATGAAGTCCTGTGCCAGCGAAAGGTAATTTTAAGAGAAGCCTCCTGCAGACGAGCAGAGATGGTTCGTAGGGACGGGTTGTGCCAAATTGATGGCCATTTATTATCGGGCCACTGGCCTGTTTGAAATCTGTTTCTTGTTGCGTTTACTGTTGTTTCTTTAAAAATAACAGATTGCAACTTTAATAATAATAACGTAATAAATTCATCCCAAATGTATCAGATACTTTCATTGTTATTATCTACCAATGACGCCTTCATTCCTTTGCACACCGATCATCTCACCTCATAATCACCATCTTCTGTGTGGCTCCTCTTTGAGTTCACAGAGAGATCACCTGTAGAGTGCAATATGAGACACATTATTGAGTCCATGGCACTGACCAGTCTCTGCCTCTCAGGATAAGCAAAAGAAAGGTAGATGTATATTAGGCAGGAAGCCCCCATCTCAGGAGAGATGGGAAGAAGATCCATAGAGATGGTCCTACCTCTTCTACGCCTTTTAAATATGATCTTCCAGCGCATCTCCATCCCCAATATCACCAGAAGAACTATGACAGAAGAGATAAGCAATGGACTCCAACTCAAGAGTCCAAATTGTCCACCTGCAATGAGCAATAAGAGTCTCTCAAAATATACTCCAATAACAAACACCAGAATGACTCTCATAGAATTGTAGAGTTGGAAGGGACAACTAGAGTCATCTAGTCCAACCCCCTGCATTGCAGGATGCTTTGGCCCAAGGAGTGGCTTGAACCCATTACCCCGAGATTCAGAGCCCCATGCTCACACCTGGCCAAGAGGAGCATAATAAATAACAAGAGATAAGCAAGTGTTGCTGATCTGTCCCATTCAGGACTGTGAATGCCCTGCCAGACACACTTGCCTGCTCTGAATCCATTTCTTAAGTTTAAGTTTCTCAAAACATACTCTAATAACAATTGCCAGAATGCGTCTCACAGAATCATAGAATTGTAGAGTTGGAAGGGACAACTAGAGTCATCTAGTCCATCCCTCTGTGTTGCAGGAATCTTTGGCCCAAGATGTGGCTTGATCCCATGATCCCAAGACTCAGAGCCTCATGCTCACACCTGGCTGAGAGCAGTAGAATAAATAACAAGAGATAAGCACGTGTTTCTAATCTTTCCCCTTTGTATTGCAATGATTTGGGCTGTGAATGCCTGTCGGAAACACTTTCCTGCTCTGAATCCATTTCTTAAGGCAGGAAAAGGTGAAGATGGGGGCAGCAGCAGCAATTCACAGGATCAGATCAGTCTTCAAGGAGCTCTGTGTATGCTCCATTTCTGCTCACAAGCACTCAAAAAGCAGCATTTATTAATACAAACCCCTCATGTTAAGGGCTAGCCTGCCTTTTCGCCACCACAAAGACCTCCTCTGGATAATGAAGGAAAGGATATATTGCTCACCTTCATCACTCTGGCAGATGTTGAGCAAGTCAAAGGAGGCTCTCTTTTGATCAACAGGATTGCTGACCAGGCAGGTGAATTTGGAGCCCAAAGAACTGTTCCAGAAGGAGACACGGAGCTCCCGGCCATTGTCAGAAACCTGGTACTGATTCACACTCTTTCCTAAGGCCCTGTGTGGACCCCCTGTTTCCCAGGAGATACTGAGATCTTCCCTTCCAGGTGTGAGGCATCGCAAGGTCACATTACATCCATCTGGAGTCTTGGATTCCACTTGGTGGTGTATCTGTGGTGTTGGCACTGGCTCTGTGGAACACAAATGAAAACAGCATAAATTTTGGGTCCCACCTCTCCCAGTGCTAATGTTGCAAAATGGTGCTGATCCTATTCCATGAGCCAAACAGTGAAAGCAGTAACTTACCATAAACGGTGAGGCTGAAACGCTTTTCTTGAAAATGTGCCTTAGTAAACCAGATACGAGTATTGTAGATTCCAGTATCATCCAACTCCAGGTTTTTGATCCTCAGTGTTGCCTCGCCCACCATGTCTAGTCGTTGTCCAAACCGGCCAGTGGGACTTCGGTGCTCCAGTTTCCCATGACTGAATTGCCCCACCAATAGCCCAGGCCACGCCTTTGGGGTCGAAAGTCCCATTCCATTTTTTCCACTCTTATTCCTTCAGATCCATTGGCAAAAAACAAGACTGATCCTCCCAGGATTCCCTTCACTTGATGTGTTGGATTCCCCACTGCATGGGTTAACGTTTCTAGTGAGGGGAGGGTGGTGGGGGAGGAGATACAAACAAAGGGGGAAATTAGTATCATTATCGTTTTTAGCTCCTTCTCCATCTTCCATCATGAGGTCCCAGAGGAGGTGACAACTATTTAAAATGCAGCATTAAAACGTGAGAGGGAGGGTCCAAAAATGATATTGTAGGTGTGAATGGTAGGGAGAAGAGGTGACTCTTCAGAATATAATGGAAACTCTACACTAAAGGTGCCGGGTGCAACTCTGTAGGGAGGGACTTCTATAGTTTAGCAGCCTGTCACAAAGAAGGTCCTCTCCTGGGCTGGCACTCCCCCAACTGTTTGAGGGAGGTGAAACTACCAAGAGTGCCCCTAGTTTTAACAGCTGAGATGGACTATGGGGAAGAAAGTAGTCTCTCAGGTATTTGGAACCAAAATCCAAGGAAGTTTACAATGTCCAAGATTAATCTTAACTGTTGCTGAATTGTACATTGTACTTGGAACTGCCCAACTCTCTCTAGTTAAACATTTACTGCATTCTCCTAGCTGTCTTAGCAACGTGGCCCTTTAGTATAAGAGAAGGAAGTTTTTACAAGCCCAAAGTTACATTCCAAGTCCTGGTGTCCAGGAACTGGGATCCAGAAAAACTCAGACAGAAGATTGGCCCAGAATATTTTTTTTTTAAAAAAGTATAAAGTTTAGAAATAAAATAGTGTGAGGTCATAGAATCATAGAATCATAGAGTTGGAAGAGACCACAAGGGCCATCGAGTCCAACCCCCTGCCAAGCAGGAAACACCATCAGAGCACTCCTGACATATGGTTGTCAAGCCTCTGCTTAAAGACCTCCAAAGAAAGAGACTCCACCACACTCCTTGGCAGCAAATTCCACTGTCAAACTGCTCTTACTGTCAGGAAGTTCTTCCTAATGTTTAGGTGGAATCTTCTTTCTTGTCGTTTGGATCCATTGCTCCGTGTCCGCTTCTCTGGAGCAGCAGAAAACAACCTTTCTCCCTCCTCTATGTGACATCCTTTTATATATTTGAACATGGCTATCATATCACCCCTTAACCTCCTCTTCTCCAGGCTAAACATGCCCAGCTCCTTAGCCGTTCCTCATAAGGCATCGTTTCCAGACCTTTGACCATCTTGGTTGCCCTCCTCTGGACACATTCCAGTTTGTCAGTGTCCTTCTTGAACTGTGGTGCCCAGAACTGGACACAGTACTCCAGGTGAGGTCTGACCAGAGCTGAATACAGTGGCACTATTACTTCCCTTGATCTAGATGCTATACTCCTATTGATGAGGCCCAGAATTGCATTGGCTTTTTTAGCTGCTGCGTCACATTGTTGGCTCATGGCTCAGGTCTGAACGTCATCTGTATCTAAAGCAATCAATTAAACACTTAAATCTTTTCAAAGCTGCCCATTGGTCAAATTTTGGGGAACATCTGTTTTGCGGATCATCTGCCCATTGGTTAAATTTTGGGAAAACTGACTCTGTTCCACCAAGATCCCCAGTTGCCTTTTCCTGCTCATTGGTTGGCTCCTCTAATTCACTGTTGGCTCTAAACTGATATTTATTTTGTACTGGTGAATAACTGACACATCATAGGAAAATATCCCACAGGAAAACATTTCTGCCCTAGAAATGAGGGTGACTTGCTGCCAGCATGTCATTTATTCTGTTCCACTCCACACCTTCAGGGGAGATGATCACCTTCATCATACACACAAATTGTCCCACCCCAATTTCAGCTCAGTAACAAATATCACACAGAGAATTAAACTCTCAAAAGTCTTCCTTTGGAGCTTCCTTTGAAGCCAGCCTGGGTGTTCTGGGAGGAGTCCAGATGGGAAGAGGAGACCCTGAGTGCTAGTAACCAATATTGCCAAAAATTTATCTATTCATAACAATGCATATAGGTGGGTTACTTGTGGTTTCTGAGTGAGTGAGAGAGAAAGCAGTGAAGTCCTTACCCAGGGAAGAGTAGAGCAATAGTCTGAAGAAGAGGTCTTCTGTGAGAAAAATCCACCATCGTATCTCTCCAGAGGTGCAGAGAGCCATGAGCGGAAGTGGGGCACCAGAATGCCCCTTTCTTGGACTCACCAATGGGGAGACTTGTGCCTGTTGAGCTCAGGTCCTGCTTATGGGCATTGAGGCATCTGTTTCACCACCCTGAGAAGGACAGCTTCATTAGTCTGCACAGGATAGTTGCTCTAAAGTAAGCCGGTTCATCCATTTTATAGGCGTAGCCTGAGTACAGAGTTTTTCGCAAGAGTTGTGAACTTTGGAACACAATCATCATCCCATCCGTCTTCTCGCTTCCCATCGCTTCGGATCCTCCTCATCCTATTTATACCAGGAAGGCTGTCTGTGCTCTTTGTTCCTCCCCTAATAAACCAGGAAGCATCAGAGAAGGACATTGTAGAAGTACAAAGGTAATTCCAAGCAAGGATGGGTGGAGGAGGAGAAAGAGTTGCAAGCTCAGGGTGTTTCTCTCTGTGTTATACACCTGCCTGTTAAAGGTTTCTGTTAAGAAAAGGTGTTTGATTCTCACTCACATCTGGAGACCACCAACCTTTCAGAGTCCTGAAGCTAAACCCTTGCAAAGAAGAGAAAAGGTTGCAATGTGCAGCAACACATCACAGCAGTGGAGACTGTTCCCTCCCTTAGGACAGCGTCCGCCTGTCCTTAACCATTCCCCACCTGTTTTCCTTTTTTACTTTCTACTCCCACTTGACCCTTCCTCCTTAGTATCTGTGTTCCTCTTGTAGTTCTCAGTAGGGCAGGCAGTGAGAGAACTAGAATTAGTTGGCTCTACCCAGTGCTTTTTAAAAATATTTGTTTAGGGGTACTCTCATTTTGACTCAAAATAATCACCATTTTATAGTTCAAATCAGGAAAAATAAATACAGTAAATGGACAAAAGTACAAAGATTCATAAAATGTTTAGGGGTATGCGTACCCTTGCATCCCCCGCAGGAAAAAAAGCACTGGCTCAACCTATCATTGGCTCTGGACCAACCTACAGTTGGGCTCTCTATCTTCCGCCTTCATCTGATGCGCAGATTTCTATGAAGTCTAGCCAGGCCCTCTGGGGTGTCTCCTCCATGTCACCAGCCTCATCTGGCCAGCGCCCCCAAACCCCCTGGGCCCATGACACCCACCATTACTGTTTGGGCCAGAATGAGAAAGCTGTGGTGGAAAGGAGAAGGTCTGGTGGGGTGGGGGCTCTTGTCAGTGGAATGTGAGCCCACAGCAGGTGCCCAAACACATTGACCCTGAGATGGGGCGGGGAGCTTTCAGGGAGGGGGCCTATTCTTTAGATGAGCTCAGCACTGTCAGTTTCTTTCCCCTTTATGACCAAGCAAACCTATAGATTGTCACCATATGCCAGGCTTCCCCAAACTGGGCCTTCCAGATGTTTTGGGACTACAACTCCCATCATCCCTGACCAGTGGTCCTGTTAGCTAGGGATGGTGGGAGTTGTAGTCCCAAAACATCTGGAGGGCCCAGTTTGGGGAAGCCTGCCCTATGCATTCAGCTTTTTCTACCCAGGGACTTACCCAGGGAAGAGAAGATCCATGGGCCAAAGGAGAGAAGGATCACGTGGCTCCTGCTTTTATTCTCAGGCATAAGAAAAGCTGCAGCCCCAAAGCTCCCTCTAAGAGGGAAACTGTGTGAAGTAACTGACAAGCTTGTCCACAGTCATCCAGGCTAAGAAAGCTGTGAGCTAAAACAGGAAATGCGCACCAGGTGCCCACACAGAAATTCAATACAAGTTGCAGTTCTTTTATTTTACACTATGACGACTTGAGGCATTACCTTTTCTGTGTATATGTTTAGTAACCCCCTGTTGATTTTAACATTTAGTTTGAATCATAGAATTGTGGATTTCGAATGACTTCCAAGGGTCCATCTAGTCCAACCCCCTTCAATGAAGGAATATTAGCTAAACCATCCATGACAGATGAAATCCACACTTGTCTGAATTTTGCTTTGCTGTTTAGCAGTCGATTAATATGTACAAACATGCATGTACTGGGAAAATGTGTGCACATCAGTGCATGAATGTTTTGTATGCATTAATCATAAGGTGTACCAAGCAATACAAGCATTAGTGAAAATAAAACATAATGTGTTGAATTAAGTAAAATTGCTTTGCTAAAATGGAGGGGAGGGGAGATGGGACCCTGTGGACACCAGGGAAGGTCTATGTGGGTAAATGTGCCTCCAGGATCTCTAGCCCAGCTTATTTTGAGAGTTTCAGGGGGAGAGCAAGCCACTCTGGGGTGGATATGGGTGGTGCTGAAGCTGGGATCCTGCCCCACTTGTTGAACTTCTCTCTCTCTCTCTCCTTTTGAAACATGACACCTGGAGATCTTCTGCCCCTTGAGACTAAATACAAGTTCAAGCTTCTCAAAAACTTTCCACCTCATCCCACAGTATGATGAAGGCTGAGGAGAAGAAATAACAAAACAAAGATGGAACCAAAAAGTAAGGACCTTCTTTGTGGCAGGCTGCTAAACTGCAGATGTCCCTCTCCACAGAGATGCTCCCGGCACCTTCATTGCAGAGTTTCCATTATATGTTGAAGATTCACCCTTTCACCATACCACTGACACCTGCAATATCATTTTTAGGCCCCTTCCTATTACGTTTTAATGCTGCATTTTAAATTGTTGCAACCTGCTCTGGGACCTTATGATGGAAGATGGATAAGGAGCTCAAAATGATAATGATACTAATTTTCAGAATTTAGTCATGGGAAACTGGAGCACCAAAGTCCCACCGACCAGTTTGAACAATGACTAGACATGGTGGATGAGACAACATTGAGGATCAAAGACCTGGAGTTGGATGACAGTGGCATCTACAATGCTCGTGTCTGGTTTATGAAATCACAGTTTCAAGAACAGAGGTTCAGCCTCACTGTTTATGGTAAGTTATTACTTTCACTGTTTGGCTCATGGAATAGGATCAGCACAATTTACAACATAGGTACTGGGTGGGACACAAACTTTCTGTTGCTTTCAACTGTCTTCAACAGAGCCAGTGCCAACACCACAGGTGCTCCATCAAGAGGTATCCAGTACTCTAGAGGGATGTAATGTGACCCTGCAATGTCAGACACCTGGAAGGGAAGAACTCAAGGTCTCCTGGGAAAGAGGGAATTCCCCCAGGGCCTTAGAAAGCAGCCTGGATGAGTTCCAGCTTTCTGAAAGTGGGAGGCAGCTCAATGTCTCCTGGAAGACCATACCTATTGACTCCACATTCACTTGCCTGGTCAGCAACCCTGTCAGTGAAAAGAGAGCCTCATTTGACTTGTCTCACATCTGCTCAAGTATTGGAGGTGAGCAATGTATCTTTATGCGGAGTTGCTGTTTGGGCTCTTATATTGCTTACACCCTATGGGGATTCAAGGAGAGACATTCATATATGCAAGCACCCCTCCTCACATGCTTGTTGACCAGTGTTAGAGCAAATCCAGTCCTGCTTGAAGATTGCCCTGACCCATCTGAATTGCTGCTTCTGCTTCTTCCTCCTCCTCCTACCCCTAGGTAAATAAATTACATTTGGAGCAGGCCAAAGTGAAGGCTGCAGCAATGTCTGACTGCACACAGGATTGTGCTGTAATTCTGGATCCAGCCTTATGGCTACACCACCCAGTAGCCAGCGTGGTGACTTGCAGAGGCTGCCAGACTCTACCCAGCAGCATAACCCCTGCCCATTGGGCCTGCTGGCTGGAGCTGATGGAAACTGGAGTCCAGCAACATCTGGAGAGCAACACATTTCCTGCCCCTGTTTCAACACCTCTTTTCATGTCTTGCCTTCATCTCACTGGCTTCTTGTATCCTAACGGAAGGTATTTTTGTTTTGGAAGTCTGTCCTGGCATTTCATTCATTCTGCTTCTCTCATGTAAGATAATCACTTTGCTTGTTGCTATTGAAGCATTTTCAAGAGTCTCTTATTGCACATTGCAGGTGAACATACTGGAACCCAGAAGATCCTGTATCTTATTTCTGGTCTCTCTGCAGTTTTGTTTTTGTTGGGAATTGTGATTGTGGTGGCAAAATGCCAGTGGAGAAAAAGGCATCAAGGAGGTAGAACCATCTCTATTAATCTTCTTCTCATCTCACCTGGGATTGGGGCTCCCTACCAATATGCCTCTACCTTTACTGTGTTTATCATGAGAAGCAGAATTAGGTCAGTGTCATGGAATAAATATTGTTTCTCATGTTACATTCCACAGAAATTGTCCGTAGGCTTCAGAGAAGGGGCAAAATTTTATTGCACACCAGAACTCAGAAGAGAGGCTCTCACAACTTTTCATGTAGTTGCCAATACTGTAACCAACTCTGAAAATGATCTTTTATTTCTTCATAATCTCTTAATTTCTACAGAGGGGAACCTAAACTGAAATCAGTGGAAAGTATAAGGAGCCTTGTTATGGCTACAATATAATCAGTGACATGAAATGTTTGACATAGAAGAAATGTGTTTTTTTTGGACCAAAGCTCACAATTCGAAAAATAACTTATACAAAACAAAGAAAAACTTTTATCTAAAATGTACAATCTGTTATTAGATTGGGAAACAAAAGATGAGCTTGTCAAAGCTGCTATGACACATGGAGCAATAGATATAGGATACAACATAGATTTTAATCTTTGGGAAAAACTTTGGAAGAACGATCTGAAGTTTTCAGCATGTTATTCTTTGAAGGATAATTATTTGAAAATGATTTGCAGATGGTATTTAGCTCTGAGTAGACTTGCTAAGATGTATAAGACTGAATCAGATAAGTGATTATCTGCACTGGAGATGCAATGAGGTTGAGGGAACGTTCTTTCATATGTGGTGGACCTGTAAAAGGGTAAAAGAGTTTGGGAAATGATCCATAATGAATTGAAAAAAATGTTCAAAAGTGCCTGTTTTTAGCCCAGCTCACACACACTCAACTCTTTCTCACTGCCAGCCAGGTGAGGGAGGGGGCCGACCCATTTGCCCTCTGGCATAAGCAGCTTCCTTTGTTATACTAATGACCTTAATTAATATACTTAGTTGGCAGCTTTGACCCTTGTCCAGTTAATTGAACAATGGAATCCAGGCGCCGTTGCCGGCACTGTTTTGTGTTGGGGTATGTATGGTTCCGCCAGTACTGATGGCCAGGAGGGGTCTTTGGTGGTTCTCTCCCCTGATGGTCCCTTAATGGGATCTCTAGCACCGTCTTCAAGAGGGGTGCCTTCTCCTCCAGGTCCTTGGCTTCATTCCCTGAAGATTCTGGGTCTGATACAGAGTCAGAACAGATAGAAGGACAGGATTTCCAGGGTGGTGGGGAACTCGTTGAAACTTCCGTTCTGTCCCAGAAAACCTGCAGGAGCAGAGAGAACCAGAATCAGCTATAGAACATGACAGGAGAGATTCAGATGCAGCTACTTTAAAATGTCACTGAGGATTTGTACCCACCTAAATAAACTTGGGGAAGAAAGGGGTTCTGGCAAAGCCCAATGGTGCCCTAAGAAAGATCACAGACACCTTCTCTATACAATATTTCCACTCATTTTGGGTTAGCATTTGGTTGTACAGGTTCCTGGATCACTCATGCTAAGTTGGGGTGTAGTTGTCCATTTTTAGCAGACAAAAGGAGGCAGTTTGCTTCTGCTGGCAGTGACATTTTTAAAGTCAAGGTCCATGTCTCACTTGTTGTTTCATATTCCAGTTGGAATTGATGATACAATTAGCATTTTAGAAGGCACCCAGAGCAGCTGCTGAGTGGAGACTGCAATCCTGTTGGAAACTGTTCTATATGCACCTTTCGCTGTGAAGAAGCAGAATCCTGCAGCCAGAAGGATCAAATGCTCTGCTCATCAGTGGGCGAGAGAAGGGTTTAATCCTGCTCAGTTTGACTGTGCATGCATGTTCCCCTGATGGGAACTGGCTCTTTTCAGAGGCTGCCTCCCTCTCCTTCATGAATTATATGAACTGGATTCTTGTTCACAAAAACCTATGCCATAATACAGGTGAAATGTCATTATAATGCCTTACGCCAGGGGTCAGCAACCTTTTTCAGCCATGGGCCAGTCCACCGTCCCTCAGAGCATGTTGGGGAGCGGACTATATTTTGAAGAAAAAAATGAACGGATTCCTATGCCCTATAAATAACCCAAAGATGCATTTTAAATAAAGGCACACATTCTACTCATGTAAAAACATGCTGATTCCCGGACCGTCTGCGGGCCGGATTGAGAAGGCGATTGGGCCAGATCCGGTCCCTGGGCCTTAGGTTGCCTACCCCTGCCTTATGCCATAATAAATTTCCCATTTCCCCCTGGCCTAGGGAATGGGGCCCAGACTCACCTTGAACAGCTAAAAGAGGGTCCTGGGAGGCCACTGGGACATTGCTGGAACAATTCTTGGATTGGGGCAACTGGCTAAAATGTTCTAAAATGTTCTAAACGGTTCTAATTTTGGTTCCTCTGTTTCATTTTTGTTGGGTTGGTGTTGGTTAAATGTTTAGTTGGAGGTGGCAGTTACTTTAATTTGGGTATACAGTGGTACCTCGGGTTAAGAACTTAATTCATTCTGGAGGTCCGTTCTTCACCTGAAAGTATTCTTAACCTGAGGTACCACTTTAGCTAATGGGGCCTCTCGCTGCCGCCGCCATGTGATTTCTGTTCTCATCCTGAAGCAAAGTTCTTAACCCGAGGTACTATTTCTGGGTTAGTGGAGTCTGTAACCTGAAGCGTATGTAACCTGAAGCATCTGTAGCCCGAGGTACCACTGTAACTGCAAACTGTTGGTTATTGTTGTTGTTGTTGTTGGTTTCTATTGATTTATTGGTTTGTTGGTTGCTTGTATAGGATTTCCCCCCAATATTTGATGCTTTGTTGGGTTTTTGTATATGTTGTAAGTCACCCAGAGTGGCTGAGGAAACCCAGCCAGATGGGCAGGATATAAATTTAAATCAATCAATCAGTCAACCAACCAACCAACCAACCAACCTGTTGATCAGTGAGTTGGGTAATGGAGAGCGGTAGCTGTGGCTTAGTCTTCTTGCCTGCTGGTAATCTGTTTTGTGTGTATAATTATTAGATTGAACCATCATCCCTTCACCACTTCACGAGCTCATCTCACCTGATTATCACCATCTTGTTGTGGATTTCTTGCTGAGTTCCGGTGTGCAGAAGAGCTCTCTAAGTCCTCTAGTATCAATGAGTGAATATCTGAAGAGACATATTATTTATTCCATGGCATGGACCCACTTCTGCCTCTCAAAATAAGCAAAAGTAAAGTAAAGGTGTATTTGACAAGCAGCCTCCATCCCAGGTGAGGCAGGAACCAGACTGAAAGAGATGGCCCTACCTCTTTCCTTCTTTTTGGATTTTCGCTTCCTCCTCATCCACATCCACATCACTGGCACCACCATGATGATCAGCAACATGACAACTGCAATGGAGATACTGTGATGTCTCTGGCGTCCGACCTGTACACCTGCAATGTGTAAAGAGAGTCTCTTGAAATATTCTCGAATAACAACCACCAAAGTGACCTTCCTGCATGACTTGGAAGGCTAAGCAAATGTGCCAGTCTGTTCCATTTGTATTGACTTTATTGGATTTCTTTGTCACAGAGTTTAGGTCCATCATTTCGGTTTGCATTTCATTTCCCCCTATCGTTTTATTTTTATTTTTCATTTACAAACTGCATTGCAACCAACAATTGCCCAATTCATTCATGATAAAATAAGGTAAAACACAGAGATTCAGAAGATCACATACCCAGGAAGCAAAACGCAACTCAACCATTTCTACAAATCACAGAACTGTAGAGGTGGAGGGGACTACGAGGGTCGTTTAGTCCCACCCCCTGCAATGCAGGAAGCTTTGGTCCAACATGGGGCTCAAAGCTACAACCCTGAGATTAAGAGTCTCATGCTCTACCAGCTGAACTATCCCACTTAAAAGCAGCTATTCCTCCATACACTGACTAGGTCACACTTGCTCACCATCATCACCTGGGCAAATTTTGAGCAAGTCAAAGGAGGCATTCTTTTGGTCAACTGAATTAGTAAGCAGGCAGGTGAATGCCGAGTCCGAAGAGTCTTTTCGCCAGGAAACACGGAGATTCCTTCCATTGTCAGAAAGCTGATACTCATACACGCTGTTTCCTAATGCCCTTGGCGGATTCCCTCTTTTCCATGAGATACTGAACTCTTCCTTTCCAGGTGCCTGGCACTGCAGGGTCACATTGCATCCCTCCGAAGTCTGGGAGACTTCCTGAAAGTGTATCTGTGGTGCTGGCACTGGCTCTGTGAAACACAAATGAAATCAGCACAAGGGTTTTGTCCCACCCCTCCCAGTACCTTTGTAGGGAAATGGTGCTGATCCCATTCCATGAGCCAAACGGTGAAAGCAAATGGGATCCTCCTAATTGAGGGTCCTGGTTGTGCACGGGCACTCAAGGCACACCAAGGGTTAATTTAGTTGGAGGGGTGTAACCCAAGCCCTAGCCATAGCCCTGGGATCCTGCCAGGCTGACTGGGCCAATCGCCTGGAGGTGGCATGATCCCAGGGGCTGTTAAGAATGACAGCATGATGTAATTGGGGGCACTTGCTTTGCGTTGCCGAACACCCGCCCTCGCTCCCTTGTGTTAGGCAGTGTCGCTTTGGCCTTGCTTTGGTTTGGGTCACCTGTTTTGGAACAGGGGTTGGGTAGGAATTTTTCCATTTGGCAGATTGGCTATAGCCACTTGGTTTTCGCCTACCCCCTCAGCAATCGTCACAACTTGCAAGGCGGCGGTTAGGCATTGGCTCATTGAAATGTGGGGGAGGGGAGGTGCGGCCATCACCTGCCCCTCCAGGAACAGGGTATTTGGATCCTGTCCAAAGTCTGCTTGGGGGGCTAGGGCCATGCCAGGACCCCAGGAACCCTGGGGTGAGCTTCAGTTGCTCTTCATCGATGTCGCTCCCTCGTTTGGTTTACCCTTTTAGACTACCAATCAGAAAGGTGGAGTCAGCTATAGTTTGGAGCCAATGCCTAAGCCAATACCGCTCACATGGTTGAATTGAATAAAGTTGTGGCCAAAATTTGCCCAAAAACTAAAATAAGTGTCAGTGTGAAGTTATTTCAAGGGGGTGGGATCCTGGGGGCCTTGAAGCGCAATAACTTACCATAAACAGTGAGGCTGAACCTCTGTTCTTGAAACTGTGACTTAGTAAGCCAGATGCGAACATTGTAGATCCCACTATCATCCAACTCCAGGTCTTTGATCCTCAGTGTTGTCTCGTCCACCATGTCTAGCCGTTGTCCAAACCGGTCGGAGGGACTTTGTTGCTCCAGTTTCCCATGACTGAATTCCCCCAGCCAAAAGCCCAGGCTACCACTTTGGGGGTAAAAGTCCCATTCCATTTTCTCCACTGTTATTCCTTGAGATACACTGGCAGGAAACAAGACTGATCCTCCCAGGATTCCCTTCAGCTGATGAGTTGGATTCCCCACTACATGCCTTAAAGTTTCTAGTGAGAGGAGGGTGGTGGGGGAGGAGATATAAAAGGGGAAGATTAGTATCATTATTGTTTTGAGCTCCTTATCCATCTTCCATCATCAGGTCCCAGAGGTGGTGACAACAATTTAAAATGCAGCATTAAAACGTGAGAGGGAGGGTCCAAAAATCATATTGTAGGTGTCAGTGGTATGGTGAAAGGGTGAATCTTCAACATATAATGGAAACTCTGCAATGAAGGTGCCGGGAGCATCTCTGTGGAGAGGGACATCTGCAGTTTAGCAGCCTGCCACAAAGAAGGTCCTCTCCTGGGCTGACTCTCCCCCCAAATGTTTGAGGAAGGTGAAACTAGTCTCTCAGGTATTTGGGACCTAAATAAAAGAAAGTTTACAATATCCAATATTAATTGTAACTGTTGCTGAATTGTACATTGAGGCACTGGAAATACCCAACTCACTAGTAAAACATTTACTACATTCTCTTAGCTGTCCAAACAACTTGGTCCTTTACTGTAAGAGAAGGACATTGTTACAAGTCCAAAGTTACAATCCAAAAATCGACTTCCGGGACAGCGCCATCGGCAATGGCGGAGTTCCTCTGACAGAGAGGAACCCGCTCCGCGAAAATCGGGTCTTGCCGCCGCGGCGAAGGTGGAGACCCTTTAAAAATCCCAGGCGGAGGAAGCCTGGGAACGTGGGATTCGGCTGACACCAGGAGCGCCTCCCCTACTCGCAGGGAACCCCTTTTTCGGGGGTCCGAAGCGACGTGGGGTGAGTGGCGCGGTGTTTTGAATCAACCGCTACTTTTACGGAGTGAAGCCGCACAGCCGTTGCCGGAGAGCGCTGACCTTTTCCTGTGGACAATTGGACTCTAAACAAGTACCCGTGAGTAGGATGGAAAATTGGATTAAGTATTAAGAAATATCTTAATTTGGCACCGAAACGGGAAGGTTCTAAACAGGAAGTCCGCCTCCCGTTTTTTGTAAATAGATCGAAGCAAAAACTTTGTAAGCTAAAGTCTGGAAAGTCGTATATAAAGTTCTAAATTTCCTTCATTCATCACCACCAAAACCCCTCTTGGAAGCAGGAGAAAAGAGGGGAATTTTTGACTGTTTAAGCCTGCAGGAGAGAGAGTAAAGAAAGAGAAATTTTCCACCGTCTCAAACCTGGGAACGGGGTGTCAGAGACAGAAATTTATGGGGAAAGTTCATTGACTGTGAACGGAACGTCTTTTGACAGATAGTTAAAAAAAAAAGAGAGAGAGAAATATATTGATTCCAATGTTGCTTCTTGCAATCAAAAGAAACAAAGTATTTGAAAAGTGAAAGTAATTTTTCCTTGTTGGTCCTGCTTTTAAAAGATGGATACAAATAGAAATTGTCTCCTCTAGAGGGAGCTTGTTAATTTGTTGCCGGAGCTGATCTGGGGACCTCACAGCTGTATGATTAGGATCGTGAGACCAGACTCTAACCTTGGGGGGGAAAATGTGTTTACAAGAAGTCTTGGTGCTTGCTTTTTGCAAGACAAGTGCTTTGCTGGAGCAGATGCATGAGAAGATGGATTTGATGACTGTTGCAGTTAAAAACTTTGGACAAACGGTGAATACCCATATAGAAACCATTCAGGAACCAGCCCAGGAATCTGTTTTGATAGGGCAAGCGCAAGGGCAGAAGAAAATGGAGGAGGTTGTTGTTGAACCTCAAATAACACAAATGGAGAGACCCGAGGCCTTGCAGGAGTATAAGCCGTTGTTCTTGAAGTTCGAATCTGGAGTGGACCAAGGGGGGTCTGGAGTTGTGAGGGCCCTTAATTTTGGAAAGACTTTGAAACATGCTTTTAACTACTTTCTGGACTACAGTGTTGACTGTGGGGAATGGGACTTTGGGGAATGGGCTGATCTGCTGAGGAGAGATGGAGATACTTCTGGAGTCCTCCCGAGACCTACCCCCCAATGAGAAAGGAAAGAAAATAAGAAAAAGATCAACAAAAGATAAAGTAAAGGGCAGGTATAAACAAGAAGAAGACCTGCAGAAGGGACATGGAAAAGATTTAAGAGCCTCGGACATAAGAGCACCAGGTTGATGGATTAGATAGACGAGAAAGGACTGACAAAACCCGAGACCAGGAAGAAGAGACGATGGATGAAGATTGGAAGAAAGTTTTAAAATTTATTTAGAAAAGTATTGTAAAATTAATGAGTATTAGAAAAATGTTGGAATGAAATTATTTGGCTGCAGCAGAAATGTCAAAAAGAATTATAAAAAAATATGTTATGGTTAAAAAAAATTTGGTATATATAAGTTTTAAGTTTTAGGGTTTTTTAGGCAAGATAAGGTTAAAATAGATTAAGGTGATTTAAATGACAGAATATTGTGAAAGATGAAAAGGATTTGCTGAGATAATTAACAACTAGAATACAAAAAAGGGAGGTGTGAGGAGGTCGTTGAAATAAGTTAATGAAAGTTAAGGATTTGGGAATATTAGACTTGTTTTTTAATTGTTTGTTTATTTTTGTTTTTTGATTTAGATGTATTGTGTGTTTTGTTATATTATTTTTTTGACTTTGGTTTTTATTGATCTGTATTGTTTAATTGTTATGTTTATCTACTTCTTTCTTTCTTTTTCTCCTTCTCTTGTCTTTTCTTTCTTTTTTCTTTGTAACTTTAAAATTCTCAATAAACATCATTTTAAAAAACAAAAAAACAAAGTTACATTCCAAAAATCAAGTGCTCTTTGTTCTCCAGCAATAGGCATCTATCTGGTGTCCAGGAACTGGGATGAAGAAAAACTCAGAGAGAAGATTGGTCTGGGTGATTAAAATAAAATAACGTGAGGTCTGAACTTCATCTGTAAATAAAGCAATCCATTAAACACTTAAATCTTTTCAAAGCTGTCCCTTTGTCATATTTTGGGGAACATTGGGCTCTGTGTAATTGTCACAAGGAAAAATTCTGAAAAGAAGTAGAATTTCCCTACACAAGGAACAAAAGTTCATTTATTTCAGTTAACAAGATTTGTATACTGCTTGGTTGTAATAAAGTCTCAAGGCAGAATCAGAGCTGTGCAAAATGTCTGTTGAAAACTCAACACAGAAAGCTCTAACCCAGTGAAAAATTATTCTAAGCAGCAATATAAAAACCACGTGCATGTGGTTTCACGAAAAATAATTATGCACAATTTTTCGTGAAACCAAGATAAGTTCATACAGAGTTCAGAGAAGCAACTGACTCTGTTCCACCAAGATCCCCAGTCGCCTTTTCCTGCTCATTGGTTGGCTCCTCTAATTCACTGCTTGCTCTTAACTGACATTTATTTTGTATTAGTTAATGACTGACAAAATCCTGCAGGAAAACATTTCTGCCCTAGAGACGAGGTCGACTTGCAGTCATCATATCCTGTGCTTTTATTTCGCTCCACTGCACACCTTCATCATCATACACGCAGATTGTCCCCCCCAAGTTCAGCTCAGTAACAAATAATACACACACGATTAAACTCTCAAAAGCGTTCTGTTGGAGATTCCTTTGAAGCCAGGGGGAGGTTCCAGCAGGGGAGAGGAGACCCTGAGTGCTAGTAACCAATATTGCCAATAATTTTCCCCTTCATGACAAATCAAACTCACAGTGCCCCTCCATGCATTTAGGTGGGGTTTCTTTATTTTTGTTTTTGTTTTGTTTTTGAGAGAGAAAGCAGTGAAGTCCTTACCCAAGGAAGAGTACAGCAATAGTCTGAAGAAGAGGTCTTCTGCGAGAAAAGTCCACCATTGTATCTCTCCAGAGGTGCAGAGAGCCATGAGCGACAGTGAGGCACCAGACTGTTTCTGGGACTCACAGATGGGGAGACTTGCTGCTGTTGAGCTCAGGTCCTGCCTGTGGATTTCCCATTGAGGCATCTGTTTCACCACCATGAGGAGAACAACTTCATTTTTCTGCACAGGATAGATGCTCTAAAATAAGCCTGATCATCCATCTTATAAGCATTGCCCTACTACAGAGTCTTATCAGCAAGAGTCATGAACTTTCAAACACAACGGTCGGCTCCTTCCTTCCTCTCGCTTCCCAGCAAATCAGATCCTCCTCTTCAAACCAGCAAGGCTGTCTGTGCTCAGTCTCCCTCCCCTTCTCATCCAGGCAAAACTGTGCTTCTTCTTCTTTTTTCTGACTCCTCCTTTCACTGCTCTTTCGTCCTCCCCTTATAAACCAGGAAGGATCAGTGGAGGAGGAGAAAGAGTGTGTGAGCTCAGGGTGAGAGCTTCTTTGTTGTTAATCACCTTCCTGTGTGCCTGTTAAATGTTTATGTTTAGAACAGGTGTTTGATTCTCACCCACATCTGGAGACCACCAATCTTTCAGAGTCTTGAAAAACCCTTGCAAAGGAGAGAAACAGTTGCAAATGTGCAGCAGCAACTACTACAACAGCAGCAGTAGAGACTGTTCCCTAAGGATGAGTGGGGCACTGCCTTTGCCAGCTTTAGCCCGTCCGTAGCCTAAAGTTACCAGGTTTTTTTGTAAGAATCTAGGGACACTTTTCTTTCTTGAAAAGAGAAAAAAAAAGTGATAAAAAACATTTGTTTTTTTTTAAAAAGTAATACCTTCTCTTCTGTGGTCTCCTCTGTTGTGCGGCGTTCCTCTGGACCCTGGCCTGCTCTCTTGGAGTGCTAGCCGCCATGGAGTCGGCTCAGGTCAGACCTGGGCTCAGCCACGTGTCCTTGCCCTCCCAGGGCTCTCCTATCTCTCCTCCCTAGTGGCGGCGGCAGTAGCGGTGCAGGAAGGTCAGGGCTCCCCTCTTTTTTTTCCTCCTTCCTCTTCCTCTCTCTTCCTTCTTCTACTCTCCTCCTTCTCCCTGCATCGGCTCTGGGTTTTTCCTGGCCCCAGAGCACCGCTGGGTAGTTGGCTAGGTGGCCGGGCACTCCTTCTGGCTCAATTTGGGTTGTAGGGTGTGTGTGCATGTCAGTTGTTCTCCAAGTTGATGCACCGGGGATCCCTGATTCCCCCTCGGAGGTGGTGGCAGTCTCAGCAGCCCAGAGCCAGCCTGGTAGCGCAGTTGGCTCTGGCTGGCTTCAGGAGCTCCTCGCTGCTGTGGCGCCCGCCATTTTGCCTTGCCAGAAGTCCCCATATGCTTTGTCTTGTGCCATTGAATCAATCACCCAACATTCATTCCCTACGAATAAATCTACAACAATTAAAATATAAATCCAGGGACATTAAATGAAATCTGGGGACATTCTGGGGACAGATTTTGTCTGGGGAAAGATTTGTAAATCAGGGGGCTGTTTCTGGGAAATGGGGACGTCTGGTAACCATACCTTAGCCAGTCCCCACCTGTCTTCTTTTTCACTTTCAACGAGCCCTGGCACTGCCTCCTCCTTAGTACCTTTTACTCTTGTACCTTTCAGTCAGGCAGATTGTCCTACAAACTGAGCTCAGTTACAAAGATTTCTGTCATTGCCCCACCCTCTCCAGGAACTGGGTGCTGGTAACCAAGATCAGCTGTTTCAGTTACTGTCCTCTTGATTGGTATTGATTGAGTTTATTTACATGCATCTGATCCTCAATGAGCTGTGCCCAAAGTGGCTCACAGCAAACATTCAAATCATAAAAACAACAACAGAACACTGGAAATACAAATGTACAAAATACAGAATATGACAGCAAATTTTTAAAAAATGACAGAAATAAACAATTTGGCAAACACAGAATAAAATCAATATTACTGCCCCCACCCCACAAAAAAATGGAGGCTTAAGTACATGGATACAAAGCAACACAAGAGTTAACTGACAATGACGTTTCTGGGACTGGTATTGCTACACTCCAAGCAGCCTGACTTAAATACAGTTCAGAGAGGAGGGGAAGATGGCATACAGCTGGCTCCCATATCCTTCTCCAGAGGAGTCTGGCAGCTGCAGGAGGCAAATGTTGGACAGCAATGGTCAGTCTCTTCCCCAGCCTCTGGAAACACCAGCTGTTTGCACAGGTCTTATTGCTCCTCAGGACAAACAGTGCACGACTTACCCAGGGCAAAGTACAGCAACATTCTGAAGAGGAAACGACTGCACAAAAGAGTTTGCTTCTCTGCGGAAGTGTGTTTCTGGATGTGGAATGTGGGGGAGGAGGAGAATTGCTGTTTGCAAAGACTGGCTATTAACAAAAGTCTTCTGACAGATCTGGGCAGAGCCAAAGCAATGAAAAACGCTGGCAGCTTTTGCAGACTGTAACAAATTTAACAACATGGAAAAGCATTGCAATTGCCCAGATTTTTATCTCCTTGAAGAAAGTTCAAAGAAGCAAAATTCATATGTCACTGAACCCCAAAGGAATATTCATATGCCCCGAACCCCAATTAACTCCAGAGGCAGATCAGGAAAATCAGAACATAAGATCCTGTCAACGGCTCCTCTAGCCTGGCATCCTGTTCTTCTCACAATGGCCAGCTGGATGCCTGTGGGAAAATTCATGAATATTTCTGACCAGGAATATAGGGAGCCTCAGATGTGGCTGCTGCTGGTGGAGAGTTGATTTCTCCTCATTGGTACAGCAACAGGCTCCTGCTTTTATTCCCAGGAATAAGAAAAGCTGCAGTGCACAGCCCCAAAGCTCCCTCTAAGAGGGAAATGGTGCGAAGTAATTGATAAGCTCGTCCACAGTCATGCAGGCCAAGAAAACTGTGAGCTAAAAATGAGAAATGCGCACCAGGTGTCCACACAGAAATTTGGAAATTTCGGTTGCAGGTCTTCTCTTTTACGCTACAACGACATGAGGCATTACTATTTCTGTATCTGTGTTCAGTAACCCCTGATTCTTTTAGCATATTGTTTGACTCATAGAATGGTAGAGTTGGAAGGGCTCCCAAGGGCATCTAGTCCAACCCCCTTCAATGCAGGAATCTTAGCTAAACCATTCATGGCGGATGAAATCCACACTGGTCTGAATTTTGCTTTGCTGTTCGCCAGTGATTAATATGTACAAACATGCATGTACTGGGAAAACGTGTGCACATCAGTGCATGAATGTTTTGTATGCATCAATCATAAGGTGTACCAAGCAATACAAGCATTAGTGAAAATAAAACAAAATGTGTTAAATTAAGTAAAATTGCTTTGCTAAAATGGAGGGGAGGGGACATGGGACCCTGTGGACACCAGAGAAGGTCTCTGTGGGCAAATGTGCATCCAGGGTCTCTAGCCCAGCTTATTTTGAGAGGTTCAGGGGGAGAGCAAGCCACTCTGGGGTGGATATGAGGGTGCTGAAGCTGGGATCCTGCCCCACTTGTTGAACTTCTCTCTCTCTCTCTCCTTTTGAAACATGACACCTGGAGAACGTCTCTGCTTTAAGACAAAATACACGTTCAAGCTTCTAACAAACTCTCCCTCTCCTCCCTCATCGGAGACCACAACCACATCCTACAGTCAGATAATGGGTAAGGAGAAGAAGCAAAGAAAGAACAAAACAAAGATGGAACCAAAGAGCAAGAAGAACTGGCTCATGTATAAATGTCACAATGTTTGCTTTGCACTTCCAAGGGATCAATCTTTCAGTGTTGGCAGCACTACTCTTTGGAACTCCCTGCTTATTGACACCAGACAAGCACCCTCACTCTGCTGCTGTTAAATATTTGCCTCGCTCCTTTTTAGTCTCCCTGGTAGGGAAAATACGTCTCCTTCCCAAAAGAAAATCTCTTTGTTTTGCCAGGGAGTAGAGTGAAAACAGATTATTTAAACATTTTTTCGATACAAACAACAACCGCAAAAGACACATGCAACAAAAAAACATAATAACAATAATAACACAATCTGACAATCAGATTTGAATACAAAGATATACCTATGACTACACATTTTTAACATTATTTTCCCACCTCCCTCTCCTCCCTCCACTTCCCACTGCTATCTGTCTTATTGCTTAATTCGTTCGTATGTAGCTAATCTGTCCACAGAGATTCAATCTTCAATCTCTGAGGGCTCTGTTTCTGAGACTGTACAATAAGTGAGAGAAGGAAAGCATTTTCTGGATAGCGTGGAACAGCTTGAGAATTCCTCCTTCTCTGAGTCAACCTGCAGGGTTGGTCTGTGGGATTCAGTGTTCAATCTGCATTGGAGAGAACTCTGGGGATGCAACTCCTAAAAAGAATTTCTGGGCACTTGGGCCAACCTGAACCCTGGAGAAAATTTAAGTCCTGTCCAAGTCCAGAGTTCTCCAAGAAGGGATACCAATTTGCCTAAAAGCATCTTCCCTGCACCTCTGTTCCAGCCTTTATGGGTACCTTTTTCATTCCACAGGCTCCTGGAGAACTTGCCATAACTAAGTCCATAAGGGAGCGGGTGTAATTGCCCATTTTGAATTGACAAAAGTATGTCATTTCCACTCTCCAGCACTCAGTTATTATCAATGATAAAATTAGTATTTTGGGAAGAGTCCAGAACAGCTGGTGAGGGAAGAGCGCAATCCTGTTGGGTTCACTGGGGGAAGGATGTGGGCAGCAGAGCCCTGCAGCCAGAGGCCTGAATTCTTCATTCACTATTAGGAGAGTGGTGGGTTCAATTCTGTTCACTTTAACCGGGCATGGATGTTCCACTGATGGGAACAGGCTCTTGGCACAAGCTGCCTGCCTCCCCTTGTGCCATAATCAATTGGTTAAGTCTTTTTGGGTCACTGGCCTGTTTTTGTTTTTTCAATCCAAATAACAATTATTGGTCTCAATGAAAATGTCAGGGACATTCCCATTTTGAAAGACAGCGAGGATCTGAAGAGGAGGGAGGAGAAGCTGAGAGGGGTAGAAATGGGAGTCTTACACACAGTGAGAGGGAGATAAGCCTCTCTCGCTCTGGCATGCTGCCTCAGGGCCGTCTTAAGCATATCAGGTGCCGTGGTGCAAAGATCCCTCCGGCACCCCCCCCTGGCAACTCCAA